TCTTGTAGATGTAGTGGATCTGGCATTGGTCGTGTCTGCACTCGTGCCAGTCCATGTCCTGGTTGTGTTGGCAACTCATGGGAAAGCTTGGGTCTGGTCCGAAGGTCGCTCTGTCGGTTTTGTCAAAGTGGATGAGCATCCAGTTCGGCAATTGGTCGTCGACGTAGACGTCCTTGATGGGTTGGTTGTCGCGTCTTCGTGGGTAGAACTGATTGTCCTTCTTGGGTGATAGGTGCCAAAGGCATTTGTCGTCCAGGCACTCTGCCCAGAACAACTCCTTATGGAACACATCCTTGGTGTCGAGTAGAGAGTGATCCTTCTTGGTTCGGGGTGTCATTGACACTTTCTTGGGTTCCCTTGTTCCATAGAACTGTAGGGTTTGTTCGTCATCGAGCGGATCGATGTTTCTGTATCTTGGTTCATCGGAATCTTCTTCAGAGCTGGTATCGTCAATGCTAGGACAGGATCCTTGACTGGTTTCCGTCTGAGTATGTCGTCGTGCGACCTCATGAAATTCGTCTGAATCGTAAGGTGAGTCTTCGCCAAAGACGAAGCTGCTAGAACCAGCCTGTGGTTCTTCGTTGATTCGGAAGTCGATTCTTCCTTCAACTTCTTCGAAGTCAAGGTCTGGTCTCTTGATGACTTCGATTCTGTCTTCGCGTGATAGGTCTTCGAGTTGTTCTTTGACCTTGCGAATGAGTTTTTTGTTTCCGTCTTCTCGTCTCATCATGCAGATGGACTTGGTTGGGATTTCTTCCTTTCTTGCTACCGCTAGGGTCTTGACTGGTGGTGGTGTGGTGTCGTATCCTGATCGACCTTTGTTCTTAGGTTTCTTAGGGTACCATCCTGTTTGTTCCTTGCTGTCTTGGTGCGTGAGACAGCTGTCGTCGTAGCAGGCTGTCCACGATAGTTGTACATGAGGAACCTCTTTGATCGCGAGATTGGCTCGTTTTTCCGGAACAGGTTGGTGTTGGATACGCTTAGGTTGTCGGCAGTCTCTTGCCATGTGTCCGGCTTTGTCGCAGTTGTAGCATTTGAATTCCTTCTTCTGGTGGGGTTGCTCTTTCTTAGCAACACTGAGATCCATAGGTCCGCTGTGATATCCGCTTGCGGTGGTTGTTGGTCTGTACTTGCGTCCAACATTGGGTTTGGGTCGATTGCCCCAAATGTTCTGTCCTTTACGTTCAAGGCGTCGTTCGTAGAGTCGGTTGTCGATCTTGACCGTCATGTCGATGTATTCATGGAGTTCGTCCGGTCGGTCCTGTCGGGAGAGTTCGTCTTTGACTTCCTCTTTCAAGCCGCGATAGAAGGCTGCCATGAGTGCATCGTTACCCCAATCAAGTTTGGAGGTAGTCTGTCGGAATTCCGAAGCATACTTGCTGGCTGAGGCTTTTTGAGTGAGAGTCATGAGTTTCCGTTCGGCGATTCGTTCTTCATCGGGGTTGCCGAAGGTTTCCTTGAGTCTCTTCTCGAACTCTTCGTAGTCGTCAAAGATCTTCTTCGTATCGTCATCCTGGAGTTTGCGTTCGTTCTCCAGGTGGTCTCTCATAGAAGGTTCGAACCAGGCGAGGGCATCCTTCTTAAGGAATGAAGCTGCGTAGTGAACCTTATCTGCTTCAGTAGAGAAGGAGGTTCCGTAGTAGCGCATGTAGGCCCTGGTTCGTGTGAGAAATCCTTGAAGGGTGTCCGGGGACCCGTCATAGGGTTCCGGTTCAGGGTACTTGGCTCTAGGCACAGAAGGAGGTCGTGGTGCCAAGAGTTGAGCATGAAGCTGCTCGTTCTCACTCTTGAGAGTGAGTATCATGTCGTGTAACTGCTGAATGGTTGGCGCAGCTGCCTTCGCGGGCTGCGTGGTGCCGCTGCTGCTGACGGTCGACATGTTCGTACTGTTTGGTTAGTTTTTCGTAGAGTGAACTTACTGAACAGGAGCAATCAAAGTGTTACGGCCAGCTAGTCGTAGTGAGTATGTTTGCAGAAGTTAAGGCTGCGATACTAATAAACAGCGTGTCGTAGTCGTGGATAGCTTCCCTGAAGCTATGTCTGTAAGTCGTGAGGTAGGTAAGGCTTCGGTGATCAATCGTAGTCTTGTCAGAAGGGTTCTCAGTGAAGATAGCTGAAAGTGATCGCAAGATCTGATACTAAGTTGATTGCTGAAGAAGCTATGGAAAGTCTGTCCTTGAGCCCGGCTCAAGTCCATCCTATATACAAGTCCCGTATACTATCTGAACAGTTCCTTTGTGGTTGGGACCGATATCACGATGTCGGTCCTACAGGGGTGGACCGCCTTTGTCTCGTCGGTCCTGTCCATGGACCGCTTATCGTCCGTCGGTCCTTCTTATCATCACGTGACTTGTCCATAGTTCTTCCGACCCGAGAGGAGTCACCCTGAATCCGTTCCTCCGCATATATGGTGTGGTAGCCGCCGCAGGCCTTGTGGGGCGAGACCCTGGCCTCGTCATATGTGTTGGGTCGTAACAACTTCCCTCCTCTAACCTCTCAATACCGCAGTCAATAAGCCCTTCAAATAATAGCTTTCAGAAATAACCGACGCTTATATACTCAACGAAGAAGAAAAAGCGCTAAATAAGCAAGAAGAGCTTAAGTAGGAGACGGGTATAAAGAGAATAATAGTCACCAAAATAGTCAAAACGGTAGCCGCTAAATTAGCCCACAAAAAGGGCTTAATAGTTAGCTAGGCCTTCCTATAATACGGAATATTTATTTAGCCCGATAATAGCCAGGTCAACAAAATCCAGATCAAAGATATACCCGCCAAAGCCATCGATTACACTAGGTAGGAGCTCTTCGACATAAAAGCCCACATTAAGCAGGAGACGCTACAAAAAGAGATTCTAAACTTCGCTATTTTAAACAACGGGTTAAAATACATTTTTATAGTAAAGGAAGTCCGTAATAGTATTAATAGGCAGTTCGTCGACCCGACAATCTAACCGCCGTATAAATAAGGGCCTATTAGAGGCAATAGGCCAGGGGACAGTTAGGGGCTCGGTTACTTATATATAACTACTTCTAATTAATACTTTTGCCCTTTTTACTAATTCGATAAAAAAAGCTTAAAACTAACAAAAAAGCTAAAATAATTATTAAATTATATTAATTATAGGTCCGGCCTCGACGGTAAGCTCTCATTAGTCAGATCGATCAAAATGTTAACCTATGCCAAAAATAGGTGGCGGCCGTATTTAACCACTTTAGGCAGTATTACGATTCTGCCAAAGCGCTAGCAGGGCTAGCACGGGCTAGCGCAAGTTCGAGTTGCTCGAGTTTCTACGGTACTCTCTTTTCTGACTCCTATCTCAAGTTCCCAACGTGTAGGTTGCCCCCCCTGGGAAACGGATATTGGGGGGAGAGCTATTCGAAAGGAGCTGGTACGTGCCCCAATTGCCCCAATTGCCCCAATCCACTCTTCTAGAATGGCCAAGTCCACGTTGTCGTTGTTGCAAATTGGGCTTGTTTGTTTGCTCGGCGGAACAGAAGCGGGAGATGTGGTGGGGGAGTCATGCAGGCGCTGCGCAAAACATACATGTACGGATAGAGACCAGTGGCCAGCTCAGACCGTGTGAAGGCGACGACGGTTTTGCGGCTTTTGCCTCTGCCGTGCAGCATGTACGCGCGGGCTTTTGGAGCCATGTACGCCATACGCCCAGATAACGGCCTTGCGCAATGAGAACAGACTCTCGAGACTCACATAGCTCGTGGGGCCGACGTATGTAGCTGAAGCCCAGGTTCGGATGGATCTCGTCTTGCTGTTGGCAATTGCCATTGGACCCCGTCTCATTGATTTCGTAAGAGTACGGATACACTGCAGATGGCCCAGATCCGTCGAGACGGTCGTGGTGGTTCCAGGGGGAGATGACCGATCCAATCCAATCTGCACAAGGCAGACAGATGGTGTCCGTCACGGAGAATAAAAAAAAATTAGGAGGCGTTGGCACATTGCGGTGACTTGTCAAAAACTAGTGATGCCACGCTCAGAGCTGGACTGGGCGGCAGCCGGCAATCCGTAAAGCAAGCCAATATCTTATTTCCTGGCACTAAAGTGGTCATATCTCTTCGGCTTGGTGGCAATTAAACGCGCCAGAAGGGATCAATAGGGGATATGCCGACCTTGGGGTGAATATCAATGCGGATGCCGTGGTAAAGACATTGATCGCCTTGATGAAGACAGACAATACAAAAATCGGGGCCCCGCTCTCAAAGACTTTTTTTTATTAGATTTTCGTCTGGCCAACCTCGCCTCCCACGATGCTCCTGCACCATCATCATTTTCGCTGTTGGCCGATGCTGTGCCTGCCCTCGGTCAGTGCTGTGTTATGCATTGCAAAGTTGATTGACAGCCAAACCAAACGGGGCAGATCGACTTTCCCATATGGGCATGGCGGTGATGCACTTTTCGCCTCCTTGGTTCTTTTTCCCTCGCCATCTTGCACGTCAGCCTCTTTCTGTTTTTTCCTTTTTGGATGCGGCCTGTCAAGTTCATTTCTGGTTATCGACCGTGTCAACCCTGCAGAGGGAAAGAGAGAGACAGAGTTTGGCGAGAGATCCGTGCGTTATACTATCAGACCCCGGGTCGGATACGAAAATCTACCCCGTCTTCCCATGGGCACTCCACGCTAGACGCGGTATACATCTGGTATCCTTGCCGTCTTCCAACGGTACATGACCCTGCGCGGGTTGTCCGTCGAGCTGTGCAGCAGCCAGCAGCGCAGCATAAGTGCAGAGGTGCCTGTGCTGTGCATTGCATCTCTGATGGATGCCCATCACCAGTGACCACAACTCAAGTTACCTTGGTCCAACCCAAGGGTTTCTTGACGGCGTGGCGAGCGTGGGTGGAAAACGCAAGGACTTGTTTATTGCCTTGCTTGTCAACGATTTGCCCCTCCAGTGCTAAGCCTACTTTCTGCGAGGGGTCTCGCTGGGTGCCGGGTCATGTTTGCAGCAATATCGGCACCCATAATTCATCACTGTGAGCAGTCTCCATGGCGGATATGTTTCCCGCAGCCAGGCTCAACAACCCCAGAAAGTTCTCTGTCGGGCCACTCGCCAATGGCAAAGCATACAGCGAGAGTTTCCCTCGCTATGCTGTTAACGTTTGCTCGAAACCTCTTGCCAATATTCCACGAAGTTTGGACCGGGCCGTTTTGACACTTGTTCTCGTACGGGTAATGCTGCTCCTGTCTCCTGCTCCTGCTCCTCCATGCTTCGGGCCTTACCTTGGAAAGTACCTACTCGACAAGTTGATCCTGCCCCGCCAGATAGGTACATCCCTCTTCAAGCCTTACTCTGCGTGTGATCATGTACCCGCGACTCAATGGCCTCCACCGGCCAGGGCTTGGGGCCACCGGATGGCAGGTTCAAATCTCCACGCCTGCCATCTCAGCCAGTCGCACAGCTCCGGCAGGACCAGGGAGCCCCCGAGCCGGCCTCTTTCCACAACGCCTTCCCTGCCGAACTGCCCCGCCCATGGACCCCGGTTCGAGAAAATGGATGTTCTTTTTGCCCCGGTCCAAAGTTTCTTCCTTGAACCCAGAAAGTGGGTCTCTCCAAATGGAAGGAAACGGCCGTCTGGGTTCCTTCCTCTCACTCTTTCGGTGCCAGGTGGTGCTCTTTTTTCGCTCTTCCTCTTTGGACCCTGGCATGCAACATATCCCACCCACCACCGTCGTCTTCTTCTTACCCCCATCCCAATACCAATCCATCCACCATCGGTCGTGGCGTCCTAAATTGGGGGTTGATCAAAATGAAGCCGTCGATACTTGGAAATCTGGGACACCGCTTCATAAAGTTCGGACACTCCAGAGCCCCTCTTCTCCCTCCCCATTGGGGACCCCGCCCTCTCTCATTCTGTTGCACAAGACAAGGGATCCCACTGCACTACGACTCTATTCTTATCCACGATCATGGCTAGGAGCCAAGTGTCGACAAGTTTGCCTCATTGCGCCGACGACAAACACCCACCGCCAGAGAATCCAATCACCCTTCGTCCACGAGACGACAGGTACTGCTAGCATTGACCGCTGCCAACTTGATTCGCGACTCACATTCTGCCACCACCCACTTCGAAACAGAAAGAAGTGCTCAACCGCCTCGGCTCAAGAACCATTGTCGTCAGCCAAAGCACTATGCAAACCTCGGTCGTCGTTGGGTCACCCAGTCCCTCCATTTCCATTGGGTCTTCCCGTCCCTCCTCTCGATATCATCCCTGATGGCTCCCGTCCGTACAAGCACACACGCCGCCTATTGGAGGCCCCTCACCCTCCGCCAACGTCAGCACATTTCTCTTCTCTCAGTGGTGTTGATGAACTTGCGACGGCTGTGCTAAACACCCCCTCCCAGGCAGTGAAGCACTAGATCGCAAACCGCAGAAGAGGGTGTTGAGGGCCGGTTTGTCGCCTAGTCCTCGTTGATACGCGGGATGCGATACATGCCGCATGTGCCTGCTTCGGCTTCCTCCTGTACCCGTACAGAGACACGCCATAGAATCTAACAGAATCTAGCACAATTCCGGGCAGGCATTCTCCGCCATGATATGGCGACAGACACGACTGATCAGGCTCATCTCGTTTCCCATGCCGCTGGGATATTTGACCTTCGTACTTTGAAAGGACCGTCGAAGTGGCTCGATTGGCAGGGGGAACACCGGGGTCGACCGCCCGCTCTGTACTACCAGCCACGGCACGTGGCATGGAAGGACCTGGGAGCCGAAGTCTCACTGAAGAATTCAAAAGCCAGCGTCCCAGTAGGACCCCTACGGCCTACCCGGTCTGGTTCAAACCTTCTTCTCCCGCTCACCCTGCACCCAGGTATCCGTATGTATTCGTAGGTTGAAGTGAGCATCTCAATAGTCGGTGGTTATTGCTTGAGTTGGTCACAGCTTGAAGGAGCGAACCCTGCCATCGAGAGTAAGACTGTGTGGTCTGAGGTGGCATCAAGGGATCACCCACTACCGAACCGTCCCCATCTTGGTTCCCGCGATACTATCGGAATAACTAACGGAAGACACAGGACGCAACCTCCACTGCCGCAACATTCATCCGTCACCCGTTTTCACCGTCTCACGGCCCAAGCAAGTCGTTACATCGGTACGAAATATTCGAGGGGCACAGTGGCACGTAGGTAGTGTACTCCAAGACCAACCACTTCCCAGCCAACGCGGCCGAGATCACTCATCCATACTCCGTACAGAAGATGCCAGTTGGTTAATAGCCACACCAATGGACGATACGCGGCGGCTTTCCTACGAGGATCAGGCTGTTTCCAGAAGTCAAACTAGCGTGCCTAGAACAATTGAAGCTAAGGCGCCGTTGCTGCACGAGTGGCGCTAGGCCTGCAGCGCCTCTACGACCCAAGTATCTTGTTATCCTAGTTGAGGGATCCACGGTGCAGTTAGTATCAGAGAACAAGATCGTTCCAATCGACTGGCTACACATACGGTTGGCAGAAGCGTTGGTGAAACGGGCAGTTGTTGAGCAAGACGGACTCTAACCAACCACTTTGCTGAAGTCAACAGCGGGCCAGCAGATGAAATTATTCGGCAACGTACTCATCTGGAGACATTCGGGTCATTGCAGCATTTCTCATTCGGCTACTGCCTCTTCATGCCGCGTCTTGTCGGCATCTGCCAATACGGTCCGAAACTGCTGCGTAACCGTCGCCCAAGACGGTCTGCCGTAACAGGACCGACGCACAATAAAGGGGACGCTTAATTAGCTCGTGGGGACGGATATGTGCATCAAATTCCCCGTCGACGAGGGGCCACCGCCTTGCCTTGCCCAGATTCTTGCTGCTGTAACCAGCCTGTGGGTCTACGGAGGGCCTCGCTGAGCCGACCCGAATCGCACGAAATGCTCCTCGGCCGCCGTCGACTTGATTACGCACGAAAGAGAGCAGCTGTTGCCGTGTCATGGCTAACGTGAAATGATGGCTTTATTCGGTAGGTCAGGTCTTTCACAGGTTCCAGAATTGATCGCGTCCAGGAGGTACGTAGGCTCTGCTGCAGCAGGAGACACAAGACAGATCACAGTGGGAGCATTCTCCATATCGAATTACCAGGGAGTCCCTCTTTGAAGTTACATCACTGGGAGAACAGGGGGACTTAAGTCCGTTGTTGACTTCCAACCGAACGGCGAAGCCTTTTTGCTGGCAGAGTCTTCCTTGCATCGATAGGAGGATGATCCTGGTGGTCCGGTTCATTGCACAAAACGGGGGCCGAATCGGAAATTGTCCAAAGACGAGAGGAGTCGTGCCCGCTGCCGAATCTTTGAGCTTACAGCTCACGATCACCCTATGAGGGTCCCGTCTCACTAGCATGGCCCTATCTTTGCAATTGATAAATCGCGACAAGATACGGATCCAGCTAGCGACGACCTAGCTTGGCCAGGCGCCGCCACGCTCGATACTGCATCACGAGCTTCCGCATTGCAGAGGCAAATGATGTTCAAAGATGGACGGCGCCAACGGCCTCGCTCCCGCATTGCCAGAGCTCAACAAGATGCGCTGGGCGGCGTCAAGTCGACCAGCACCCCGAGAAAGAAGATGGATACGTAACGATATCAAGGTTTTATTATGGTTCGCCGCCAGTCCTGCAGCGATACGGGCACCCATCCCGATTCAGCACACATGACCGATCAGGAAGAAGGAAGCTGCGTTCTCAAAGACCTCTCGTCAACTGCGCTTTCTTTTTCTCTGTCACCGACTGTCAACTGCATCGGTGGTGTGCTCATCCATCTCCTCGACAAGTTTCGATGCCCTGCCAGGTCAGCACATCACCATACTGTGTAGAGAACCAGATCTGGCCCCTGTCTTGCCGTGAAGCGGCCGGGCGTGCCGCGAGACCCATTTGCCCGGATGGCCGACGTCCACTTTCAGGGCGTACGAACGGCTCGGCTGGTTTTTCGAGCGTCCCGTCCAAAGACTCCAGCCACGGTGCATTTCGTTGACGGGACGGTGCATTCGGGCCAGGGTGTAAGCCCCTGGTGTGTCTCACTCACGCAAAGGATTGAAGATATCCCCAGGTCTGGCGACGTGATTGCTCAGTCCAGTAACGATTGACGTGAGCTGCGCGGCGAGTGCTCAGCCAGGTCCAATTTTTACCCCCTGCGCCACGTGTGGCCTGGTTCAAAATGCCGTCTCTGGGCGTTTTTTGTGAGGGCATCGCCAGGAGGCACACGGAGAATAGGCGATACCCGCCCTAGGCCTGGCCCAAGTCTCGCCAAAAGGGCGGTGACTGCCGGGTATTGTAATCGTCGTTGAACGTTGCAATTATCGAAGTGTGCGGCGACTGACTTTGCACCGTGTCAAGCTTGCAGATCACAACCCAACTCAACCGAGCTGCAGTTATTCAACTCTCTCGTTGAAGACCGTCTCGCACGGGCCCTCTCGGTAAGTGTGAGTGGCTGCGACCATGCGGTCCCTATGTATACAATTGACTACATTCAACATCAGTCTCGACTCTGCCGGCTCAAGTCATAACACCTCTGGTTGGACTGCCGGCTATAGTATAGTGCCTAGTCTGCCTTTTCTAGACTCCTGCAGACCTGACCTACGCATCTTTTTATCCGCCCGCGGTTTAGCAAGACATTGGCAATGTACAACAAACGGCTCTGCGGTGGGAGGTACCCCGGGATATGTGGCGTGCAGAAGAGATGATGGAAAAACTGGAGCATGGATTGCCATGTTTTGGGACGGAGCCAAGACTGATTCACGTCTCACCATTCCTGCGGCTCGTCTCCGCGCTGCAAGCCCCGAACATGCTTCGCGAACGCCAGTCGACTTCTAGAGCTTATCAGATATTCGGGTCGGACTGAGAAGAAAGAGACATACATCTCTCATCGGGCACATCAGACGGTCCAGAACGCACTAGCGTCGGGCTCGAAAAAGCCAGGCTGATCTTGAGATGTGAATTGCCAACATGCTTGCGACACATCATCGGGTCGTTCTCATCAAATCTAAGAAAGGGGTTTCAATAGCTGGCCAGGCGGACCAGGCATCCTCAACCGCGGTCTTGGGAATTCTGCTCGGCGTCAGTGCCAACCTCAAACGCTCATGCCCAAGGTGGACAGGCCGGGGCTGGCTCGTATTGCCAGTTGCTGGCTTCACGACGTGTGACGACGTCGGTCGATGGCGTCTTCAACGTTTCCTCAAACACGAGAAGCTCATGTGGCTACTTGGGTAGCTTACTGTCCCTGAACGGCGCAACGCGGTCTGTATGGCTCGTTGCCAAAATGTCAAGCGACAAGCTATCCGACCTACTGCCGCCTCGTCACCGGTCCGTCGTTGATGGAGCGTGCGTTGGTGATGTCGATCGCCAGTCTACTACGGACAGGTCCGGAGCATCTGCCGATATAGTTCTAGAAGAACGTCAACTACCGCTCTAGCGCTGTCTTGTCCGCAGCCACTCTGTCCTCGTCAACGGCTCGCGACCTCGATTAACATTTGGTCTAGTCCACACGTGGTTTCTCGTGCTTCCACTGCCGTTGAGTCAGTCTTGCGTCTTCCGCTGCGGGTGTCGATCAAACGGGTAATTGAGCGTCTTCATGCTGCGTCTGTTCATCCACAAGTCGGATCCGAAAAGGCTCAACCCGCAGAATCTACCAGAGACGAGTGCAGAAAATGGGACGAAGCGGGCCCCATGCAACCGTAGCGTGCAATTGTCCGTGGAACAAGTCTTGTTGGCTGACTCGGCCATCCACACCACAATGGCCAAGCTTATCGGAAAAGCCGAGTGACCACAAGATGTCTCCTGCTCGTCCGTTTGGGGAAGGCAGATGCAGTATACTGCCAACAAAGTAAGTTGGCATACTGGGTGACGCGGTGGCTTCTTGAGACGGACAGCATCGGATGAGAAGACGGCACGCTGCGGGATTCCGGGAGCGATTCGGCGGCATCGTGTGGGATCGACCCAAGCCGATCTCCGTCCAACCTGGAGGATTAACACGCTCCGACCTGAGAGTGATGAGAACCCCCCCGGGTCTGCAGATACGGCTTCGTCCTCTGCGACCTGCCTTGGTCGGGTGACGGCGAGTGAGCGGCGAAACAAGTTGTCCATTCCAAATCGACGACCCGGCCAGGGCTCATGCAGTCCAGCGTTGGATCTTGATCGCGTCCCACACGATTGGAGTGTTTCACATTTATTTTCAAACATGTCCAAGACGGCCCATCCTGGTGTCGGGGAAACCACTCCTCAGACCAATCCCCTAGCGCAGATCCATCATCCGCGCCGAGGTTCTGCCTTGATACTCTTCCTTTCGCCCAGAAGCATCTCGTTTTTCCGGCTCGCTCAAGGGCGGGGTACGCAAGTATGCTCGATGGTTGAGGCATCCCATATTGTTGTGCGCGTTTGGGAGATCCGCTGTGTCAGGCAGGTCACTGATGGCGCCTCTTGGATCAGACGACATGCTGATCAGGTAACCTTGTCGCACAGACGAGCGGGCTGCTTCTGGACTGCCGCGCAGCCCGCTGTAAGGGTTCTGTCAAAGTTGTCAAAATTGAGCTCACAGACACGAGCAGGGCGCCACAAGCGGCGAATCCTCTTATCGCTGCGGTCAATTCATTCCCACATGGGACGGATACAGAAGGTGAATAACGGTTTTATTTTTTTTTGTTTCAAAAGTCTGTGCTCACTCAGTCTCTTCCCACAGGACAGGGCAACAGACCGATGTCACCATACCGGATACCTGCGAAAAGAGAAGAGAAAACGAGGGGCAGCAGGCGGCGTCAACCCTCGGAAGCGTTTGGATGGGTGTTATCAGAGGACCATTAAGACCCAGTCCTGTTGCAACAACCTCCCCCGCCTGCCGCAGGAAGTGTCTCCACCCACTTAACGCCGTGACCCGGCTTCGGCGTAGAGGTGTCGGACCAGGGCTGACTCTCTCTCTCTCTCTCTCTCTCTCTCTCTCTCTCTCTCTCTCTCTCTCTCTGTGTGTGTGTTGCGCGGTCAGGGTCCGCAAGGTCTGTCGCTTTGGGGATGCCGTCGCCGACTCGCGGCTCCCTGGCTTTGGGCCACCAGAGAACGCCGATCTACGGTACTCGGTACAGTCTACCATCACAGGATGGGCAGGAGGAGCAGACAGTTCGTCTGGGCGTCTGGGGATGGGCAAGCGCGCTTGTCTCGTATGACGAGACACACGTTCTGCATGTGGTTCTTGGTTCTCACGGGGGCGAGGAAGGGTCGTCACGAGCCCACCTGGCTCCGCTCTGGAAGTCATGTTGGCGGTGGTGCGGTTCCTGCAGCATCATGACTCTCCTTCTCAGACTGGAGCGTGTGGGAGGGGACCGGATCCGTGTGTGAGCGCTCAAGTGAGAACATGCGTCGGCCCATTCCGCAATGCTTAAAGCAAGGTGGTGTGGGGGCACTTGTTTGTAGCAACCAATCGTTTGAGCTGTTGGAGATTGGACGTGCGCGTAATGGGACTTAGTTGCTAACACAAGCTGCCCAAATACACAATAGGACCGCTGGCGCAACGGTAGCGCGTTCGACTCCAGCAGTGGTTCAATCGAAAGGTTATCCGTTCAAATCGGGTGTGGTTCAATGCCTCACGCATTCTTTTTGCGCATGTCGTCATTTTTTTTGGTGATGTTTGTTTGCTCCTGTGGGTTTGCAACAAGTTGGTGATGAGTTTTGCGGTGTTTCGGGGTTCTGGGGTAAAATATGAGATGAAGACGGTGAGTGACTGTGGTTGTAAGCGTGAAAGTGTAAAACGGTGCCCGCCATTCCAGTCTCACTTCTACAGCCCCTTATGTTTGTTATAGATGAAAAATATACTATTTGTTTGCCTAACTCACTCATGTGCGTGTGCTGAGGTCTGTTAAGAGTGAGACTCTACTTGAAGAATGAGGTTTATCGAGGGTTGAGCTGCCATGGTATGATGCTCGGGCCCAGCTCATCTTCTAATCTTCTTACTGCATCAGACTCAGAACGTCCTCACACCGACATGAAGCGGGCAAGGTGCCTAACCTCGAGCAGTGGCTACTGCAAGGTCTGAACGAAAAACATGGTACTTCTATGTGAGATTAGGTGTGATATCTGCTTAGAGGATATCTATCAACAGACATGTGCCCTTCTCACGCTACGGTCTCCCTCAAAGCAGGTTGCAGCGCCTGGTCTAGGAAGATGGCGAGTTCCGACAATGTTCAAGAACAAAGAAAGATGATGCACAAGATTGATATGCTCTCGAGATGGAGGCTGGTAGTGTGTTCGAGGTCTCGTCACGCAGCTTCTATCAAATTCTCTTGAAGATACATGCCTGTTCTCCCTCACTTGGTGGTTGATCTGGTCTTGTTGAGAAATGATAGGTGATGGAAGGCAGGATACATTTCCTATCTCTGAATACTTGGATGGTATGTGTGTGATGAATCACTTGCCATGAGAGGTGAAGTCGACCTTCCTTTAAGGAAGGAAGGTGAGGGTCGCTCCTTCCTTTTCGTGAGCAATTGACCTGCCGCCTTGCCTCTCGAAATTTTCACCTTTTTCAAATTTTCACCTCTCACGAACCCAACGAACTTCTCACCAGGCAACAGTCTCTTCTTCTTACTCTCACTCCTCAGCCTTGCTACTTTACCCTGACTTTATTCTTTGACGATCCTGATTCAGTCGTCTCACTTTCCCCGGCGACCGAAACTACGAAACATTACTTGGAAGGTTGGAGCTTCTAGAAGAGGTAAGTCAAGTCTTTTTCGGCGTTCCTCGATAGCTTCTTATTTCGACAAAGACTACTGACTGCTCTCTCAGATTCGCGACGATGCCTGACGACGGCGACCGACTCGGTGATGCTGGCCATCGCGATGAGATGGAATCGAGCATCTGGTGCGGCTATTGCGAAAACCCGGGCCATGAGTTAGCGGATTGCTCTCAGATGACGATCAGAGTCGGCAAGCGTGGTTCAATTGGCGGGTGTCCGATGTGCAACACCGTCCAGCATCAGTACGATGACTGCAAGTTACTGCCTGCTGGTGGTGATGAGCTACTACAACACCATATGGAATGGCTCGTTCGGCGCCGCCGCAATATGCCTCTCATATCCTCGGCCATTGACATCTGGATTCTCGTCTTGGGCTTTCCAGACGACGGACATGGATATCCATGGTCCCATTTATTCACCAGAAGTCTAGGAAAACGATACCTGGAAGTTGAGAAAGGCTCGTTCAACCTGAAAGAAGTCGCTGCAGCTGGCAGACTGTTTGACAAGTCGACCGAAACTCTTGCTGAAATCAAGCGCCATATCAACTTTACTGTCCCCGACCGGCCTCATACCAAAGATGACGCAACAAACCTAGTGGGCCAGGTATATCCGCCTACGTCCAAGTCGTGGGAGAACGATCAAAAGCACAACACTAAGTATACCTTGGCTTTCAATATGATTATGAGGCAGCGAGACGAGGACAAATACGACGATAACCAGACGCTACGGAGGCTGAGAGTACTCAGGGCAGTGGCTACATCTCCAGCAGCTTTTGCGAAGGAAAGCAGCGCTTGGGCTCGAACATTCGGCGACTTTCTTTTTCGCGACAAGCCCAGCGGTGTAGATGATGTGACTTTTCTCAAGGAACTCAGAGACCAAGCAGCAAGTCGGGCAGCAGATCACTGTCAGTCTCAGCCGCCACGAGAGTACACACCCAAGCATTCATCACAGAAAAAAGAGTCACCACCCCCCACACCCAAGACACCGGAGCGACAACCACTGCCCAGCCAGGACTTACCATCAGGCAACGACACACGTCTGCTTTCTTCTCCGGAGCCTCGCGTCGAGGAGGTAGTAATGATTCCTAATCCGCCGCTTACTCAGGGATCGCAAACAAAGCGAGCATCACCGAAGCGCAAGCGTCTGGCGACCATCTCGGAGCCTCTCACCAACAGAACATTGACGTCATATTCGACGCCTCTCCGAGTTCGCCAGGAAATCTGGACGGCGCTGTGCCCAGGCCGGCAGTGCGTCGGTGGATATCCCTTTGAGGTCCCTGTACCTCTGATTGCCCAACTGAAGGCTCATGTAATTGACGATCTGGAGGACGGCAACTTGAACGGGAACACAGGCCAGCGGCTTCCCTTGGCGAACTACATCCACCCACATGTCACCATAAGCCTTGCTCAAAGAGAGCGACCCGACGGCGAGCCCGTCCGCACGCTGGTACTAGGCTTGACTGAGTCGACATCTACCCTGAGCTTCTCCCGGCTCGGACTGCTGCAGGCCTACGACATGGCTGTTTGCTGGGCATCCAAGGTCGACAAAGACGGCGTCAGCTTCTCCCTTCGAAGCGCGTTTGACGGCTGCAACGCGATAACGAAGAGTTTCGCGGCGGACCCAATGCGCATCAAGGAGATGGCTGAGCTGGAGAAGCAGATTGAGAGGCTGGCGCCCCAATGTTCGCAATCCGACATAGTGATGGAGCGCGTCAAGGAATGGATGGAGAAAAGCAGGTATAAGGCTCAGTATACGTCTCGAGAGGCTTGGAGTGATACACTTCGCAAGTGGTGGGAAGATGAGCATGATGATGTGGGCGGGCTGGGTCGAGAGGAACTGAAGGAGGCTTGTCTGCAGGCCATAAAGGCCAAGATGGAGGAATGGAAGAAGGAGAAGCGATCCATCAGTGAAACCGACTCTGATGTGGAGATTATCGAGTCTCCTCCCAAGAAGAAGGTTCGGTCTCATTGATGTACATGGAGGATATCGTGGAGCACATAGCTATAGACCAATCCTTAGTAACGTACACCAAGATCAGTGTCCAACAAGCCATGTTGTACCCCTTTTCTAGACACCCTGCTTCGCCTGCTGCATAGGTTCCCCCGTGTCCTCCCTCGTAACCTCCAGCTTCCTCCGATCCCTCCTAACCAAGAACCATATCGCACCAGTAATGAAGAACTGCACCACCATCGTCGCCACAACACTCCGGAACCCACGCCGAAAGTACGGCGCCTCAACAGCCGGGAACTGCAGCAGCTGTGCCCAGGCGACAATAGCCTGCCCAATGGCATTCATCGACGCCGTCACAATAGCGCGCTCCTCAGCATCCCCTGCCATGGTAATCGTAGCCCACGCCATCGTCAGCGAGGGGATCGCGCCCTCAAATCCGTTGAGCATAAACGCAGCCAGACGACCGCCCTCGCCGACGTCCCATGCCACGAGCAGAATCACCCCAATCAGCGACGGCACCGTGGCAGCGACGGATAACCCCGCGAACCAGCCCGTGCGATCGGCCACAGCACCCGCGGCAAAAGCCGAGACGACGGAGATGGCTGTCGCGACAGTCGGAAGGGTGTTGATCCGCGTCACGGAGTAGGTTGCCGGAAAGGCCTTGAGGTAGAGGGAGAAGGGTGACCCGCTGGGCTGCAAGTTCTCGTTCATGATGGTCCACTGCGCGACAAAGAGGTACCAATGCCAGCAGCGGAACACGCGTCCGAAAATATCCCGCGAGACCTTGAGCTGCGGCGGCGCCGTCAGCCCCCGGAGGCGGTCCCGCGCGAGGGCGTAGAGACGCGGCGGGAGCAGTCTCGGCCTCGAGCGCGCGGGGACGTCCGGGAAGACGAAGAAGCCGACGAAGGCGATGGGGACGGTGACGACGGCGTCGACAATAAAAAGCCAGCGCCAGCCGGCGAGGCCGTGGGCGCGGTGGAGGTTCGTGTAGGCGGCGGCCTGGAGGTAGCCGGCGAACATTGTGCCCAAGGGCGCGGCGACGTAGAAGAGGGCGACGCGGCGGCCGATCTCGGCGGGTTTGTACCAGGAGCCGATGACGTAGATGATGCCGGTGAAGGAGGAGGACTCGAAGAGGCCGGTGAGGAAGCGCATGGCGTAGACTGTTTGCACGTTGCGCGCCCAGGCGAGGCCAAAGGTGGAGAGGCCCCAGCCGATTTCGAGGACGGGTAGGACGACGTTGATGGGGTGGCGGGTTAGGTAGTAGCAGGCTGGGATCATGGAGGTGCAGTACGAGGACCAGAAGACGATGGTCATGTAGTTGAGCTCGTTTCCTTGGAGGTTGAGGTCCTCCTTCATGCCGCTGTGAACCCGTCAGTCTTGAGTATTGGAAAGGGGGTGTGATGTCGAGAGTGAAGAGATTACCTGATGTAGGCATTGGTGAGGGAGGACTGGTCAAGATACTTTGTGAAGAAGCAGAGACAGCCAAAGACAAGGATCAACAGGTCCAGACGGAGGACGAGTTTTTTTTCCTCGCTAGGCGTGTCTTTGGAATACCAGCGTATCGCCGTCATGAAGCGAATCCACGGGCCGTCGCGAGTTGTTTCCCGGCTTTCATCGTGGGCGTCGGCTGGGCCTGCGACGGCCGCTGCGGGTGACTTTTCCTCGAGTGAAGCCATCGCCGTCTTGGGTGAAAGAATCTGGACCCAGAATTCAGTACATCGCCAAAAAAAATCTGCTTCTTATGGCCGTGGTCCTGAACCCGCTGCAAGGTCGCAGAGTCCTCCGGCACTCGCAGTACGACCGATCGCACCAGTCCCGCCAAACGGCAACTCATTTGCCCGTTTCGGCCAACATCCGCGCCGTTGGTTGGGTTGCGACAATGGCGCAATGGTAGCCCACTATGGCACATGGTCCAATCCCAGCTGTCCTCCTCCTCTGCAATGCTATCGTCTCTACAGCTTTCCTGATGGTAATGTTCTGGGTGGTAGAGTGGAGTCGTGATAAGATCCTTTGCAAAAGGACCCTGATGATCGATCCAACTATTCAACCGCTAAGCCTTTGGGGCGTTTGGGCAAATGCAAGCCAAAGTGGGGACGCCGGTATCACAACCGCCGTTGTTCGGAGCCGGATCCCGAGACCTAGAGCCGATCAAGCAACTTCACTTTCATATACTCCGCTTGACTGCAAACCCAAAGAACTTTTGTATATCATCTATTGCCTTTTCCAGGCAACGTCTACGACCATTAGCACCCCCTTCGCTACAACATCCTAAACCAAAAACCCCCTGCGCGCCTTCACCGGCGCCCTACCGCGAGCCAACAACGCCTTCTTCGCATTGACGGAATACTTCTGCGCCTTGGGCGCCAGCCTCTCATCCTCCTTCTTGACGGTTCGGAACACGGTCGTGCCGACGACCTCGTCTCTAGGCGCGCGGGCCTCGCGCAGGAGCTGCGCCTCCGCCGTCTCGAGCTTCCGTGCCTTGCGGGGCTTGCGATCCCCCGCCCCGTCCTCGCTTTCGCCGTCCTCCTCCGAGTCGGACTCAAGGAACTCGGCCGGGAGCTCCGAAGGGAGATCCAGCCTCTTCCGGCGTCCTGTGGTGGTGGCCTCCCGCGCCGGGGTCCCGGCCGTCTCCTCGTCGCCCTCCTCCTCCTCACTCGACTTCTCCGCCGGCGCCTCGTCCTCTTGAGCCTTGCGCGCCGCGGCCTGTTCTTGGAGCCGGGCGTTGCGCTCTTGGCGCTTGCGCTTCTGGTTGGCTTGTTGTCTGCACCCTTTGGTTAGCATCTCTGGTAGACCAAAATCACACAAGGAGGTGGCGAAACTTACTCCGCAATGGCCTTGTTGGCAGCCTGCGCAGACTTCTTGGCCTGCACGGCAGCCTTGGACGTAGAAACAGCCTCGGGCGCCGCATCCGAGTCGGAATCGTCGTCGCCGTCGCCTCCTCCCTCGGCAACGAGCGCCGTCTTGGCCTCTGCCGCCTCGTGCGCATCATCGCCGACCGACTCGGGCGAGGCGTCAGAATCCCCAATCTCCTCGTCGTCCGTCCTGGGCGCGGGCTGCTCGGCGCCTGTGATAACCTGCTTCTCCTTGACGTCCTGCGCGCCCGTAGCCGTGCCGGCTGCCGATTTCAACTCCACGACAAAGGAGGACCTCTTTTTTGATGATGATGATGATGACAACGAACGGCTGGTCTCATCCTTCTTGCTGGCGGCCGCCTTGCCCTCCTTTGCCCGGACTGGAAGCTTCTGCTTCTTGGTGTCCGCAGCTGCGGCGGGGGCCTCGGCGGCTGTGCGCTTCCCGTTCCGTGTGGTGACCATTGTGAGAAGCTGTAGTGAACCCTTGGATCTGTCGAGGGCGATTTGCTCGTTGTGAGCGGCTGGCGGTGAATTGTTGCTGACTTTTGGCGGTTACCAATTTCTCTGACTGCCGAATCGATATCGTTCAAGGTTAATTACTGGTAAGAAGCGGCCAATTGTGAGGAAATTGGGTGTGTGAGAAACTTGTCAGTGAGATGATGAGTGAAGTCTGCAATGTCGATGAAATGTCGTCGCGAAAAGGTGTAGTCGCAACTTTTTTTTTCTTGAGGTGGAGACTGCCGTTGAGCAGGTGAGAATCGATTGGCTGGCCGTCGCAGACCCACTTCACTGGCGCGGACCTCACTCGAGCTTCCCCGGAGCTTCACTTTCACCCACCCATCATCAGTAGCCTTAATTCACAACACGGCAAAGAGTCTTCAATAAGAGGCTAGAAGCGAATACTCGGCTCAGAAAACTCATATAGACTGTGTTAGAGACTCTCAGTCGTGTATTGGGCCGCCCTTCAACAATCGATAAATCACCGGCGATCGCGCCACATCTCATCTCCCACTCACCTCTCATGAGACGCTGAGGGAACCTCTCCTCCCCAACCTCATCATCAAACATGTTCCGCCTTGCGACAGCTCCCACCCGCAGCAGCGGCGTCAGCAGGCACCTCCTAGCCGGCCTCGCCACGCCGCAGTCGTCACCAGCATGTGCTCCCGTGGCACCGTCACCGACAAGGACAACGAGGACAGTAAAGACAAAGAGCAAACTGCGGCCCCTTCCAGGCCTCAAAAAGACGGGCACTTCCAAACCTGCCCAGCCAAAGCCCCGGGACATCGTCTTCGAGCCCCGGTCCCTCACCGAGTTCAAGATTCGGCTCCGCCAGATTTCCTACATGCACGTCACGGCGGAACGGGCCCACGATATCTATATGAAGTATATGCAGGCCCTCGCCCGGTCCGATAAACCAACAGACTGGCAAAAGGCTTTCGTCAGAGGTAGTTCCCCCAATCCTTCGCCAGCCCACCACTTCACTCTCCTTTACCTGCTCAAATCCCATCGTACCTCTTCCTGCTAACCAACCAGCAGAAAACAACCTCACGGCAGGCGAACTCCACGAAACCGCCGGCCTCCTCTCCTGGATGCGCGGCAACGAGGGCGAAGCCGAACTCATCCTGCGGTGCAGCATGATGGAGACGGCCGCCGGCCTCGGCTACGACGCCGCCGCCCTGACCCTCAGCCGCATCCTCCACCACGCCGAGGGCAGCAAGGGCTACTACGACTGGAACAACCCGCGCTGGCAGCACACCCGCACGCGATGCCTGGCCCTCATCGCAGAGGGCCGCGACGCAAACGCCATGGTCGTCGCCGGCCTCCGCCACCTCCGCCGCAAGACGGAGCGCGACGACTACCTCGCCCTCGAGGCCTTCAGCCAGGCCCTCGAGCTCGGCAAGGACGCCGCCTACTTTGACTGGCGCTGCACGGCGCTCGAGGGCCAGGGCATCGCGTACCTGCGGCTCGGGGAAAAGGAGAAGGCCAAGGAGTCCTTTGCCCACCTCGGCCAGCTGGGCTATGCGTTGGGATGGTCGCGCCTGGCTCAAATGTACCCGGACGACCCAGGTGTCTTGCACTGGCTCTTGCAGGCGGCCGGGGCGGGCATCTCCAGCGCATACGAGCAACTGGTGGAGGCGTGCGAGAAGCGTCGCAAACTTTGTGCCGAGGCCGTGGGAGAGGCCGGACACAAGGAGGCGGCAGACAGTTGGGGGCGTGACGCTGCGGAGTGGACGCGGATATTAAAGGCCTCGATTGCCAATGGGAAGTCGCGTTGAACCAATTAGGTCTTTCACGGGTCCCATGTAGAAAACATGTACAACTAAAAATATAGTCACGTCGCAAGACATGGCTCGTCAATTACTAAACTATGCATACTCCTGCCGGTCCTCCCATCCGGGCTGGAGGTAGCTCCAGTCGCGGTTGAACTTGAAATCCGTCTGGTACTGCCCGTACCGCACCAGCTTGAGCCCGTCCAGCTTGGCGCCCGCATCGGTCTGCGCCCACAAACTGACGGCCAGGGTGTTGCGGCCGCGGTTGTTGAGCACGCCCGGCGGCACGGGGAAGCGTGTCTGCGGGCCAATGTGCGGGACGTATTTGCCGTACTGGTATCCGTTGATCCAGAACATGACGCGCGCCGTTGTGCCCACGGGCGCCGAGAACTCGATGCCCAGCGGCGCGTCCAGGTCCGAGTCGATATTGAGCGTGAAATCCGTGACGTAGAAGCGGATGCCGGCGCTGGAGAGGCCGACGAGCGGGGACTCGGGCTTCCACGAGGAGCCGGTGGGCGCAAAGCCGGGGAGGTGCCAGCCCAGGCGCTCCGGGTAGAGACCGCCCTCATTCATGGGTCCGCGGACGGGGTCAATGTTGGCCTCGCCGCCGGCTGCGCCCGCCAGCTTCCACAGCTTGAAGCCCGTGTTGGTGCGCGTGCTGCCAGGCTGTAACTGGGCACCGAGGATGCCGCGCGGGTTGTTGATACCCTGGGCCGTCGAGGCCTGGTCATGGCCGTGGTAGTCAACCACAACCGTGACGACGTTGTTTTTCTCAAGTAACGCGGACCGAGGGAACGTCAGAATCTTGTTGGTTGTTGTTGCCGAAGCCGCCCCGACATCGCCGCCGAGGAACTGTCCATTCACCCAAGCCGACCATCCAAACGCCAAACCACCCGAGGCCGTGATGTTGACCGAGGTGGCATTGGCGCCGTCAAAGTAGCCGCGGTAGATCTTGGCACCCGAGTAGAAGCCATAGTCGGAGCTGTAGAGCACAGGTAGAGTGACTGGGGCATACGGGCTAGGTGTCGTCGTCTTGTTGCAGACGGTCCATCGGGAATCGTCGTAGTCGGGTGCCGCTTCGGGCAGGGCTTCGGCCGCGCGCCAGTTTGACAGCTCGGGAAGGGTCACGGCACGGTCCTCGGCGCCAGGGATCTGCGCAGTGAAGGAGCCGTAGGCAGTCTTTGTGGCAGCCAGGCGCTGGCCGTTCCAGTCAATGGTCTCGATGGGCTTGTCGCCGACGTAGGCCTCAATCGTCGTGGCCTTGTCGCTGTCACCAGAGACGTGGAGGACGCCGTGTGAGATGCTCGCGCTTCTGACGAGGTAGGGGCCCTGAATGAAGAGCTGCTCGTCCGGCTTCACAGTAGGGTTGGACGTTGTCGGGGGTGCCCAGAAACGCCACGCCGACTTTTGCTCGAGGAGGTAGACGAGAGCGCCGTTGGAGAACTTGACTACTGTCGAGCCAGCGACCTGCTTCCACGTAAAAGCCGAATGGTTCCCGTTTGTCGTCTCCTGCAAATCCGTGTCTCCAAACACCTCAAAAGTGAGGTCGCCTGCGTCCTTGAAGGCGAACTCTCCGGTCTGGCCCTCTTGAAGGTAGAAAACGAGCACCTCAGTGTCGAAGATGCCATAGGTAGCAATATCCGCCGAGGCGTACAGCAGGGTGTGCTTGCCAAAGACGTAGTCGGTGACGAGGATTTTGCTCTGGCGGCCGTTCAGCACGACGTTTGGTACGGTCACGGATCCGGCCGTCGTGTTGAGGGTGACGTCGAACTGGATGGGGGTCATGGACTTGGTGCTGGCTTGTTGCACAACGGTGAAGCCAGCCTGGGTATCGGGGTTACGGAGGACCCAGCTAAAGGCGGAGGATGAAGAGAGCTATGGGCGTTAGTAGTGGTACTGTTGAGAGGCCGGGCGACTTACACTATAGCCAGTTCCGTTCCCAATCATCTCGACCTTGAGCAGATCAGACGAGACTCGAGTGAAGAGACCGATGAGCTTCGTCTGGAAGAGCTTGGTCCACTGCTCGCGGGTCTCGCGGAGAGGGGCGCTGTAGTCGTAACTCGTGTAGACCTGGGGTGCGGCGGCTACTACTGTCAGTCCATGTAGTGCGTGTCCTGGTTCGCGTACGACTCACAGTGTCCCCAGTTTGTTCCACCATAGCTCATATAGATGCTAAGCAGGGTCACGCGTTGACCAATGTTGTTCTTGTAGTAAACGTCCGCAAAAGCCGGGTCGTGCTCCGAGGCGCACTGTTCTGTACGTTAGCACGCTGTCCTTTAACATGTTACAGCACACGCACCTGGTCATAGAAAGTCGGGCTTCCCCAGTTCGAGAACCAACCGCCCTCAAACTCAGCAAGGTAGCTCGGCTGCGTGAAAGAGTAGTTGGAGAACCACTGGAAGTAAGTCCGAACGACGTTGAAGCCAACCGCCGGGTCAGTGCAGGAAAGGGCACCTGGGTAGCTGTCGAGTCCGTAGACGTTGACGGCGCCGCCAACGTTATTGTAATCTGTAGACCATGACCGGGAACGCATGCCCTTTTCGTTGTGTGTCAGCGGGACTACGATGCCGGCGTCGTGGAATGCCTTTTTCAGCTGTTCCATGTAGATGACCGAGGTGTGGTCGGGCGAGTAGACGCTCTCCTGGTACTCGTTCTCCACTTGGTTCAGGATAACGGGCTGGACTTGTCAGCGGGTTGCAGATGAACAAGGACTAGAGCACCTACACCGCCATTGGTGATTTGGTTCGCGGCGATAATCTTGCCCACTTGCGTGATGAAAGGAAGCCATCCCGCTTGGTACCGCTCGTCAGAGGTTCTGATCTTGCCGAAGCGCCCGTCGGAGCCCCAGAGAGCGAGGCCGCCGCCATTGGTTTCGGCCTGGACTGGTCAGCTTCTTTTGACATGCTGATGGTGGGAGTCCTTACGTTGCAGTAGGGGCCGGCTCTGGCAATAACATAGAGTCCAGCCTCTTTGCAGTAGTCGAATAGTCGCTGAATGTTCTTGCCAGCAGTCTCAAAGTCGTAGACGCCCTCGGCAGCTGAGTGGTACGACCAGAAGAAGTAGATGCTGAGAGGCACGGTGAGTATTCTGGGGTCTTGTTGCAGGCAGTCGGTACTCACCTCACGGTGTTGAAGCCATTGGCCTTGAATTTCTGCAGAATATCCTTTTGTCGGGGGTCAGTACGTGAAGTGAGGTCCTCGACAGGGTTGACTCACGGGCCACAGCTCGGGGACGGCTGTGTAGGAGAAGAGTTAGCTGCGAATCGAGACCTGAGGTCGGGCTTACTTACGCGTTCTCTGGTAGTGGAATTCGGCGGAGCTGTCATCAGTCAACACCTAACCCAAACGCGGTGGATGGGACTACACGAACAGGATGTACGTCCGGGTATCGTTGATGACGAGACTGTACTTGTCCCACGACACCACGTCAGTGAGGCCATTGTCAGTCGCCCAAGCCCCGGATGCAAACAGCCAAATCAAGGCCGTCAAAGCTCGGTGAAATCGCATGGCGGCACACAACCTTGGCAGGTTCCAGATTCGTAGATATGCGGATCGAAAGAGAGAGAATGGCGTTGCATTCTAGATCTGCTCTCCTGCGAACCACGCGGGAACGCATCGACTGATAAACGATCGTGAGCCCATCACTGTCAATCACAAGCCGCAGGGCCATCAACCCCAGTCGCGGAAATGAAGACCGAATGCGACATCACGAAGAGCTACATGGCTTCTCCCCCCCACAGACGCAGACCACCAGCTCTTCATTCTAGTTTCCAGCAATCAGATGCTCGAGGTTTGGCCGTCATTACTTCATTGCGGGGTATCCCGGTCGCCGCTACTGTATAGACTGCGTGCCTCGCGTGAGAGTAACGCAGGAACCGTGGTTGGTTTTCGCGTGCCTCGCTCGTGTTGTCGCGCAATTCTTCCGCTGGACCTTGCAGGTGCAATCAAACGGCAAGGCGCAAGCGTCCGGCGCAAGGGAAGATGCCATAGTGAGCTGCCCGTTTGGACCAAGGCTCAGAAAGAAAAGAAGATGATAGCTCGGCGTGGTTTTGGCCGAAATGTTAGGTGGATTGCGGGGTCGCCCAATGATCACCTGGAGATCAGAGGGGCGACCCGAGCTTTCCCCCAGATGCCAATTGGAAGCGTGCCTGTCAGAATGCGGGAAAGCACGCAGACAAGCTTTTTGGGGCATCGCCCCGATGTCTCTCGGCCGGTCTTTCCGGACGACCTAAGCACCGTTGCATCTGAACTGATCATCTTCCTTTTTAGGGCTCGTTTTCTGTAGGATGGATATATTTGTATATGGGCCGACAATACTTACCGCCTATTGTCGGGCATTGCGATGTTTGGCCTTTAATCATGGCACTCGGTGCAGCTCAAAACTTCCTCCCAACCTTCACCTCGAGCAACCATCCTCTTCGTTACAATGACAAAATCCACGCAAAAGGTGCTGGGCTGTCTATGAATCTGGCTTTGAAGTCACAGCTCTATCATCTCATGAGTTGTACAACACGTGTCGCTCAACATGTCATGCCGGCAAGCCTCCCGTCGCCTAGTCAGGACTCTTCCGAAGAGCCAAAGTGGACGCAAAGAAGAACCTCAACATCACGACTTCCACGGCGTAGTAGGCACCATCGCGTTTAGCTTCATCTCCAGCCGACAGACCGCACCCGAACGAGTGCCTCGAGAAGAGACTGATAGTCTGCAGTGAACAGTCGAGGCGCCGGTCGAGCTCACGCTTTCAGCTAAACTCCCATTCCAGGCCAGGGTGCAGAGCGACAGTCCACGCGCATAGCCGCGAGCTTTCCAAAACGTACATCGAGCATCGTGCCGCATCAAGTCTGATCATTGATGGTCGAGTGACTGGAAGAAACCACTATCGCTACCACGTAATAGCCACGATGAACCATTGTGTCTGCTAGAACAGCAACCCCTAGGGACCTAATCACTCGCGAAATAGCCAACGGCATCGTAGATCGTAGGATGCTGTCCTCGCGCATCGTCAGTAATGCAGAAACTCCTTTGGGTCGGTTCACTCAGCGCTGCATCATGCCCTGAAGCTGTGCCATCCCTCCGGCATCCCATCCTGCTGGATAAATGTCAACGACCCAAGGCTGACCGAGATCGTCCAGGCACTTCGCTATCAAGGTTTGCGAGCTTCACGGAAGCAACGGCCGCAGTATCAGGTGAACCAACAGAACAAGATCGCATCGCCTACCACTCCAAAAACGCCGTCGTCGTATGTCATGACGTGCGAGGACCCAGAGCCCATGCTGCCACCTCTCCCTGGCTATATCTAGCCACGATATACCCCTTCTGGGCTTCTCTCGATCCCGTTCCGGGCGCACGATGAACTCTCATCTCCCATTCGCACAGCAGCCGGGCGACGCCGCACTCCTACCTCCAAGCAGGGCGCGGTCTGCAACTGACTCGGGTGCATATCTTGGCCGTTGCAAGACCACACTTGGACTGCGAGGCTGCAAGTTGCAACGGCCGGCTGGAAGCTGTCAACCACAGCCCTGCATATCCTCCTCCCCGGTTGACTTCACTGGTGAATCGATAGCGCCAAAGCTTCGACGACGACCCCTGAAGGGGGGGGACGAGCGCACTTTGGACCAGCCTCCTTAACATCTTTCGCGGGTAATAAAGCAGAAACTTGGTGCGAGATGCTCCGTACCTTTTCTTTCCCTCGGGGGAGCAGGGGCTGGTCGTGCCGCTGGCGACGGACCGGGGTAGGCGAAATACAAAGGGAAGCGAAATGTAACGGCAAAGGGATGCATTTTAGCCCCCTTTCCAAAGCGATGATGGAACCTGGTAAGCCCAATCCCCTTCATCAAATCTTAATATCAACTCCCCGAAACCGTTGCCATTCTGCTGCATTTGGTCAATTTACCTCGCCCGGATTCCCAACTCTTCCACGCAGCACCCTGGGATGCCGCGCGGGAGCCGGAGAATATCCCTTACACACGCATACCTACCCGTACGGGAATTGTGCAGCGCCGCAACAGTAGAGGCGGAAGATATCGGGCGACGTCCGTCGTGCGACTTCAGCCTCGACTTGGATTCAAAAGCGATTCGAACCCTTGCCACGAGGTTGACCGATTGCGGGGACCACCGGTGAGTCGTCGACCTCGAGAAACAGAGCGCATGTGCTCGGTCGCATGCACCAGCCGCGGGCAAACAAGTGCTGGCCGTCCACGGTGGTTGTGGCCGATGACGAGCCGGCGGCGGTGGCCACCACCGTGCCATGGCGGAGTAGGAAGCACAGACTTGGACAACGTCCCGGCGCCCCGATCCAACTGCACTGGCTGGACCATCGTGGGATCTACCCGACGGGTCTGCAGGTTACCGCGAGCGATGTCGGGATGAAGTGTCCTTGAACTGCCTGCGCGGTCGCCGACGTGTGCTCCCGAGCATCACTTGACGACGGCTGCACGGCTGGCATGGAAATAGACACCTATCAGTACGTAATGAGATATTGCCAGCGCATCGTCTCTCGCCCACACAAGACGAGCTCGCCACAACTTTAATCCAAGTATCAAGGAGATGCAGTCAAACACATGTGGCGCTACCTAGAAAGTGTCGACCACGTGTAGTTGAATCAGTTCGGCCAAGCAGCAGCTATTGAGATGGAAGATGCTTCCGGAATGGGAGAAACGAAACATGAACCATGAACCGGAAGCCCAACAAGTCTGGTAGATCCCCACGTGGCGAGCGCGCGCTGTTTGCCATCGTGCCGTTTCAGTTGTTCCTGGACAAAAGAAGATGACGGTAGCATCAAGCTACCTATGGTGAGTTGCAACGCTCGCCCGTTGTGCGCTCAATGGCCTAGCCAGACTTTGACCCTTTTTTTTCCCCCTGGGCGCCGACTAAGACGAAACTCTGGTGCTGGAGCGCCGTGCGAGGCTTCTTCTTTTCTTTCCAAAATTGGCAACAGAAGGATCGGAGCCGTTGACAAGTGCTGTCGAAAGAAAATGGAGAAGCAGAATTTTTTTCTGGCCTCCTTTCTTTTCGTTTCAACCCCGTCAAACATGTGTGCGGGCTGACACGTTGTGAGTGGACCTAGGAGCGGTTCGCAAAAGGGCGGGCGGACGGCAGACAGACGTGTCGGCGCGCTGTGATGCCATCTGCACCGAGGGTTTAACGTTTGTCCAAGGTGCGGTCATGGCGGGGATAACCCCTCGAACCCCCAGAATAACACCGAGTCATTGCCAGTAAAAGCCGACTTTTTGTTCACTTGGTTGCCCGAGCTGTGACTACTCGTGGTTTGTGCAGATGAGCCCCTCTTCTGACAGCGGCTTTTCCAAGCAAGATCCTAGAGTTGGCTGCGAATGGGAAGACTCGGCAAGGCGCAACGGCCGGTTCGTGACAAGATTGCTTCTTCTCGGTGCTGATTGCTGCGAAGAAGTTTGAAATCTGGGCCGTACTCCGCAACAAGTGGGATTAATGACTCTTTGGCGTCCGCTTTCCCCTCTTGACGTCGCCGCTCGCGTGGTGGGAACAGAGGGGAAAGAAAAAGTTGATCTGGGCAGAAAAGGACTCACAATGACAAAGCAACCGGCTTAAGGTACTTTGGAAGGATACTCCGTTCTCCGTACGGATACAGAATCATGAATGGGCGCAAATGGCGAAAAATTGGACCACCACTCCACCAGAGGTGCGGCAGCGTGAGCCCTAAACGCAGGTACAAGGCACATCTGGGCCCGGCACTCTTCGTCTGAATGAGATGCGACGAATGAGATGCGACGGATTTGCTGCGGTCCCTTGGGGCTGCGGAACGGCGAGCGGTCGCCTCAGCATCGCATCGCAGCACATCGGGACAAGGGTCAGGTACATGCGGTACGTATCGTCAACGAGTAATACCTAGCGTCAGGTACGGAAACGGGTACTCTGGATTCGCAGGATGGCGGACGCAGGGCACAAACTTTGTACGGGCGTAGGACGGAGACGTTGAGCTCGAGAGACACTGTGTCAGTCAATGGCCATCTTCCGACCCTCCATCGCAAGAGCACCCTTTGTCGTAGTATTCGTACGGGGCTGGACGCTGGAGCAGGATTAAACGAGAGACAGAGACACTCACCAATGCCGGCCGGCCCAATGGCGAGGCACCAACATGCCAACCACAGGGCCTGTCTCATCTCTAATCCATCTCCCATCGACGTGAGAGATGACGAGCAGCGGGGGAGGCGTGGGCTGGACGTCTCTGATTGGAAAGCGTCGGAGAAAAAGGAAGCAGGAATAGAAGATGTGGAAATGCGCCGTCAGCCCCCAAAAAGAGCGCCGGCGTGCGCCCAACAGGCTGGCTGCCGCTGGGTGACCGGGGATTGACCAGCACTGCAACAGGTCTGCAGACAGTGCTCCGTCCTCACATGAGCAGGTAACGGTAGTATAGTAGTATACTCCGTATAGATTCATTCTCCGAGATGAATCTCAGATGCGTTCTTTCGTCATCGGCGCCGCTTCTTCCACTTTGTTCCAAGGTCCAAGGAGTTCCAGGCTTCTGGCCGTGGATCTAATTCCCGCAGGCCCCGTCAAGCGCGTTGGGATCCTGGCGGTCCTCCGGCCTTGTCGCTCGTGTCAGGCCTTGTCGAGCCTTGTCAATGTCGTGCCCTGCCCTGTCGTGCCGTCCTCTCGCTTGCCGGGGAAAAGACAATTTGCAAGGCTGCTGCAGCCTTTGCCTGGCACGCCCGGTCGGGGGATAGCGAGGAATGGGCCCCATTCTTCGGCCAGGGCTGTGTCGTGGAAAAGTGCGGCCAGGTGGAGAGACACGGAGTAGAGGACCTAGTGGAAGCCGTGGTGGGCCATGGAAGAGGGGAGGAAAGGAGCGGTTGTGTTGCCATTCACCATGGACCATGACCCAAGGCTTCACAAGTCAAGTCAAGACTCAAGACAACAAGAGGAGCGAAATTTGGTGGGTAAGGAGGAAATGAAAAGTCGTCGAATCAAGGAAGCAGGTTGGTCACAACGGGAAGGGAGCTGGGGCCCACGACTGGCGTGAGGTGTGCGCGGGAACTTGGCCGGGAAAGCAGGGACGCCTTAAGATCAGGTACGGATGGATACCTTCCCACTGCAGTGCTTCCACCATGGAAAGGATGGAGTCAGAAAAGACGTTGGGAAGGAGCCTGGAAGTTGGAAGGTCTTTCCTTGTGCGATTTGAGTGTCTTCCACCTGTTGCCGAGAGTCGGCCTGAGGTGTACACTCCGTAGAGTAGGTATGGAGTCACGGAGTGGCCCTCAGGCAGAGACATGCGGTACGTATCCTTTGCGGCATGAGGTGCGCCATGGCACCGTAGCATCTGCCATTGTTTCAAGGTCTTTTCTCGTCCCTTCATCAGAGCCTTCCTTGCTCCTGTGGATGGAGAAGGGATTCCATTGCGCCGAGTACCGGTAGAGCTTGAGCATTGATATATACGATGTGCACTATGCACTTGGCTCGCCTCGCATTGGCCTCGTCCCTTTGCAGTGTCAGCATCTGACCTGGCAACATTCTCCTTATTCTACAGAGTTGAGCACGGAGTACTTTGTACAGGTGACAGAGCTGGGCGGGGAGGCATCCCATACTGCAAGTACGGGGTAGGCAGGCGTGCGTCATTTCTGTCCTCCGAGATTTCCAACTCCTAGCAGGACTCCAGGAGCCGAGAATAGAAGACGTGAGACAGGTCCCTGGCGACTCGCGAGGAAGCAGCATCATCAGATACCCCCGGGCCTCTTGCCCAGTCATTTGGGTCCATCGGGAATTAAGACGGCAGGAAAATCTCGAGGTACTTCCCTCCCTGGTGCCTTGCTGCACATCTTCATGTACCCAAGGTACCTCTGATATTGTATCATTTTACGCTTTTTACACCCATGGAAAACTCTTCGCCGATAGATCGCCTTCCCTGTCTCTGCCAGTCCCAAATCTGGTTCTTCTTCGTCTTTCTTCTGTGCTTTGCGAGTCGATCTCGAGTCTCTGGTGTCCCGAAGGAGGTTAGACGGTTGCATTCCAACGACATGGCCCGCCTGCCTCCCCAGAAAATCTCGAAAATCTCTTTTCTAAAACTCGGGCAGCCAGGCTGGCCCTCTTTGGGGGCCGAGTCAGTTCGGCCAAGTTCGGAATCTAGATGCGCTCTGCGTTACTGGCAACTGGGCTGGTAGCCTTCAGAAGTCTTCGACCAGAGAATACCATATTTGGTACGGGGTACAGCTACAGCTACAGCTACTATTGTTTATCTGACCTTCTGCACATGGCCAAAGCCATAGCGCACCGGGGAAACGGCACAGCTGCCCTCTTGTTATGCAAACTTCCCCTCTGCAGAACATGGACCACCCATGCGACCAAGTCCCTCCGTCGCCTGTTGGTCAAAGCAAGACCCCTCAGGTCTCTCTCGACCCCTTCTCGCCCCTCTTCCACCCCCTCAGGTACGCCGTCGGCTCTCCACTGAAGGCGGCCGGAAGCCGCTATTCAGTAGCACGGAGGCAGAGAGACAGGAGGCATCCAGGGAAGAGAGGGAACACCCCCTCTGTCAAAACAAGAGAGCACTGGCTTTTTGCCTCCGCTTTCTCCTGGCACCAGTCAATTGCCATGCCAACGGGTGGGTGGCTCACTGTCTCTAGCTGGGAGCTGCCTTTCAGTTTGTTTACAACCGGCGATTCAGCAGTCGAGCAACCAAAGTTTGCCCCCCCATACAAAGTCGCAAGTGTCTTGAAGCTATCGCGGACTGCGCATGACGGCCACTCATCCAAGAGGGAAAAGTGTCAGCTTGTCTTGGGTCGGATGACCGATCCTCTCTCCCTCTGCTCGCGACCAACCGACAGGGATTCGCGTGTCTCACCCATAAACAAACAACCAGTCCAAAGAGACGCCACGCATCTCATCGCTAGCCTCGTCGATCATGGTCTTCTGCTTTGGGGGACGAAGTAGAAGAAGAGGCACAGCGGCCATGGTCCATTGACGGGCAACAGTGCCGTAGCTCTCGCCGGGACACCAGGTTGGCCAGAACGGGTTTGACGGAACGATTGATGGCTCGTTGTGTTGATTCACGGATGCAAGGGACCACCTTCAATTGGCAGCTTCGGGCGATATCAAAGAGGACCGGAGATTGTACCTGCACAACCCCCTCACATACGATGCAACCGCAGCTCTCGAGTCCAGCCTTACCCTGCTCCCTCTAGTGACCATCTAGTGCCCATCTCGACACGTCGCTGCAACCATGCCGAAAGCGACACGATGTAAACAAAACTAGCACGGCCCAGAGCCTCACTTGATCAACCACGGGGTCTTTTCCAGCGCCGTCATTTCGCAAACCATGGCACACCGCGCAAAGCACTCGCCGAGTGGAAACCTCACTTGCGGGTTTCCCTGGATAGCCCCAGGTCGTGTCAATAATGGGAAAGGCAAGACGAGCATCGTCGATTTCAGCCGGAGCTGGAGCAAAAGAGACATTAGCCGTGCTGATTAACAACAGCGGGGACCAGGTATAACCAGGGAAAAAAGACGGCTCACACTCCAACTCTGGGCTTATCGGGGACAGCAATCTATATCAGAAAGGAGATGAGTGACGGCGCTTGGCAAAGACAGACGAAATGCCAACAACCACGCATTTCGAGTCTGGCCTGCTACGACCACAGCATATGCCGCCTGCCAGTCAGTCATTGTGCACCGGGGCGGTTTCTTTTTTTGTGCAATCCTATTGTGGCTGACGATGCTTCGTCCTCTCCCCTCTCGTTTCTTCTTCCAGAAGCCGCCGGGTGGGATGACGGATGATCCCCCCCTCCCTTTCCTCACGCCACTGTCTCTGGGCATTCGTTTTTCGGATTTCCCATGTTTTATATCGCGCTTGTGGCTTGTCTTTTTTCATCTAATAGGAGACGGCGCGGCCAATAATCACCCGCAGCTCCAGTGTCAGCCCTCGCCGTCTCGTCGCCATCTCATGCTACCATCGGAAACTAAGGTAGCCAGAAGCCTCTCAACCCAAGATTCTCTCGTCTGCGGCTACCTACGAGAGTCTACGGGGAGGAATTATCGAGTCTAGCTGGCACGACATGGAGGCACAATCGAATCAACGTGGTCGATTGGAAAGTCGAGTTTGATTACCACAGGCAGCACGACCTCTGCCCGAGGTGCTACAAGTACAAGCAACACAAGGAATGACGAGGTCAGAGAGTACATGGCCGTCGCATCGTCCGGTCATGATCCAATTCTCTGACTGGCTCTGTGCACTGGCAGAACAGACACGTACATACAGCGGCAGCGGCAACTGATGGATGGGATGACAGAGCCTACTTGTTCGTGTCGTGCAGTCTCGGTACTTTGTCCACCACCAGCGCAGCTCTGCGATCCGGTACATGGGAACGCACGCGCTGAACATACCTTGACACGGCACGGCAGCATCAACAGCAGCACATCACAGATCCCGAATCATCTCGTCACCGCGGGCCTCAGTCCCCTGCCGCCGCGGGTTCCCAGTCCTGGTCCCAGACTCCCAGGTTTCCAGTCAGGATCCCAGACCACACCAGACCCGGACTCTGTCCAGTGTCCCAGGAGCACACGCCCCCCGGCACGGACAAGGGTAGCTGCCAGTGTTTCGTTCCGAGCGCTCCACCACGGCATCCCTCCCACATCCTTGTCACTGTCGTCCTTCGTCCACTCGATACTTGGACCTGGGTACGAAGCAGAGACCTGGAGACCAAAGGAAAGGAAGAAAAAAAAAAGAATCCACCGGCCGGCCGAGGCGTGTGCGTAAGGTACGAATAAACTCGCTCGGTCTGCCGTTTGCCCACGCGACGCTGGACCTCTCTACCCTCGTCCACCCCCCCGACAGGGAATGCCATCTAACCCCCAACCCAGGCACGCCGCACCACACACAAAAACGCGACCACGACCGCCTGCCATACTTTATTCGTTTGGTTCCCAGGTTTCGTCCTTCGTCCCCTCTACTTACACCTACACCTCTTTCCCTCAACCCCCTTCCGTTCGTTCTCACCAACTACTATTCTCTCGTTAAACCATCGACTTGAACATTCACTTCACCCAATCCCCATCGACAACCTGGGCCCATTACACCGGCCACCTGGACCATCTTCTCACCAACCCGGTTCCATATTGAAGCCTCGCCGTCCAGTCCTCAGCATCCTATTCGTCAACACAAACGACAAACCCTATTCTTTACTCGCCCTGGAGAGAGAGTTTCTATACGGAGCTCTTCTACAGATCGAACCATCAACAGTGCTCATGTACACGGCTGGTCAACCGCGTCCCGATCTCACCTCGTCTAGTCAAAACCACTGTGGAACCACGTCGTCGACTCGTCACTTACACCCGCTGTCGATTCACGGCAGTAGTAACCCAGCCTCATCGGGGCCCGTCCTCATCGATTCATCAGTCTTTGGTCTTGACGAGCCGTTTGTGTCCGCCGTCGAGAACAAACAACCGATTCACCGGTCTCTGGCAGACCATCTGCAACGCCTCAGCCGGACCGGTCTCTGTGTAAGCGGCGGAGGAACCTCAGCTTCATTTCCCGCTCGTATTCGATTTCCCCGGCTTTGAAAGCCCCAACTTCACCATGGGCCTGCCTCGAGCTCTCCCCGTTGCGGCCGGCGCGCTGGCTCTGATTGCCACCATTACGATTGTCATCATCCACGTCGTCCTCGCCGCTCACATTGCCGATGCGGCGCCTGTCCGCACGTCCTCGATTTTGTCGTCGATTTTGGAAAGCATTCTTTTGGTATTCTTGGGATGGATGTTGTCGACCAACTTGGTTGCCAGATTTAGGAATTCTTCAAAGCGCTTCATCAGCGCCATGTTTGGTGCGAGTGTCCTTGTCTGCACCATGGCCACTGCTGCGTCTGTAGCCACCATGATCTGCCTCAGCAACGCCACGAGGGACCTGGCGGGTACCGTTCTCGGTGCGACCCAGACGAGCTTCCTCATCGCTTCGTCCGTCGCTCTCGGTCTCTGCTTTGCTTGTCAGCTCATTTTCATTGTCATTCATTTCGTCTTGGCCCGCCTCGTTGCCCGCGACGAGTCCGGTTCCATGCACACGGACGAGGAGTCCCAGAGATCTCCCAACGTCCACATCAAGTCAGTTCCCTACCACCGCACTTCACCTACCTTTGAAGGCAGGAGCCGGTCCACCTCCATGGGCTCGCAAAGCCCGCCGCAATCAAGCAGTGGGCGTTCCGCCACCGATACGTTGAGCTCGTTCCGCTCCTCGTTGTCCAACGTCGTCCGGCCCATCTCCTCCAGAACCCGCCTGCTTCCTCTGCGGGAGAAGCGTCGGGCAGAGTCGATTGACTCGAACCACTACCGCTCGCGATCGAGCAGTGTCAACGAGGATTCGTCCTTTGACTCGTGGGACACGTCCTCGGTCGACATGCAGAGCCGCATGACCGTCCTCGGCACGTCCTCGCCCCCCGGCAGGTTTTTGGAAACGATCCCTGCCAGCCCTACTACCAGTCGCAGTCCCAGCCCCGGAACGCCGTTGGATCTGGACCTGGAAGCCCCGCGCACTCGTCGTCGGAGCCGCAGCTACAGTCCCAGCCCCATGGGCACCCTCCGCAACCCCGAGCCTACCTTTACGCTGCAGACTTCTGCCAGCGAGTGCTCTCTGCGGCGTCCCGAGCCCGCCTTTACCATGCAGGGCTCGGCCAGCGAATCTCACATTCACCCCCTATTCCGGTCTGATTCCCCAGACCCGCCGCCGATGGTGACCCCCGGCACGGTCGTCACCGCGGCGCCAGATGCCGGCCGCGTCATCTCGGACCGGCACAGCGTTCGCCGCATGCGCAGTGGCAGTCTGCCCGGAGGACCTAGCCCCCTCAGCCGCACCAGCAGCTATGACAACTTTTTCCCCAACGGCCAGCCGCCCGTCAAAGAAGAAAAGGAGGAACTCCCATCACCCCAAGAGGAGGACGAAACACTTGGTGAGAGACAGATGACGCCCCCGATCCCAGAGTGGATCCTAACCGCCGGAGCCAGGACGAGCCTGAACGGGTACCAAAGTCGGAAGCTCCGCATCGACGGGGACGCCGAGCAAGAGCAATCATGATGACGGAGGGACGCACCATCGGCAACAAGAGGTGTGTCCAAGGAGAAAATCTGACCCGGCGTGGTCTTCATGAATGTTTAATTGCTATTTTGTCCTCGACGACAACAAGGGAGTACGAGCTCGGGCGGTGATACCATATTTGGAGACTTTTATTTTTTCTTTGTCCAGCGCGGCGTTGTCCTGGGAGGCAGAGTAGGTTAAAAAAATATCCAACATCGAGCGGCCAGAGAAGCCGCCGACAAGCTAGGATAGATGGCTACAGCAGCTAAAACAATTTAACGAGTAACGAAATCTGGTGCGTATTTCTGAAGTGTGGTTGGATTGTGTGTCGACCTTTGAACGTTTGGAATGATGCTGCGAATGGAAATGGACATGTCGGAATATGGATGATCCCGCGCCGCTCCGCATGGGCTTCCCGTTGTGGACTCCCGGGCTAAGGTAGGCACGGACCTCAGCGATGGTCCCAGGCGTTCCTGCACGTATCCAGGCGGGAGAGAGACACTCTATTTGAACCGGGCAGGGCAGCTCAGGGAGTGGCCTGTGATGTTATGCGAGGCGAGTAAGTATATGTTCTACGTGTCTGTGTAGCCTATGGATGGATACCTTAGAGCCGGGCACCTTTGATCAACTCTTTGTGTGCTGCTGGTCTTTAACGGTAAATGTCAGTTGTCAACGTGGCTAGCAAACCCCAGAAGCTGGTGCAACACCCCGCTTTCCGCAAGGTAGGCAGGCAGGTAGCTGCCCACCGAAAATTTCTGCAGACTTGCAGATGGTCTGGCTGTCTGGGTAGGTATCCGTATGTTGGCGAATGATTGGGAGCGCAAGGCAAAACTGAAAAGGAAGTTCGAGTGCCATGTTCTCGTTGCCTGTCATCCAATGGTTTTTGGGGGTTCTAGACCAGGTTCTTGAAAGGTTGCTCCCCTCACCCTTTCTTACCTCATCTTGGATGCCTAGACAGCCACAGCACCTTGAGATCAAATTGCACCGCCACTTCTAGTGGGAGAAAAAACAGAGTTTGGCTAGGAGAGAAGCCACCCGACCCAGGCCGATGCGCTAGGCCGTTGCTGGTGCTCCTGCCTGGCTGGTGGTGGTGACCTGGACTTGTCGGTTTTAAGTGGGGAAGCGGCGGTCCATTGCTTAGGTTGCTCACCACCACTTGACCACTGACCACTGACCACCACTATGGACAGCCATCCAGCGAGTTCCATTGTGCAAGGTACCTCAGCCAACCAACTAGAACCGCCTGCCCGCCGCCTTCCCCCACTGCGCGGCACCAAACACTGACTTCAGTCACCACTCACCTTCGTCATCTCCATTAAATCTGTACCTTAGCAGTCTTTCCCGCGCACACAACAAAACACCAAGGTGACGGGTTTCTCTATCTTTCAACCCACTTGCTTCTGCGCATCGATCCCCAGCGCACCCATCCCCCATTCACGACTCTCAACCTTTCCCTTTATTCCCCCCATCAAATCAGCACCCTCAGCTCTTCCCTTGTGATTGCAGCCTTTTTGCTGCACCGAAGCTAGTCAAGATGAAGGTCACATTCAAGGTATGCCCAGCTCCGAGCCTCCTCCCCCACCACCACCTAGGCCATGATGGCATTGCGCCTCACCACAGCTTCAACCTTGAGCTTCTACTAATCATATCGGCTGTTTTCCAGGACTTGAAGCAACAAAAGTTCACGCTTGACGTTGAGCCCACCGACCCTGTGCGTCCTCACCCCCACCTCCGCCTCCGAGATGACCTTCCCACGGCTGCCCTTGCGATGTCCGACCTCGAAACTGACGAGATAAACAGATTTCGGTTGTCAAGCAGAAGATTTCTGGAGAGAAGGGATGGGACCCCAAGGACCAGAAGCTTATCTACTCTGGTAGGCAGCCCCGCCACCTGGAGGAAGGCGATGGCTCCGGCTGACAGCTACACTAGGCAAGATCCTCAAGGACGACGACACGGTCGAGTCCTACAAGATTGAGGAAAAGGGCTTCGTTGTCTGCATGGTCAACAAGGTCCGTAGCCCGATGGACAAATACCCGCGCTTGCTCGCGTGCCGTACTGACGATCCAACAGCCCAAGGCACCCAAGCCCGCCCCGGCCGCCGAGTCCTCATCTGCGCCCGCCGTCCCCGCTACGCCCGCTCAGCACGTCGCTGCTACGCCGGCTGCTCCTCCCGCTCCCGCTGCTCAGGCTGCTGCCCCTGCTGCGGCTCCCGCTACGCCGACTCCGGCCGCTAGATCTACCGGTGGCGATGCCGGCAATAACGACCCGTCAATGGCCATGGGCGCTCAGCGCCAGGAGGTGATTGCCAATATGGAGGCCATGGGTTTCGAGCGCGCCCAGATTGACGCCGCCATGCGCGCCGCCTTTTACAACCCCGACAGAGCCGTCGAGTACCTGCTCAGCGTGAGATCCGATACCTTGAGAATTTGGTTTGCCGGAAGCTGACAATGACAAGGGCATCCCCGAAGACGTTCAGGAGGAGCAGGCACAGCGACAGGCCGCTGCTGCGGCGCCCGTCCAGCCTTCTGGTGGTGCGCCCGCTGGCGGCGATGACGGCAACGTCAACCTCTTCGATCTTGCCGCCCAGTCGCGTGGTGGTAGCGGTGGTGGTGGTGGACGTGGCGCCTCCGCTGGCAACACCCAGGCCGCCGCCGCTGCTGCTGCCGCTGCTGCCGCCCAGGGTGGCTTCGGCAACCTGGACTTCCTCAGAAACAATGCTCAGTTCCAGCAGCTGCGCCAGGTCGTCCAGCAACAGCCCCAGATGCTGGAGCCTATCCTTCAGCAGCTCGGCGCCGGCAACCCCCAGCTTGCTCAACTGATCGCGAACAACCCCGACCAGTTCCTGCAGCTTCTCGGCGAGGAGGTTGACGACGACGTGCCTCTGCCCCCCGGTGCGCAGGCCATCCAGGTCACCGAGGAGGAGCGCGACGCCATTGAACGGGTGGGTTCCTCTTGACATTGTACGTGGATCACGATGCTGACTACTTTAGTTATGCCGTCTCGGCTTCGACCGTGACGCTGCCATCCAGGCCTACTTTGCCTGCGACAAGAACGAGGAGCTCGCGGCAAACTTCCTCTTCGACCAGCCCGATGACGACGATGCGCCCCAGAACTAAGCCCGACTCGCAACGACCGCATGACGACACAATCTATGACAGAAACGCAGGGCTCAGGAATTACCGGACGGGTTTGGCTCTCGACGACGTTGACGTGAGGAAAAGGCCTGGCGATATCTAGCCCAGGAGACAGGGTCCTCGTCAGCAGGGAGGGCACGAGGCCGCGTGGAGGTAGATGATGCAATCCTTTTTTTTCGGTAGAGCTGGTGGGGAGGGCAAGCAGGCTGAGGAAAATATGCGTGAAAAGACCTGAACGCATATGGAGGTCGCAAGCTACTCGCAGTCACAGATGCTCATTGCTTGTGTTTGACCAGGAAGGTTCCTGTTCCGGCTTGGTAGAGAGCGTGGCGTCAGTCTTAGGTAGCCAGGCCTGGTAGTACCGGGTAATTCAACTCTTCAGTGCCATTTGCTGGTCTGCGCCCGAGACTTTCATTGTGAGGCCAAAGTGAGTTGGCCTCGGTTGGTCCAAGTGGTTTGGCCTCACCACTTTTGGCGTTTGGCCTCACATCAGGTGGACTATTAAAGAGCGCCCAAACCTCGCCATTCCCAAATTTTTAGTTTCTTGTTTCTTCTGTATACTTACCTACCTGACGACTTCCGGAGATCAAGAGTACCGGGTCGTGGAGGAGGGGGACCTGCATTGCACACGTACACACACTTTTGCTGATCTACGTAGTAGAGTGAGTACCGCGGCCGTGCCCCTCACCGTGTGGGGCTCCTTTGCGGGAACCGTACGAGGTATAATTTTTGATTTCTTTTTGGACGTCTTTTGATGTCTGCACACGTTCGCCGTGGGATATTTTGTCTTTTATCGTTGTGGCTGGAGCTTTGGGCGATGGTATAGGAAAATGGATGTGTGAGTTTGGTATCTTGATCTTGCGCTTTACGAGAGTGGTGGGAGGTGTGTAGCTTCCGATGGGGCTGGGTTTGTCGTGGAGGATAGGCGTTTACTGGACGGTACTATATGATTACACAAGCAAACGGGTGCTGTCAAGTGTATAAAAGTGATTGAATTCTAGGAATGTAACCTCCATGACGATCGTCTTGGTCTCCTAGCCGTCCCCATTCGCCTTGATTCCCGAGTCCCCCCCCCCCCCCCCCCCCCCCTTCGCTGCCCATAAAAGAAACCTAACTGAAATACCAAACGCCGCCTTAATGCCCATAGTAGGGTCCCTGGTGTAATAGTAAAAAGGGGTATCTGTCTGTTCAAGACTGAAGGAAGCAAGCCCGCCTGCCCGCCCCTCTGTCTACGCTGCCATGAATCTTGGTCCCCCCCCCTTTCCGTGTATCATACAAGCCCCTTGTATTCCGTTGGTGTGTACACGCGCGCGTGTGCTCAGTGAATAATCTCACCGCGCATGTTATACTCCACGGCCTTCTTCTTCGTCTTGCCCGCGCCCCTCTTCTTGCGTCCCGCGTCGGGATCCATGTTCGTCTCGTCAATGGTGATCATGCCGTCCGCGTCAACCGTAATCTGAGGGCCGACGTTGGCTTGCTGCCTCTTGGGCTTGGCGCCGCCGCTACCACCACCACCACCGCCGCCGCCAGCAGCACCCGCAGCAGAATCCTCGCCTTCGGCATCCCCTCCACCCTCTCGCTTGTCCTGCAGCGACGCGAGGTTCCTGGCATTGATGGCGTCCTTGGCCGCCTTGATCTTGGCCTGCTCGGCGTCGAACTCGGCCTGCTGCGCGCGCTGCGCCGCCATGATGGCCTCGACGGGCTCGTACTCGGCCTTTGTCCACGTCTTGTACTCCTCCAGGTCGATCTGCAGCTCCTTCTTGCCGACGAGGATGGCGTCGATGCGCGCGGGCCGGTGGCGCTCCTCGCGGTTGAACTTCATCTTGACGTGCCGCCGGTTCTTGCCGGGGAACATGCCGCTAATCATCTGGAAGTCGGTGCCAAACATGCGCAAGCCGCGGTAGAACAGCTCCGTCTCCTCCTCGTTCCAGACGTTGGGACCCTTGAGCTTGGAGCCCGTGCGGTAGCTGTTCTGCGTCGTCAGCGTCGTGAAGTCGTTTTCTTCAATCTCGAGCATGTCCTCGCCCTCGGCGGCCGCGGCGGCGATGGCGTGGCGGTCGAGGCTGAGCGAATTTTGGTCCACCACGATCTGACCGTCAATGATTTGGAACTGGGGCCCGCTGGAGACCATGCTGGTCGGTTTCGGCGGCAGGGGGGCCGCCGGCGTGGCCTGGTCGCTCGCCGGCGCCGGCGTCCCGCTCTCCGAAGCGACGTCCTCCGAGCCGTTCCTCTTCGCCTTGAGTCTCTCTCTAGACTTGGCCTGCTTCTCGCGGTGGCGTTGGAGCAGCTCCTCGTGTCTGCTGAACTTTTTGCCGATACGGAGATCTCGTGTTAAATCGCCCATGGTAAGTGTGGTGAGGTCGGCCTCCTGGTCCTCCGCGTCTTCTGGCGTCACTGAGCGGGCTTGCCGAGGTCGTGCTGACTTGTTAGTCGTAGCAGTGGCATCCGTCTCTCCTTCTTCCGTAGTCTTCTTCTTTCTCAGCCGGGGCGGTCGTTTCGGCGCGGCTTCCCCGTCTGCCGGCCGCTTTCGTTGTCTCTTGGGTTTAGGAGCCGAGGCACAGTCTTCGCCCTCTTCGGTGTTCTCGCTCGTCTGCGTTGTTCGTTTTTGAGGTCGCTTGGCAGGTGCCTTCTTGGCGGCAGTCTTTGCTGTGTCATCCATTGTCGCTGACTGCGCAGCACTCTCTGCAGAGAGCACCACGTCGGCCAAGGGAGCAGTAGCAGGCGGGGTCTGGAGTTGAGCTGGTGTCGATGCCACGTTGACAATAGCCTCTACAGCAGGAGCGGGCGTCACGGACGGCGGCGGCTGTGGACGGCTTGGTGTTGGCGGCTCTTTTGACTGATGTTCTCCAGCTGATTCCACTGTTGAAGCGGGCTCCGCAGATGACTCGCTCGTCGCAGGTTGTGTCTGAGGCGTGGCAGCCTTCTTCGTGCTCGGCTCGGTTGATGGCGGGGTACTCGTAGGCACGTCTCTGGGTGTATCTCTCGATTCGGCTCGTTTTTCGGCGGTCAACGGCGCTGTTTTCTCTGTTGATTCGCTTGAGCTACTCTCTGCTGGAGTTGCAATTGGGGCGGCAGTCGTCGACGGGGCCCTTGATGGCTGTGGTGCTGCTGCTGCTGCTCCTGCTCCAGGCGCTCGAGGACGGGCCATGGGCATTTTTGGCTTGAAGGCCATGCCGGCCTTTTTCTTGAACATAGAACTCATTATGGCGATTGCGTCTAATATTCTTTGTTTTTATCGGTGCGGCAAGATCCTCATGGTCGGAGTTGAGGTTGAAAATTGGATCTGGTGGATTGTCACTTGCGAGCCAGACTTTTGCCAATCGCGGCGGGACAGTGACTGAGGTGGGATGCGAAGAAAAAGTGCTTCTGATAAGTAGACGCGGGACCCGATAATTAGCCGGTACGGAGTACCGACGTTGCTGTGCAGTGCGCGGAGCGCCTTACTGGTTGATAAGGCCATAGATGGCCAGCACAGCGCTAATCCTGTTTGGGGAGTGGACCGGCTGGCTTGATTTGAACGTGAAGCGTCGGTGTTCAACCTCGAAAATTCAACCTCCTTGCCCCAAGTATTCCTCACCCATCATCCGCGCCGAATCAGCACAGCACGACTCCGTCGACTCTCGCATGGCTCGCATCAATCCCTAAGCACGCCCAGCTGTCCCACGCAGCGCATTTCATCGCTCTCGCCCGACCGCGGCCGCACACACCGTCTCTACATCCTCCCACCTTTCTCATGCCTGTAGCGACCTCAGCCCCGACTGCCTCTCCGCGTCCGTCCACCTTAGCCAAGATGGAGGACAGGAAGAGACCTCCCATCAGCACCGCCGAGGACCTCGCTCCTCCGAGCAAACGACATCAATCCGTCAATGGAAGCAAGCCCAAGGGCGATAGTGGCGACCACGCCGAGGAACACTGGATCGAGGTAAGTGTCACGAGACACGTTATTCCCCAACACATCAAGTTTTCTCAACAATCAATGGACCCCTACGCGATTCCCCTCTGCCATCAATGGCGACGCGACATCTCGATCATCGACTGCCCCCAGCCACGCTCAACACTGGCGGACTGCGATCGACTGGCCTGGAATGGCCTTTCGATCCGCCGTCGAGGGCGACGAGGCTGCCTGACGGCTATCCGTCTCCCTATCACACGCATCCGACTATCCCACACGCCTTTTTTCATCGCCTGGTGCGAAAAGAATACACGGAGAGGGCGCGAGCTGATGATGAGTTCAGAATTACCAAAAGGGTGCCATTTATCGGCAACTTTTAGAAACAAAAAGGGAAAAGCAAGAGTTTGAGTCGCGCGTCGAGCAATTGCAAAAGAATATTGTATATCGCGAGGATCACATCCGCATCATTGAAGCATGGTGGAAGCAGGTCAGTTTGATTGATCCCTTGACTCGGTGGCATGGCTGACCCCCTCACAAGGTTCTAGAGGAGATGGAGCAGCTCGTGGACCCTGCGACACCCCCCTCAGGCCCGACAAGTGAGTCCCCTTGTCGCATCCACCTCGACGTGAGACTGACAGACCAGACCCTCCGTACATTACCAGCACGCACTTTAAAGATAACGACGAGTTCCAAAGGCACCTTGACGAGACAGCCTCTGATATAAAGAAGCGAGCCGAAGCTGTGCTCAATCGCATCGCAAATGCCAGGGGAGAAATTACGCCAAACATTGCTGACCTCGAGACTCGGGTCAACAGCCTGCTCGCGCAGCAAAAGGAATATCTGGTCAAGTTGGACCGTGCACATCAAGAGAATGAGCAGCTATCGGAAGACCTCAATAAGGCTAGCCTCCGGTTCTTCAAGGCCGAAAAGCGCATGGACAGATTAAAGAGCGCGCAGGTACAGAAGCTCGAGCAACAATTCATCGCCAGCGCCAAGCCGACAATCGCCGCGGGGGAGAATGGGCAGGATGCCGCCGAGGCAAACGGTAATGCTGCCGAGGCACTGCTCAAGTTTGAGGAGGCATCGGCGGTCGTCAACAAGCAGAAGGAGCAGCTGGAATCTGCGCAAGCCGATATCAAGACCCTGCAGGAGGAGAACTCGGCGCTAAAGGCACGACGGGAAGGCCTCACTGACGAAGATTTCATTCGGACCGACGTGTTCAAGCAGTTCAAGAACCAGAACGAGGACTTGATCAAGCGCGTCAACCACCTGGAGGCTTCAAACAAGCAGTTGCGAGAAGAGGCGGAAAAGCTGCACTCTGAGCGAACGGCGTTCCGGACCAAGCTCCACGACGAGGCGCAGGCGATAACATCGGACCTGGAGCGCGCAGTCGAGGAGCGCGATGCCGACCTGACACGAATCCGCGCCGCCCGCGATGAGTGGTACGCCAAGGCCAACATGCTGGAAACCCGAGAAAAAGAGGAGAAGCAGGCGCTGCAGCACCTCAAGGAGCTCACGGGTGCCCAGGAGGACCGAATCGCATCTTTGGAACTGGAACTGCAGCGTCTCAAGCCCGAAGACCAGCCGATGGCGGATCCCGATCCCGAACTGGAGAGCATGCCCGCCGACGAACTCATTTCAAAGTACAAGAAACTGCAGCAGGACTTCGAGTCGATCAACAAGGAGTTGCCCGCTCTCCAGCAGGCGTACAAGCGATCGATGGGTCTCGCACAAAAGAAGGTAATGGAGTACACGGTTCTCGAGGATCGCGCAGCGGCCGCACTCGCCGAGAAGCAAAAGGTCGATCAAAAGTACTTTGCGGTGAAGAAGGACGCAGACATGCGAGACCGCGAACTGGGCGTGCTCCGAAGTCAGAACCGGAAGAGCTCCGAGATTGTTGCGCAGCTCAAAGAGGTGGAGGCGCAAAACCGGATATTGATTAGCAACCTCGAGAAGCAGCTCTCGGATCTGAAGCAGGCCAACGCGGCCATGGCTGCGGAGCACAAGAAGATGGAGTCGAGCAGTTCCGACGCAGCGCGCCGGGTCGACTCCTACAAGAACCAGATTGGCGAGTTGACCAGCCTGGTCAAGTCGCGCGACGCGGCCATGGCTGCGGCCAGGGAGCGCACCACAACCCAGGAGGCGGACGTTGAGCGCCTCAAGGTCCGCGCCGATATGATGCAAAAGGAAAAGGACGAATGGAAACGCAAGGCGTTGAGCAATTCGTCGGAAGAAGAAGAGATGCTAAGAGTGAGTCCCCTTGATGAAATAGCACGGAATGAAAGCTGACTGGTATACAGACCTTTGCACTCTGCACAGTGTGTCGCAACAACTTCAAAGATACGGCCTTGAAGACGTGCGGGCATCTTTTCTGTCACCAGTGCGTAGACGACCGGATCAGCAACCGGATGCGCAAGTGCCCCAATTGCTCGAGGGCCTTTGACCGACTGGACGTCATGTCTGTTCACCACTAGCCGCCGTTGTGCGGCTTTACTGCCCGACTCGGCTCACGTGTCGGCTGCTGTTTTGATATGCTTCAAAGACGTTTGCGCAGCTTGGAGTTTGCTCCCGTGGCAGGGGATTTCATGGTATGATACCTTTAAGACGCTCGCGATTGGAAATGATGGATCGTTGTACTTTTACGTGTATGGAAGACGGCCTGGACCTCGGAAAAAAATGTACATAATGTCATGCTCCCTTCCTTTGGGGTTGATCACACACTAGTTGGAGGAGGTGGGCGAGAGGAGCATGTACGAGACCACGTGGGGAACAGGATAGACCTAGAGTCGAGCTGGCTCACATGACGTTCAAATTACTCTATGCCTACTTTCAAGTTTACTATCTCCTGCTGGTGGACCCGAACCCCGTGCTTTCGTGACGAGCCGAGCTTGATGAGGAGCTGGTCGACCTGGACGGGCCAGCCCCATACGAACTCGAACCGCTGGTCGTGTCACCGCCCCACCCCGAGCCGTAGTTTTGCTGGTTCCGCGCGCTATTTCTGCCTTGGTAGTAACCTGCCCCGTAGCCCGCGGCACCGCCAGCCCCCGCGCCAGTCCAGAACCCAGGGCGCCATCCTTGCTGGTTGCTCGAGCTGGATGGTTTGGTGCCTGGGTACGGCGGGGGAGGATCGTCGTCTTGACCGAAGCCGGGGTTCCATCCGCCTCCGCCGCCACCTCCGGGCCCACCACCGCCACCGCCTCCTCCACGGCGTCGACCGGTTCCGCCATTCCTTCGATTCTGAGTGCCGGCCACGCACGCCGAGTAGAGGATCCAAGCCAAGACGGAGAAGAAGATGAAGCCGAAGAGATAGGCACCCCAATCCGTCTCATCGTCATCTCGACCACTCTTACCACCGCCACCGCCGCCGCCGCGTCCCTTGCCCAGGTTCGGATACCGCCTCTCGCCCTTGTCCGTGAGAGCGAGACGGTACTCGACACCACAGCTGCCGCGGAGGACGTAGGGATCGTCGGGCTGGCTGTAGCCTTCGCACACGACGTCGGTGGACCCGAGCTTGAGCTCCTCGGGCAGCGAGGCCACACAGGACCACTGAATGTCTTCGGGGCCATAGCCGGCGCCGTTGTTTGTGCAGCGTATGACGTCGATGGCGTGGAGATTGCAGAGGGAAGGGTGGGAGAGGCATTTGAGCTGGGGCGCGGCGGGGACGCGGCGGTGGGTTGTTGTTGCGCCGGCGCCGCGAAGGGTGAGGGATTGGACTCTGGAGAGGAGGATTGCGTCTTTGGAGGGGGGTTTGGATGTGGTGGCGGCGGCCGCGGCGAGGCATGCCATGCTCATGGCGAGAGGAAGTGAGAGATGCATTTCGGTTGGTTGGTGATGTGAGGTGAAATTTGGAGTTGTCAGTGTTGATGTTGATGCTGTTGCTTTTGACAATGTGACGTCGCTTTGGATGTCCCGCGTGGTCGCGGGGTTGCCTCGCGAAGGGGAGTAAGGTAGGTAGAGTGCTTCGCCGCGGTCCTGGTAAAATAAGAAGATTTGACTACAAATACCTAATGAAGACTAATGTCTGGATTTTGATAAATCAGGCAGAAAGGTTGTATCTCCGAAGAGGACAGGTATGAGATGAGGTTTAAGCAATTCTCACTGGACCGCACCAGTGACGAGCCTGTGGTGATGTGGGATTCAGGTGCTTTTCGGTGAAAAAGGTGGCGCAGCAGTGGCGAGTGTGGGTGAATAAACGGGGCCAACGTATTGCGTCCTGTGGCGCTCCCACAGACCTTTTTGGGCTTCAGTCACGTGCCTGATGACAATCCAAGCATCCTCCACTTTTCCTGTCCTGGGCTGTCGGGTCATGGAAGTTGAGGAGTCCAAGCTTTTTTGGATTCCCCCATATCGAAGAAGAAAAAAGGAAAGAAAAAGGCTTGGCAAGCGTTGTCGTGCATCGCCAAGACGGGTATCACAGTTTTTTGTTTTTTCCCTCCTTCTAGTAGATTGATTAGCACTGCTGATACGGAGTACAGAAGCATATTTGGCGGGAGCGCTCAGTCACTGCCAAAGTTAATAAATATTCTCCTTCTGTCCTTGTACCACCAACCATCCATGTACCCCTCCCCCCAAGGTCGGTGCTTGTCCACGGTTCATTGGTTCTACCTTTGCTGACTGTGAACCAGATCCTCGAGGCTCATTTTGCATGATGGCAACTAGCGAATCTCCGACCCAGGGAAGTTAATCTCATTTCACGGTATCACTGCCCGTCGTGACAGGCTGGTACACTGGGCAAGGGAATATGAGTCTGCAAGGTACGGGCCCCACATGCTTCTGATTTCCACACCGTACGGATACACTACTTTGGAGTATGAAGCACATGAAGTACACGGGCACATCATGAAGTTGGCGATGTGGACGGACAGGCAGTGAGGATACCACCGATTCACGTAAAAGGCAGAAATCACAGCATCAAGGACAGATGCTCGTTCCCACCACGCACGATTACCTTCGCAGAAGCAGCCTCCTTCCAATATAAAAAGAGAAAAAAGAACCTGTGGACTCACGCCCGAGTCAAGCCCGTTCTGCCCCAGAACCGCCCCCCACAGGTACTTCGTACAGTCCATCAATGAAACGGCCAGAACCAGACCAAGGTCCCCCGACATGGATCCCGTCTCGCGTTCGGCTCGGTTTCGGGCTCCACACGCTAGTTCAACTCGTCTTTTCTTGTGGTCCCAGATCCATACCATTCCCACCAACATCGCGGCTGTCCCCTTTGGGGCTGGGGGGATGGCACGAAGGGCTCATAGTGTCGTGCCGTCAAACGACGACCGGCGGCAGGAACGCGTCAGCCAGACTTGAGGAACATGAAATTCTCCCCGGCATCTGAATTTGGTTCATCGAGGCAAGGAAGCTTTCGTCTAGATCAGATCAGATAATGCAGGTCCCCCCCCAACATATGCATAGCAAAAAGGGATAGGACGTGCTCAGGAACCTCCCCCCGTCCTCGCTGGGCCTTCGTGGAGCCTTTCTTTGGCCTCTGGACGTCCCGCCTGTTTGGACGTGGTCCGAGGTTGACACTGGGAGTTCGTGACACGGGCATTTGACGTGCTGATCCAGCTCTCTACTACTATTTACCGATTCTCGCTCTCGTCGTTCAACGGTTCCCTAGGTATGACATTACCAGGGGATCGACGGCAAGACACTCCTGACGAGAGAAGAGGTATCGCCAAGTCGTGCAACAAGCTTCGTGCAATGCCTGGGTCTCTCCAAATCGGCACCGAAGACGGCGATGCCATCGGCAAGAGACTCTGGAGCTGAGCGCTGACCCATGGATTTCCATGCCAAGCGCCCACACCTTGCGCGCTTCGCATGCCGCAAAGGTTCGAGCCGTTCAGGTTCACTTCTGCGTCCATTACTCGAGAAAAGGTTTACTGGCGAGAACACACCAGATGAATCACCATGCGCTTGTCCTGACATTGCATCTACCAGGGCCACCCTTGATCAATACCCCCCAAACTTGGAAGAATCCAAGCATTGCAAAACTGCTGATCCTACTGAGTACCTTGCAAATGTCTAATCGCATTCTGTCTGGCACGCAGCAAGCGCGTCTTGCCCTGCTCAAGAAAGCTTACAAACCTGCTGCCCGCCTGCAGAAAGGATCTATCGAGTACGAAAACTTGGCGCGCTCGGGCAGGGTATGGGAAGATTACTTTACGCCCGGCAATAGCCTCAAGATGGGATACGTCGATGTGCAGTAGAAACTAACGCGCCTGCTGGACGGAATAGATCACCTCAGAGCGAGACTCCCAGTAAGGGATCTGGGGAAAGCCCTGGTTGCCGAACACGCGCAGCAGTCCGTCATGATTGAGAACAACCCTCTGTCAGTGACGGACGCGATCCGCATTGTCGACCGCCTCCAAAGTGGTCTCGAGCAAGTGGACCTTGCATCCACGTCCAGCAGCGAACTTGCCAAACTCGTGTCGACTACTGCAGCAGGCGCAGATGCCACCGAGTCAGCCACGAACGAGCCGCGGAACCACATCATCGCATCGCAATGGATCGCACAGAACGCGGCGGCCAAGGCTGGTACCGCAGGACTATGCGAAGCCGAAGTACGAGACCTCGCCGTGGTGTCCGTCGTCAACACAGACTCCGAGGCGGCCTACGACACCTGGCGGACAGGTTCAACAACGGCAGGCGGCAACTTGGCATGGGGATCGAGGGTCCCGCTGGGCGAGTATCGCAACCTGCCCATCAGCGTCCGCAGCAACCGTCTTCGAATCTTTCCGTACCCGCAAGAGGTCCCGGCCTGCATGCAGAGGTTCTTCTAATGTTGGCACCTACAGCATCGGGAGAAGACGCTGCACCCGCTGATTCTGGCTTGTCAGATGACATCCTACTTTGTTCTCGTTCATCCGTTTCCCGATGGCAATGGGCGTACCAGTCGCATGGTGAAGCAGGACTACCTGGCGCGTCAGGGCTACGTTCCCGTCGTCAGTCGGGACTTGAAGCGGGAAGACTATCTGCGGATGATCGACGGCGCCGGCGAAGGCAAACCGGAGGAATTCGTAACAGCAGTGCTTGAGGCTCAAGTGGTGGTGCTGCACCAGGCTTCCACGCGCCTCGAGACATAGGTAGCACAAGTGGCACTGTCGCTCCACGTTTGATTCGTCCCGGTGCTACGGTACGACCGTGGAAGTCATCCGGTCAGGGTAGGGCTCGGAGAATTTGGCGGTGTCTTGTGGCGTCCCGGGAGACCGACGATTGCTGACCGCCGCGGGATAGTGGGTTGTTGAAACAAGCGACAGCTCGCATCTGCTAAGAGAATGCGAGCAGATACGGTTTGGCTGGTCGATCGGGGGACGGCGCCAAATTAACCGCCGTACGGGTAGAGAGTACATACGTTACGCCCGCGATTCAGTTTAGCGTGAGGCCCCTATCACAAGTACACTAGCTACGGCGGCGACATATGCTCCGTGGCCCGACTGACATTGTCTATCGTCCAGGTAGCTTGCCTAGTAATCATTTCAATAGACCATATCCGAGCCCGCGTATTCAAACGTTACACGTGCCTTTGTGCTGGCATGAGACCACGATCAATGACAGCATTTGGCGCGTCGTCCAAGGCTCACCCCTGTTGACGGGAGCGTGAGAGGGCTGCGGGGACCCTTCAAAGTCTGAAATCCAGCAGCTCGTCTAAACCAACAACTGGTTGAGACGAGCTGTTCAATAGGTGGCCGCGGCAGCACACCGCTCCTGGGAACCAGGGAACTTTGGCCGAGTCCAGATCGTCCCGTCCACGACACTGGGAGAGGAATCATTGGCTGGAGCGCATTCCTGGCAGCCATCACGAATTGCAGTCTGAACTCTGTACCTTTTGGATTGTAAGCACTTGCATTTCGTATTTCGTTTCCGACGACATCTGCGCCCATGGCAGAGTAATGATTTATGAAGCGTCGTAATCGTCCAGCCGCCGGAATGAGACAGCCCGGCACGGATACCCGACCCCAAGGACCTCGGACCTCAAAACTCAACGTTGTCGTTTACGGTTTATCCGCTGAGCCCCCTTTTGAATCGCTCGCACTCCCCTCCGCGGACTCACAGGATCGGGGCCCGAGGGGACGTTATCGCCGGCGCCTCAGGACTGGTCCGGACATAGGTGGGATAGAGACCCGGCCCGCGCCAGACCCTTGTCACCTTCAGACTGTCAGACAGGATTCTTAGGACAAGCGGCGCAAGATGAGAGGGATTGCCCTTATCATCAGACAAGTGTATCGGTAGATTATTCGGTGGGTGCGTATGGCGGGGTACAGAGTACATTCGCTCAGCGCTGTAACACGTAGCAACACCCCTCCAAGCTGAAAGAGCAACCGCAAGGGGTAGGCAATGTTCTAGAAGCTGTTCAAGGGACCGTGGAAAGGAAATGAACTGGATCGGAATTCGGACTGCTGAAGAAACCCGAGGGAGGGGCAAAGCCGCAGAATGGAATTACTGGCGGGGGAGCGTAGCGGCGTAGGTCGTTAAGCGAGGCGCTGGGCTGGGCTTCTATCACGCCGGCTGACTCGACCGGGGGCGGCAGCGAGACACGGGCCTGACTTGGACTACGGTGAGACAGAACGGGTTAAGACGGGTGTGGGTACGGGTGTACGTAGTACCTACCGAGTGTCGCAGGTACCTGCTTGCCAGTGCTGACCTCGTGCTTACCTCGACAGCAGCTGCCTTCCTGCCTGCTGTTTTGGCCGGTGGATGATCCGAACATGACGTGCAGGTTGCAAGCCCAAAGCACGGCTTCTCCGAGACTGTGGTCTTTCTCGATTGCTGGACCGGCGTGCTGGGATTGCTTGTCGAGGATACAGACGAAACACAATCGATTGCTGGTTGGAAGCGTTGGGACCGGTAAAGGCTGAGTTTTGACTTTGGTCCATTACACGTATACTTCGAGGCGTATCGGGGACGTGTATGAAGCGAGATACGAGGGATCAATCGTAATCAATCGAGTCTGAAAACCCCATTTGGTTGAGAGACAGGAGAGAGGAACTTTGAAAGGGGAGTACTCCGTAAGGATTGCCTAGGAGATCCACAAAAGCGGTAGCGTCGATTCAAAGGAGGACGCAGTGCTTGCCTTTTTCTGTGAAGGTGCGTGCAGGTACTGTGCGTACTCTGTACTTGCCTCCCCGTCTCTATGGCTCTTTTCCCCAGAATATCACGCGGAAGGCGGCCTGGGCAAAAGCATACCAAGACAGGAAAGAAGGAGCGGAGAAGGAGAAGGAGACAGCTGAGCCTTAGGGTTACTGCTGAGGCCCGTCGACAACGTGGGTGCTAAACTCCGTACCTACTTTTGTACTAGTCACTAACAGTTACAGGTCGCAGTGCGCACCAAACCGTTGAATCCCGGTCCCTTTTGGCTCTTGAACCCCGGCGCAGACCCGATGTGCAGTGTTGGTTTACTGCGCAAGCTGCGGTATCACAACCTTAGATTGGCTGCAATCATCAGTGCGTTGCAACTCGCTGCGGCTGCTGCTCATCGGCCCCACAGCTCGCAGCTCGCACTTCGCACTTGATGCCCTGCGAATCCAGCTAGCAAGACTGAATAGGCCAATGTGAGTAAACCGGATACACTTCGTACACACCACCTATGTTGATGTGGTAACAAAGCCCTATAGAGTCTTACATGTGCATCATCGTTCCCGGGTGACTAACACCGGTGTCGAAATCGGCGTGCCCAACGGGGAAGGGATCGCACTAGGTACTTACTTTTGGTACCTCTTCATACCCAAACGTACCAAAGTTCCTTCTCTCATCTGGTGATGGGCGGCGGGCCAATGAGTCAACATGAGATGGACGATAAACACGCATGTAGGCGGCGCGGTTCGGGCATGGTAGAGGTACGCAAGGAACCGAGCTAGTCACAGTTCGGGAAGTTGACAAGAGCGAGGTCAGAACGGGTCGGTTGCATTCCGTCGAATCTCGTCCCGGCCGGTTGCCCCCATCTCCTCCTCGTGCTAGGCCCGCCGTCCATCTATATCAAATGTGTACACCCCAGTCCGTCCCTCGCCAAGGTCCTGGGGACTTTTTTTTTTTTTAATTCCACAGTCCACACCTTCGCGACGGATTCCACTAATCCCTATCCTGGCCTGCAACCCGAGTGGGAACTGGGAACGCCTCTTTTCTCTATCCGTCCTCGTCCTTTTCTATTAAGTGTCGAGGGACGCCAAATCGACTACATCTGTTGTTTTCCCGCCCTTTGCCTGCCCCGATCCATTGTTGCGCGCGACAACAACGATCCCGACACCCCGATCGCCGCAAATTCTTTCTTGGCTTTCGCCGTGGTTGACTTACTTTTTCTTATTCTTCTTTGTTTACTGGTCTGCCCATAATCCATAGGACTGATTGTAATTTGGGGGGAGAACGATTCGCATCTCGTCGTCGGTCCAGCCTACCCAAACCATAGCACACAAGCCACACCAGCGACATTGGAACCCGACAAGCGCATTCCAACCAGCTTGCGCGCAGCGCATACCGGCGCAACAAGCTTTCCCCCACACACTGCGCACAGCTCTGCCAGGAGCCACGCCGCCGACATGTCTGTCGAAAACGAGAAGCCCGCCGGGGCCAGCGAAAAGGCAACAGAGGTGGCTGAGAAGACGGCCAGCAACGGCCACTCTGACAGGGCATCGTCCCATGGCGACTCGACCGAAGTGGATACATCGAGCCAGCCCAAGAACCAGACGGCCAATATCAACAACCTCGAAAAAGCCGACTCCAAGGCTATCGCACCAAAAGACCCCAGCGATGACCCCTACGAGCACCTGCCCGCCAACGAGGCTGCGATCCTCAAGCGTCAGGTCTTCACTCCCGAAGTCAAGGCCGGCATCATGACCCTGTACCGGTACTCTTCGACCAACGACCTGCTCATCCTCTCCCTGTCCGCCTTCACGTCTATCGTGGTCGGCGCCGCCCTGCCGCTCATGACGGTCATCTTTGGTAACCTGCAGGGCACTTTTCAGGACTACTTTGCCGGCAAGACAACCCAGAGCGACTTTAACGCAGAGATGGCGAGCCTCGTCTTGTACTTTGTCTACCTCGCCATTGGCGTCTTTGTGTGCCAGTACATCACCACGGTTGGATTCATCTGTAAGTTTGCGCACCCCCGGCGGGAGGATGCGAGTCTAAATCTGACACAACACCAAAATTAGACACGGGAGAGCACATTAGCGCGAAGATTCGCGAGCACTACCTCCAGAGCTGCATGCGCCAGAACATTGGTTTCTTCGACAAACTGGGCGCCGGCGAGGTCACGACCCGAATCACCGCCGACACCAACCTGATCCAGGACGGCATCTCGGAAAAGGTCGGCCTGACGCTCGCCGCCATCGCCACCTTCATCTCGGCCTTTGTCATTGGTTTCGTCCACTACTGGAAGCTCACCCTGATCCTCTTGTCTACCGTCGTCGCTCTTCTCCTGAGCATGGGAGGCGGCTCGACCTTTATCGTCAAGTACAGCAAGCAGTCCATTGAGTCGTACGCCCACGGAGGCAGTCTGGCCGACGAGGTCATTAGCTCCATCCGCAACGCCGTCGCCTTTGGCACCCAGGACCGCCTCGCCAAACAGTACGATGCGCACCTGACAAAGGCCGAGTTCTTTGGCTACAAGGTCAAGTCTGCCATTGGCGTCATGGTTGCGCTGATGATGACTATTCTGTACCTCAACTACGGTCTCGCGTTCTGGCAGGGAAGCAAGTTCCTCATTGACGACGGCATCAAGCTGTCCAACATTCTCATCATCATGATGTCCATCATGATTGGGGCCTTTAACCTCGGAAATGTCGCACCCAACGTCCAGGCCTTCACCACTGCCATTGCGGCGGCCGCCAAGATTTACAACACCATTGACCGCGTCTCTCCCCTGGACCCCTCCCGCGACGATGGAACCAAGCTCGAGCAGGTCGAAGGCACAATTCGGCTCGAGAACATTAAGCACATTTACCCGTCCCGCCCAGAGGTCACCGTCATGGAGGACGTGAGCTTGACCATTCCTGCGGGTAAGACCACGGCGTTGGTCGGCGCCTCGGGCTCCGGCAAGAGTACCATTGTCGGTCTCGTTGAGCGGTTCTACGACCCCGTCCACGGATCAGTGTTCCTGGACGGCCACGACATTAGCACCTTGAACCTGCGTTGGCTGCGTCAGCAAATGGCGCTCGTCAGCCAGGAGCCCACACTATTCGCGACCACCATCTACCAGAACATCCGATACGGCCTCATTGGCACCCAGCACGAGAACGCGTCCGAGGAGGAGCAGAAGAAGCTCATTGAGGAGGCGGCGAGAATGGCAAACGCTCACGATTTCATTACCGGTCTCCCCGAAGGCTACCTCACCAACGTTGGCGAGCGCGGTTTCCTCCTTTCCGGTGGTCAAAAGCAGCGCATCGCCATTGCGCGAGCCGTCGTGTCCAACCCCAAGAGTAAGTCAGCCATGTGCTTCTCGGCAGTGCCCTTTGCTAATTCCCCCTAGTTCTGCTCCTTGACGAGGCCACCTCTGCCCTCGACACCAAGTCTGAGGGTGTTGTGCAGGCCGCTCTCGAAGTCGCCTCCCAGGGCCGCACCACCATCACCATTGCCCACCGTCTGTCCACCATCAAGGATGCCCACAACATTGTCGTCATGTCCAACGGCCGCATCGTCGAGCAGGGTACTCACAACGACCTCCTCGCCCAGCAAGGCGCCTACTACAACCTCGTCACGGCCCAGAACATTGCCCGCGTCAACGAGATGGACGCTGCCGAGGAGGAAGCCATCGACGCCGAAGACGACGAGATTATCCGCAAGGCCTCGCGCGCCTCCGACAAGGGCTACGTTGCCGACCCCGAAGACAACATGGCCGCCAAGTTGCAGCGAACAAGCACCTCCAAGTCTCTGTCCAGCATCGCCCTCCAGAACGGAAAGGACGATGGTGAGGCCAAGTACGGTCTATGGACCCTCATCAAGCTCATCGCCTCTTTCAACCAAAAGGAGTGGAAGCTCATGCTCATCGGTCTCTTCTTCTCCATCATTTGTGGTGGCGGCAACCCTACCCAGGCTGTCTTCTTCGCCAAGCAGATTATGACTCTGTCGGTCCCCATCACCCCGCAGACTACCCAGGAGACTCTCCACCAGATGAAGAAGGATTCCGACTTTTGGAGCGCCATGTACCTGATGCTCGCCGGTGTCCAGTTCATTGCCTTTGTCATCCAGGGAATCGTTTTTGCAAAGTGCTCCGAGCGCCTCATCCACCGCGTTCGCGACCAGGCCTTCCGCACCATGCTTCGACAAGACGTTGCCTTTTTCGACAAGGACTCCAACACGGCCGGCGCGCTCACCTCGTTCCTGTCCACCGAGACCACCCACTTGGCCGGACTTAGCGGCGTCACCCTTGGCACCCTGCTCATGGTCACGACAACCTTGGTTGCTGCGCTGGCGCTCGCCATCGCCATTGGTTGGAAGCTCGCCCTCGTTTGTACGGCAACGATCCCGATCCTCATTGGCTGTGGTTTCTTCCGCTTCTGGATGCTCGCCCACTTCCAGCGCCGCTCCAAGACTGCATACTCCAACTCGGCGAGTTACGCATCCGAGGCCATCTCGGCCATCCGCACCGTTGCCTCGCTGACGCGCGAGGACGACGTCATCCGCCAGTACCAGACCTCCCTGGCCATCCAACAGCGCGCCAGCCTCATATCGATCCTCAAATCGAGCTTGTTGTTCGCCGCGTCCCAGTCCTTCATGTTTCTGGCTTTTGCCCTCGGTTTCTGGTACGGTGGTACGCTCATTGCCGATGGGCAGTACAACATGTTCCAGTTCTTTGTCTGCTTCTCTGCCGTCATCTTTGGTGCCCAGTCGGCCGGCTCCATCTTCTCGTTTGCTCCCGACATGGGCAAGGCTCACCAGGCCGCCAACGAGCTCAAGATCCTCTTTGACCGCAAGCCGACCATTGACACCTGGTCCAAGGAGGGCGCTTCTCTCGATGCCGTCGACGGCACCCTCGAGTTCCGCGACGTCCACTTCCGGTACCCGACCAGACCCGAGCAGCCCGTCCTCCGCGGACTCAACCTCGTCATTCGCCCCGGCCAGTACGTGGCGCTTGTCGGAGCGTCCGGCTGCGGCAAGTCCACCACGATTGCCCTTCTCGAGCGTTTCTACGACCCCCTTTCCGGCGCCATCTTTGTCGACGGCAAGGAAATTAGCACGCTCAACGTCAACGAATACCGCTCCTTCATCGCCCTCGTCAGCCAGGAGCCCACCCTGTACCAGGGCACGATCAGGGAGAACATTTTGCTCGGTGCCCACACAGAGGTCACCGACGAGGCCATTGAGTTTGCGTGTCGCGAGGCCAACATTTACGACTTTATTGTTTCGATGCCCGAGGGTTTCAACACGGTGGTCGGAAGCAAGGGTGCTCTTCTTTCTGGAGGTCAGAAGCAGCGTATTGCCATTGCCCGCGCTCTCATCCGTGATCCCAAGATTCTGCTGCTGGACGAGGCCACGTCCGCCCTCGACTCCGAGTCCGAGCACGTCGTCCAGGCTGCCCTCGACAAGGCCGCCAAGGGCCGCACAACGATTGCCGTGGCGCATCGTCTCAGCACCATTCAAAAGGCCGACATCATCTATGTCTTTGACCAGGGCCGCATTGTCGAGCAAGGCACGCACGCCGAGCTCATGAAGAAGAATGGCCGCTATGCCGAGCTGGTCAACCTCCAGTCCCTGGAGAAGAACAGCTAGACATATGCGTGGTGTGTATGAAGTGGGAAAAGTCGTTTGCCTGTTTTATCGCGAGCTGTATTTGCTTGCGGAAGACTTCATTGCGTCGTCGCTAGAGATATCCGGATCATGACACTGGTCCATGTCTTTTTTTTTCTTGCATCATTGGGCGTTTTTACTCGTTCACGAAAGAGATTTGTCAAAGGCGGTCGTCGCCGTCAAACGAAAAGGAGGTTAGATGGATGAGAAATGTCGGGGTGTTGTATGTAGCCTTTGGTTTAATTGGGCAGGGTTGAGAGAATAGACTCCCCTCCGTGGGTACTCGGGTAAACCGACTCGCTTAGAAGTAATTCCAATCTTTTCAAACGCTTGCGTTGCTTTCAGTGTGACTGTGCGTGGTGATTGCCTTGCGTAGTGATGGGTGCCGGGGGCGAGCAAGGCACTGGGGATATGATGCTTAGGCAGTTGCCCTTGGTTGGATGGGACTGGAGTGTGGCTGGTTGACATATCTCTGGCCCAGTCGGGATTGTAACCTCTTGCATGTGATGATAAGGACGTTGAGTTTGAGTTCACGATCTAAGCTGGCCGAGGCGGTGGGTGGCGTCGGTGAGGAGATGGACTTGATGGCTGCTGTGCCACGCGTTTTATGAATGCACTTGTTTTTTTGAACGGGAATGGAAAAGACGATACACTGATGACTGTACTTTCTTTTTGGTGTTGTGTTTCTATTTCTCAAAATCCTCTCCCCCCCCTTCGAAAAAAAAAAAAAAAACCAAACACACGTCTCAAAAACTTGTCAATCTGGAGACAACACGAGCATGGCCACCCAATCTAATCCGATCCAGCATAATCCAATCCAATCCCTCTCCCTAGCCTACTCGCGTAATCTTCCTATTCCTCCTCAATGGTACCCATCTCCTCGTCGTCCTCCACTGGTTTCTGCGCCGAGCGGGGTGTCCCAAACCGAGGGGAGGGCGAGTCAGAAGCAAAACTAGCCTCGGTGCTTCCGAGTTGAGCGTCCCGGAGACTCTGGTATATTTCGCGTGGGATGCCATCTTCGCCACTTTCCGTTGAGGACGACGCGCTGGATCGATTCTGCTGTCGACGGCTTGCGGTGGGAGGCTTCGCTCGACCTCGTGAGCCTTGAGTGCGCCAGTTGGAGCGTGAAGAGGGCCTGTCACTCGATGTCGCTGACGACGTCGGGCTGGCTACCATCGGGAAGAGCCTCTTCCAGCCCGAAGTCGCTCCAGTATCCTGAGGGTGAGCAACCGCGACCTTGGATGCCTTGTCCTGCTGAGCTTTCATCTCCTCTTGCGGCTTCTCATACGTGTTACTCTGCGGGTGGTGAGCACCCGCGACCCTGATTGCCTCGTCCTGCTGAGCTTTCATCTTCAATCTCTTATCCTCGTCTCTCTTCTTAATCCATTCGGCCTCTAACTTATCCAGCGTCGCAAACGTAGAGTACTTTCCAGTCGAGCCCTCCTCCGAGCCCTCCTCCGAGCCCTCCTCCAGAGGACCAAACTCTTGCACCAGCCACTCGTCAAACCTCGCTTCCGACCACTCGGCGTCGAACCAGCCAATGTAAAGCTCCATACCCTTGGGAGATGCTCTTTCCATCGGGTGAGGGGGCAGGGGCAGCCACTGGAGACAGTGCTGCTCCCTGCCAGGGCCTTGAGCCGACTTTGTATTGCGCCATACCTTCGTAAGGGTGAGATCGAGCAAGACGGGGCGCGGTTCATCTAGCTCGCGTACACCAGTGGCGGCTCCGTGGTTGCGAAGGGTGATGAAGACGTTTGCCGGGATGAAGTCGGCGTGTTCGACGCCAATGTGCATGTGGACCACGAGTTGGTGCAATATCTCACGAAAGGCCTTCAACCGGAAATGCTCGGTTAGCCTTGCCTTCTTTTCCCGAGTATTGCTTGTTGAGCCAGTGAACTTATGGAAGATGACTTCTTCGGTGGCGGGAAGGAGATAACCAGTCTCCTCATCCCTTTCGCAAAGCTCTTCTATCGCATGACCTTCGATGTACTCGACTAGAACTAAACCGGCACACCTGTACTTGTTTTTGCCCATTGCAAACCTGATTGCCCAGGTTCCGTAGTACTGGGGGATGAGATTGGGATGACCGGTGACTGTGTTGTTGGTGGCCTTGGAGTCGGATGCAGAGGCTTCGGGCTTGCCTCTCTCATAGAGGTATTCGTACGCTCCAGACTCTCGACTCAGGAGCTGCTCGGCGAGAACATCGTTGCCGTACAGTGCGGAGACGAGTCCATCTTCGCCCGGAAAGAACATGGGATCGAACACTTTGGCGACGACGAAGCTGGGCTTTTGGTGCGGATTCTTTGGGAACGGGGCGTGGGATAATCTGTATTCGGTGGGCGCTTTGACAACACTGCACAGAAGGACTTGAGCGCCGCAGCCTATGCCACCTGATAGAGACTTGATGACTTGAAGGTGGCCTTGTGTTTTGGGGTTGTGAAAGGCATTGGGGTCGAATTTCCGAAGATGTGCCTCTGGAACAGTCAGGTCCGGGGGATCGTCATAATGAGGCAGGCCATATGGCTTGACAGCCTCGTACTGATAGAGCGTCAAATTCTCTCCTGGATCATATCGAGCGTACTGCGAGTTGATGAAGCTATCAAAGGCGAACATTATGGGCAGGATTAATGGTAAGGATGCAGAGCAGAAGAGAGAAATAGAGGTAGAGAGGATTGAAGGTGCAGAGATGTCGAGATAGAGAGAAGAGGCGTGGTGAGAAAAGAGAGAAAGAGGAGGAGCTGAGTTGAGTGCAGGTGGCCCCCCTCCAATTGAGGATCTGGGCGAAGTAAATGGAGATAAATCCATGTTGACTTTCCCCCTCCCAGATATTGGCCGTATGGACAAGCCAGATTTCGGGTGCCCCTGTACTCCCACCGCTGCACTGTAACTTAAAAAATGTGTGCATATTACCTTTTCGTCCGTCCAGATTCAGCCAGCCATGAATGTTACACAGAGGAAGAGGAGGTCAATTCCTTCACCAGATCTCTTGGTTGTTACCCCACTTTGTCATCTCAAACCCATTCAGGTACCTTGATCTGTTTGTCGCTGACCGCCACGCCGTATGGCACGGACGGAGCCAGACAAGCTCAGGCAGGCCGCAGTGGTGTTTCTTCAGCACTTGAAATGGAGCGAGTCACATCTCGTCAGGATGCGGCCAGGCGAGTGACAGCGCTGGCGCCGGTAATGACGGCACCACGCCTTGCAGCCTCCAATACTGGGCTCTGCAGATGTGACGAGATCCATTGAGACACATCGCTCCAGCGACTTGTGTTGCAATCCGTTGCATTGGCTCTTGTTAAATTGCTACCGGCAGCCGTGTGAGACACCTGCCTTGACTCACCGATGGTCTTGTGGGTATGGATGGCCCACTGGATCATTTGTTAAATGTCGTATATCAACATGTCAAGTTGGGCGATAGAGGAACCTAGTCTTAACAAAAGTGTAAAGCAGAGCCTTCTGACCATGTTTTTCATGCTCCCATATGCATGCTACACGTAACATACCGTGTAAGGGCAGATGTTGAATCCACCGAAACGCATGTTGACGGCGACAAAGCCGAAGACGGCTAGGGAGAGGGCAGCAAGAGAATGACGACGGAAGTAGTGACCAAGACTGAAGTCCTCCTCCAGTTGTTGGATCGTCGGGTAAAGAATGGTTTAGTGAGGACATTGAATACGAGAGAGCATGGTAAGCTCATCATCGTGCCATCTCTGTGATGTTTTCACCAGAGCAGTCAAGATTATGAAAAACGCTCTCTTCGGCACTCTTCCGCTGCAATCCGTCTGCTCCCTGTCTCTTGTCATATACTATTAGACTACACATACCTCTCATTTGTACAAACGGACAGGATGGTCTTGCCTGACAGAGACATATCGCAAGGGATCGTGGATACCGGACCCGCTCCAACCCAGTCGCCCCGGGATTCCCGCTGCCTACCATATGCTACTGTAGACAAGACTGACATACGTGTACGTGATAGATGGCAAACGCCTGCTAGCCGTGGAATAGACAAGACGCTTTCCGGCATACCTCGTTCTGCGCGGTTCACCATCTTTTTGTCTACCACCCAGCAAGCTTTGATGCTTCAAGTGCCCGAGCCTATCTCAAGGTTGGATCTGACATGTTTCTTGGCTTTCCTTTCTGTGAAGAGTATGCGTAGATACGGACGCCAGCCGACAAAGCTTACCGGTCTTGGTACATTTGTTGAGATTATTCGTCTCCATTCAGTGTTCTTCGTTCTGTTTGCTATTTCTGTACGGCCAGTCTCATAGTGAGACCCCTGATAGTGACGTTCACTTACACTCCTTATGTTTCAGTCTGACTGCGTCTGAGTGGGAAGTTGCGCCTCGCCTTGGATACCTACCGTGCAAACCCTTAGGTTACAAATGAGGACTACATGTCACGGCCAAACAGCAGCAATATGAGTCCTCAGACTTTCTCAAGATAAGAAGAAGGCCGCCCGATGTCATGACCTGCTCGTAGCCCGTTTATCCTGCTTTCTCATCCTTACTCTACCGCAACTTTCAGCCATCTTCATCCCGTCACCGTCTTCATCCTGTTACTGTCTTCATCCCATCATTCACAATGTCATCCGCACGGCTCAACACGACAGACGCCATTTTCTCGCGTGAGAACCGTCTCCCAACGTATTCCGTTGGATCTCGAAAGACTACTCCAACATCTATCAGTCATACGGCGGCTACTCGAACCATTCCGTCAAACATCAGGCTTGTGGATACCTCCAAGTACACGAGACTTGCTGAGGGTTGTAAGGACAAGATTCTGAGATCGGGTATCAACCAAGACCTGATCGCTGCGGGTGGCAAAGCCTTACAGAGAAATGCCGAGCAGGACAATGTTGTGCTGTTCCACACCCATGTAGCCCATCTGACTTTGGAATGCCTAAGGTCGATCATACAATCGGATACTCACGACGTCAAAAACACTTGGGAGCACCCACTGAGCCTCCCGTCTATCCCCAAGCCCCAGCCCGACCCCGCCAGCGCCAACAAGACGAGCCGTTCCGCCACCAGACCAGCCAAGAGGAGACGAATCTCTTCGCTGACCAGTGTCCAGGTTAAACCGGGTACTGGCAAGTATGTCGAGGTTCGCCCGGATATGATCGTTGTCCTGGATCCCAAAGATGCCAAAAAGATCGATCTCGAACGTGGCAGTCTCCTTGCATTGTGCATATGCCTCATCTGCCTCGAGATGAAGCGGACAGGTATTCTGTCCTCCCGCGTCGACGACATCAAGGCAGCAGCAGCAGCCCTCTCCCAGCCAGGTGCCACACCGAACGATGACATCCTAGCACGGGGTTCGCGCAGCAACACGACGGAGGCGACTGAGCTCAATGTGGGATCGAGCAATCTCTTCAAACAGGCGATCTGTTATTGCCTCACTCACCGGATCAGGAACGCCATCCTATCTGAGTTTGGCGTTTCATTCTTTTTGCGGTTCCCGGAGATGCCGCTCAACCTCTCAATCAACAAGCTTTGGGCACACGGAGTCGGTGACTGGATGGAAGTGGGTATACTGGAGGAAGACGACAGCGGACAGATGCTGTCTGCTTACCTTGGCGCCAACATCGAAGCTTTGAAGGACTTGCAGGAAATCGGCCGTGTCGACGTTGGATTTTGATGGCCATAGTTTTGTCGGGAATGTGTTAGACAGAGGACTTGAATATGATTATGTTTTTGCATTGAACAGGTCAACCATAGCACCCCACCAGGTATCTTGTCTTCTCTCAGCACACATCCTCCATCCCCGCCTTACTCACTCATGAGCATAAGGTCGTTTTTAAACACATGGAGGGGGAGAGAGGAAGATAGGGAGAGAGAGACTACGTTACTTAGAGCGAGCCTTGTCAGTTTACACTCGCACTGCATACTCTTCGTGTATGTTGAAGTTGGAGATATCACAAGATTGGAGACGGCTTAGATACTTGAGGCATTATGACTCCCATGGCGGTGGGCCAAAAAAAATGGTAAATTGCCTCAAGATAAGGCACGCCGGAAAGCATCCGGCCCTATCAGCCACTAGCAGACATTTGCCATCCGTTGTTTGTGTGTTATCCATGATAATTGACAAAAAAGAGAAAAACACAAAACTATGACAACCACCCACGTTGAAGAACGAGAAGAAGTGCGTCGTACGAGATTAACAATTTTCGCCAAGGTGTACCGGTATGCCGAAAATCCCAACCTGGATTTGTCCAGCTTCTTGTTCCATCGATATCGATGAGGCCCAATGATGTGCTCCTGAACGACATCCACCAAACGCCGTGAAGAAGCAAGGAGTCCAGAAACGGCCAGAACGGGAACTTCTCCGCCATCTCTCGACGGATCTGGTCATGTGCCGCCGTCGCCCGCCCATCCGGTCGCCTGCTGCTGCTGCTGCTGCTGCTGCTGCTGCCGCCATCGCCGCCGCCCTCGCCCTCGCCTGCTCAGCCTCATCCTCATCGTGACAAGGTGAGACCTGCGCCGTTTGTGGTGTCGAGAAAACACACACACCAGCCTCAGCTGGACTGGACCCGCGACCCGCCCGCGTCAGTCAGACATGCGTTGCGGTGTGGCGTGGTGGTGAGACTGGTCTCAGAGTCCCTAGAATAAAGTACGAGGCACATCATGGGCCCCGGATACGCACGAGCAGCGAGGCTTCGCTTTGCACTTCGATTCAGAAGAGGTTCCTTTAGCGCCTAACTTGACTTGTTGAACCACGATATCTGGCAGTCTTTTCAGTGGGCAACTGGCATGGATGAAATCAATGGTGAGTCAAGGTCTCAGATATTCTACAAGGCTGCGACGGTGGCAGACTTGCGAGAGCCACGAGATAGCATTCCAATGTAAGTCTCGAGGGCAGTCAGCAGAAAGGGCAGCGCAGAGCTATAATCGGCCCTGCCCACACAACAACTTCCATCTCGGAGGAATTGATCCTAATCCCTCCTGTCTCCATGTCTACACACTCAAGGACACAATCATGAAGCTTCGCACCGGCCGTAAAGCTGCCTTGCTAACGGTTTGCCAACATCTACCTCGCGGGAAGCTGCCTGACGATCCATGCTTAGATTTGGGTCAAGCCAACACCAAGTGCGAGAAATGGAATCGGGGTCTTTTACGAGCATGGCGAAATCTTGAGACTTGTCTCGGAGCCCCTGGAGTGAAGACTACACGCTGTGCACCCCGGGAAGAGAGCATGACCGGCCTGAGCCTGTTCGGGCTAGATAGGTTCTACCCATTGTCTCGGTGAGCCAGTGACATTTTTTTCCCACTCCTGCTCTCTGTGCTGCCGTGGCCCTATTGGAACCAAATGGGGTCTGGGTTGTACGACACGCTACCATGCCGGCGCCGCCCAGGCTTCGTACCGCAGAGGTGGTTGTCGCTGAGCAACCTCGTTCTGTCCAAGTCGCAGTCTGTGGCACTATGCGATGGGCCGGGGCTTTTTTGATGTATCCAGCCACAGGGTCAATTACTCTTCGCTGCATTTGCAATGTTGGCATGGGGATGCTACCTATGCCATTTGGGGCGGCGTTCCGCACTGCTTACTTTTGTTCCCAGGGTTAGTAAGAGAACGCAAAGGGGCCATGATATCACTCAATGGCCAGCCAGGCCGAAAGCGCCCACCCATTGCACAATTTACTTCTCGCTTGTATTCGATCTGTGGCGCCGTTGTACGAGCCGCCACCGCGCCGTCTGGAGCTTGACCATTTCCCATGCGGTGGCATGTGGGCGTTATGTAGGGAGGCGCAGGTACCCGTCGACTAGCAGAAAGCGCCGCGAAAGCCAAAGCAATAGACCTCGCACCGGCGGGGCGCTAGCCCACCGAGCTGGGAGGGCGTTGTGGATGTGGACGATAGGATAATAGAAGACGGTCGTCAACACCGCGTGGCAGTTGGGCATGCGGAAGCGGGAGACATCGTGCTCTCCGGGCTGAGCGGCGTACCGGCACGGGGGAAATGAGACCCAGTCGAATGAGACCACTTTGGGCCAAACATCGAACTCTCACGCATGCACAGTGGTAGCCAACTGAGCCGCGGCCAAGACCCGTCAATGTCTGGAGGGAGCATCCCTTCTGCAAGGAATCGAGGAGCGTAGTCTGACTGTTTACGAGCGAGGAAAACTTTTGAGGTTGCTGCCGGGCCGCTGGATCCGGGGCACTGCACGAGTCTCCTGGCTCTCCATGTATTTGACTTTCAATGAAGTTTATGCTGCAGGTTGCAGTGGCGCCTCCGCAAAGACTGACGCGGTTATGGTAGGGTTCTTCGCTGCAAATCTCTCGTCTAGACGTGGTGGCCTGGTAAGATTGGGGAGGCGGCGGCTGTGGACCAGGGATCCCCTCATGGAATGCGCGGTTGGAAATGAGCGGCGGTGGATGACAGCCGCCATGAGTCCCAGCTCCCGGTTGGGGTTGGACGATCTGGTCGATTCCATGGTTCTCGCCATGTTGATCCAACGCGTTTGGTGGTAGCAGCGTACTGGATAGCAGAAGTGCTTGGAAACCACCCTTGAGGCCTACCGTTTGTGGTGTCGTGTATTACTTGTATGCTCTTTTCCCGGGCGACGTTGGTGATGAGAGGTCCGGCCAGGTGCATGGAAGCGACGGCCTCTATCGGTCGATTATTGAGACGGATTCAGTCTAGACGCAGTCGAAATTCCTTCTTCGGGCCACGTAGGGCAGCGGGTGACGACGACTCAGGCGCCAGAGGCTGGTCGAATCGGGACATGGTGTCAAATGTTTAATGGGATCAATGAGGAAAGCGCGCACGGAAGTTGGATAGGAGAGACCGAAGCATGGATGCAAAGTGAAGACAACATTTGAAGACGAACACCAGTCGGAGGAATGGCGAACAGACAACATTCCGGCCTGGCACCATGGATGGCCCGGCCACGAGTCGCTATTTTTACTGGGAAGGACCCCCCATTGACGGACGAGCAGATTCTGACAGCCGGGAAGATCACTGGACACAGACAGCGTCGTGTCCCGCCGTTTCCCGTAGCGGGCAATGAGTGCTAACTGGATGAACCGCACGAGGAAGGGGGAATGGGCCAATGTGTTCGTCTGGTTCTTGCTGTTGCAGTGACTTTTGGTGTTTTCGTTTTGTGGGGGTGGGCAAAGCAGGCAGGAACCAATCTGCAGAGTCCACCTTGGCCCCTTTTCCAGGACTGAGCTCATACATGATTGGCCCATTGCATCTGCACCAGTCACCCAGGTCAATTAATTGCACCTGCCAACATTTCACAAAATCCCTCTCCTTGGCGATGCACACGAGATGGATGTGCATGCATGTTCATCTGGATAATGCCAGGCGGTGGGCCATTTGCATTCCGTCATTCGTCCGTCCCGCCGCGAGGGGTATGTTGCTCTCTCTCTGGAGTGCACGACGTAGTACGGACTAGCCACACAGGTTGTCCAAGAGTGTCTGCATATCCGTACTGTTGGTGAGTGACGACCGGCTGGAAATAGAAACGCGAATGCTTGTCAAAAGAATTGTGCCAGGTGAGAGAGAAGATCAACCATGTGGGCTCTCACCTGAAGACAGACGAACGTATGGCCCCCACAACTCCAGGCGCAGCACCGCGAGCCGGATATTGGAATGCAATGCACACGCCGCCGCACACACCAAGCCCAGGCGAGGAACCTCCAAAGCAGAACCCCAAGAGACGCACAACAAGTCAACTGTTGCAGGGGAGGGGATTCCCGATAGGGACACTGAAGTGGTCATCTCCCGCCTGCCTGGGGCTGGCTTGGCCCAAAGTGCGGACACACACACACACACACACACACACACACACACACACACACACACACACACACACACACACACACACACACAGAGCTAGTGAGCCAGAACCACAGATCCGGCCTCGCATCAGAGACAATAATCCAGTCTGACGTGCTGCCCGTTCCAAGCCGGTGCCAATGAATGGCCGTAGCTGCTCGTCCCTCGTTGCTACCCTGCAATGCCCGCCATTCTAGACCACCTGCTGGCCTGTTCAGTCAGCCGCCCGTTCAAACGCTTACTCTGACTTTTGTCTACGCAGTAAACGTCGTTCCGTCTTATCCATCGCGGCATACCATGCATCACCGCTGCAACGCAACCATAGAGCGAAGCAATGAGCATATGGATAGTTCACTACTCCGTACAGAGTGTAGTCTACGCGTGGGCCGATGCGACATAAGACACCCTCCCGGGGCAGTCCGGTTGGTCGACGCTTGAGATTGCGAGGTGATAAGGTTGTTTTCCCCTTTGTTCATGCTATCTCCCTACCTGCCTATATGCGATGAGCTATCAAACTTTTGTGTTGATTCAAGCTCACTGCCCCTCTGCCTTACGCTATACTTGTACGGAGTACGGATACTTTTGAGGTGTCCCGGACTCCCGCCCGGCACATGAAATTGAAGAGTTGCTTTTCTTAGCGGATCCCAAAGTCGACGTTGCGACGTCAACCCGCAAGTACAAGGAAGCGAAAACTGTCAAGCCTCCAAGTCCATTGCCCAAGTCCAATTGCCCGCCGACTGGGAAAATCCACCTTCCGTGGATTAAATGGGTACGTACCCAAGGTACCCAGCGACCCGCGCTCTCGTGAGCACCCGACCTCAGCAGACAAGCGGGGTGCAGGCGCAGATGCAGGTCTGTTGTGGTTGGCAGTTGCTGTTGTGGTTGCAGGACGGTTAAGGAGCAAAGGCAGGCGCAGAGGCAGGCGCAAAGGATCAAAGTGCAGGCAGGAGTGGTAGACTACAGGCGCAGGTGCAAGTGCGCACCTTCTGGTGGTGGTGACCCAGGTGACGGTTCCATTGGAGTGGCCAGGAGGGCGGCAGGTGCAAATATTGGCTCTTGCTAGCTGAGTGGCTTGACGCCAAATCTCCTCCTTGGACCTTCCCCTTCCCGGCCGGAGTACCACCCCCTGCCTCCTTCCCCTGTCCCTGCCAAGGGTGGCCGGTTCCTTCTTTGAAGTTCTGCTGGACCCACGGGGCCACGGCCCATGAACCAGTCCAAGTGCCCACTGCTTCCAAGTTCCCAGGAGGAAAAAAAAGGCAGAACCAGGTCTCCGTCTCCCTTCCTCGGCGGAACCAACATGCACCTCGACCATCGACCATCCTGTCGCTGCTGTGAGAATACGACCCAGCCCGACCTGGACCCCCCCAGCTGCCGTCCATGCATCGCACACGCTCCACTGAAGAAGCCCGTTCACAATCCACCTGAACCCGAACAGGAGCTGCCCGTGAATAATGTGGTAGGTGATTGTCTTTTGTTTTGCTGCTACCATGCGGATACAAATACAAAGTACACTACTTACTTGGCCTCCATTTTACGCGACTACGTTTTGGGCCCCCAAAGCCGCAAGTTCAAGTCCACTTGCACCGTCGCCATCCAACTTCCCCTCAACCCCTGCTACCCTGTCCGGCCGACCAAGTGTGCAAGCCTGCACGCCTCCCACCACGCGAGCGAGCCAAGCCAAGCCAATATTGCTGCCAGCTCCCTCCCCAAAATCGACCATCCATCCCGTCCCATCTCACCCGCGTTCGCGCACTCGTTGCTCCTTCTTAACCTCTTCATCCCCCCCCCAGCCAGAGCCAGGGATCGTCGCCGCCTTCCAAGAGCCTCACCTCGCCTCGTCTCGCCCGTCCGACAGAGCTGATCGTCTCGACGACTCGACCGCGGTGGACAATTCCCAAACCAGCTATCGAGTGCTACGGCCCACCTTCTTGCGACCGACAAAAATTGCAAGCTACATCGCCAACCAACCCGTCGCCTGGAGAGCTTGGAACCAACTAGACGGCACTTCGTTCGACTCGACCTCAATCGCCCCGGATCACCTCAAAGCCACCGCCTTTGTGAACGCGATCAATTTCTCAAAGTCATCTCATTGACCGCAGCGTCGTCGACTCGTCATCTTTTCGGCCATTTGGACCGAATCCATTCGTTTAACCGCCCATACTCACCGTCGCCTTCATTGGTAGTCGAATCTGCATCACCACAACCTCTGACCGCAGAAGTGTTCCACCCGTGCAGCCAGTGGAGTGGTGATCTTGTTTTTCCTTGGTGCTATAATATATCCACCATCGCGTGCGTGATCTGGTCGATCACCGGCTAGAGACATTCGGCGCCGATCCAACGTGGGGTTCTCTCGGCAAACAGCAGCAATAATTGCCTTTTTTCCTACCCCAGCAAAATTCCATTGTCGAGGACTGCTCTTCTCGACTCGACACAACCGCTGCAAGAGGGAAAAGATTATGTTTGGTCCCTCAAACCTGCGTGTCGCAGTTCCCTCATGATGGCCATCATGCCTTTCTCATCCATGACACGACCACGGTCACTATGGCTGTTCCTCTGCCTCACCATCGCCTCTGTGGTGTTGGCCATCTCCGAACCCGTCTTGGAGGTTCTTCCCGCTCAGATCACTGCCCCCGCAGTCCTTCCTCCCATGGACGCCCTCGTAATTGACGACCGCACGCCTACGATGATCAAGGGTCGGTGGACCATGGTTCCACCCGGATACGATGAACTCAAGAGGCGAGACGACGAGGGCATCACGCTGACGCCCACCACAACCGACAAGGCATCGGCTACTGCCGAATCGACGACGCTGACCGTTTCCGTCACGGTGCCCGCTGCGACTGTGGACACAGCCTCGCCCCTGCCGTCACCTTTCGACACCAGTCTCGCCTTTAACTTTACCAGCAACGACGGCGCATCGTGCCCTCGCTTCATCAACTCGCTCCTCACCAACCAAAACTTTAAAAAGTGCTACCCGTTGTCGATGCTGCTCCAGGTATGTTTGTTTCGTCTGCCGGCACTGTACACACGCTGACATTTGTCCAGGGCTCGAGATCCTTCTTTGAGGCTGAAAAGAAGCTTTTGAGCATTGTGAGGGTGCTCGACGCCACCTGCGGCGCTGACGTCGAGTACTGCACAGAGTTCCTCACCGGTGTGGCCGGCAACCTAACGTTGGACGCCAACTGCGGTTCCGACTACCAGGCCGGTAACCCAATCGTCATGCAGGCCTATCTCGGCTTGAAATCGTACGAAATGCTGTACAAGGCCACCTGCCTCACCGACCCCGACACATCCATGTACTGCTTCGCCAACGCCGTCACCAACCTCACCACGCCGTCCAACGTCTATTTTTACTACCTCCCACTCAACATGACTCTGCCCGGCAGTGCAAACCCCACCTGCGGCACGTGTCTTCGGCAGACCATGGAGATCTACCAGACCTTCACCACGAACCGCAAACTCGCCATCTCGTCAACCTACGCAGACGCCGCGTCGCAGGTCAATACCATTTGCGGACCAGAATACGTTAACGACACACTCCTGGCCGCAGTCAGCACGGCAGGGCTGTCGGTGCCATCCTGGGCTCTGGCGGCGACGACCATGACCCTGGCTCTCGTTTACAACATGTTGTAAAAGGAGACGCGGTCGGGAGACTGCACTGATCGTAACGAGTCATGTTTTGAGTTATTTTGATTTCCAGCAAGCGCCATGATACCCTCAACATTCTCTTGCATTTACTTTTCTACTTCTAATGCCGCACCAGGTCGGATGCCTGGTCGGTCTTTACATTACACCTAGTATTTAGTCTTATTTCTATTCACGGTCGGACTTTGGGGAAAAGTAAAAAAAAGAGCCGGGTCCCAAGGGACGGCATCGGAGGGCGGTTTCGTGACTATTTCAGCAGCCGGGATTTGGGCATGGCGCACCCGCTAACTTGGCGGCATTCATTGTCATATACGATGGCAAACATTAGCATCTGATGAGATGCTATATATACTGTAATCTTTACATGGTGCGACTGTTGATACTCTTCTCGTAGATATTTTTTGGTGGCGGTTTTACGTTGGTGTGGGGATGGATACGACGGCCTGCCAGGGTCAAATCAATACAATATGTAGTCAACACTCGACTCATTCGCTTAGTGACACCGCCCGAGATCAAACACGGAATCGAAAGCAATCTACAACTTCCCCTGCCAGTGACCCCTTTCCTTCTGCTCTCTCAGCCTCTGGACAACCTTCCACGGGTGAACCCCATCCGCGTACCCTACAAAGGGGGCCCCGGGCTCGTACCCGAGCAGGTCCACCAGCCGCCTCGGCATCCCGGCCAGCTTGTTCCACTCGACGGCGAGGATCTGGTTCTCGAGGGGCCGCATCCAGGGCTGGCAGTACTGGATCGTCAGCGCCCTCCTGGGGCCGGGCGAGGTGTTTTCCCCGCCGCCATGCCAGAGGGTGCCGAGGAAGAAGACGGCGCTGCCCTTGTCCATGACGACGGGGATGGCGTCTTTGCGCTGGGGGAGGTGTGTGGTGTCGGGGCCCCAGGTGTGGGAGTCTGGGATGATGACGGTCGCGCCGTTTGTGGGGGTGAAGTCGTCGAGGGCGACCATTACGCCCTGTTTGTGGGGGGGGTTGTGTCAGTCGTGGAGGAAGAGGAGGTGAGGTGGTACAGGTGGAATTGGGAGAGAGAGAGAGAGAGAGAGAGAGAGAGAGAGAGAGAGAGAGAGAGAGAGAAGGGGAGAAGGAGAAAAGGAGAAAAGGGGGGGGGGGGGGGGAGCGTTACCGTCCCAAAGGGCCGATGGGGCCTCGGTACCCCGACGTAGCCGTCGTCGTGGTGCAGCGCCTGCGGGACCTCGCCGGGCTGGATGTAGACGCTGTGGAAGGCGTTGAGGAGGAAGCCCGGGTCAAGGAAGTGGTTGTTGAGCGCGAGGAGGGCCGGGTGGGTGGGGAACTTGTGGAAGACGGGGGACTTGTTGAGGAGGGCGTAGATGCGGTGTGTTTTGAAGCCTTCGAAGCTGTTTCTGCCGCCGCCTGTGCTGTCGCTGTCGCCTGTTGTGGTGCTGTTATTTGTGAGGGTGCCGCCATCATTAGTAGGGGTCGCGAACCCTCCCGCTGGCCCGGCTGTTTCGGGCGAGGATGTGAGGCGGACGATCTCGGCGTGGGCTTCGTCTGCTTCCGGGCCGGAAAAGGCGGCGGGGATGATTACGTAGCCGTGCTGTTCTACGTGGGCGATGAGGGCTTCAATGTTTGGGACGGCGGGTGAGGTGGATGAGGTGGATGAGGTGGATGAGGTGGATGAGGAGGTGGATTGGGCGGAGTGCCGGGATAGACGGGCGTCGGCGCCGGTTTGCGCGTTGACGAGGGCCTGGGCTCGGGATTGGAATGGCATTACGTGTGTGTTTTACTTGTACTTATGCGCGTGTGCGGCTGAATTATTTTCTTTCAAGTAAATTTTTGATACCGTGGGAGGTGCATTTGTTGGGAACGTTTAGGGAGGTTCGCGACTTATACGTCTGTCGTTGGATGTGGTGTTATTCGGCAAGATGTGGGTCCGCCGAGGTCCCGGGAGATAGGTACGACGCGAACGCGGGGAAGTGAGGTAGGAACTCCAAAAATCCAGGTACACAATGATGGGATGGAGTTGGAGATGGTGTGTGGGGCTGCCAAGGCTTGGTGATGATAAATCCTCGTCCGGACTGAACGGATCGATATTGCTGCTCTGCAGTTGAATGCACAACACGGACGACTCCGCGGGTTACTGTGCTTTTTCCGACCTGACGTCGGCCGGAGGGATCCGCATTCGCGGAAAGCTTGGATAGCTCCGGTCGGCCCCACTTTGGCCCGGGATTTTGACTGCATGCGAGTGAAGTATATCTTTTTTCATCGGGGCTACCTAGTGCAAAATGCTCTTATTCATGTCTCCAAATTAGCTTGGGACTTGGTACAGAGTCTGCAAAACATTTCTTTCTGTCTGAAAATCCAACATCCTGTGTCTCCCTTCATGCATCATTAGAATGTCATACAATCACTCCAAGCGTAGCCCTTCGAGCTCCTTCTTCAGCACCTCCACAGGCCGGAAAGTGCTTCGGAAGGGTACCAGCTGCACGATCTTCACCGGTACGCTCTCCTCCTCCTTGTACTCTTTGCCGGCTACTTCGGCTCTCTCGGCCTCGATCTGGGCCACGCTCTTCACCTCGGAAAAGTCCCCCTTGATGCCCGTCTTCTCCTCTCCCCAAATCTCAAAAAACGGATAGCCGTGGTTGGCGTACGACTGGGCGTTGACGGGGGTGTCCGGAGCCGCCTGTCCAGTCACGGCGCAGAAGGACTCGACGCCCAGGATCTGGAGGTTCATCATCACCGAGGCCTCGACGTCCCAGACATCGGCCGGGTACTTGTCTGCCTCGATTGTTTGGGTGATGAGACCACCAGCCGCGAGACCCATCTCCTCGACTTCCGGAGGTGGTGCCGCCATGGCACTGGAGACGGAAGCTGTGGCGCACTCGTACATCATCGTCTCGGGACCACCAGGAGCTGCCATGGACTTGAGCCCTCCCATCATGCGCATCCGGCCCCGCATTGGCGTATCGTGCACGACGCTGATGGTCGAGAAGTTTGGTGGGAAGTAGGTGTCGCCAAGCTTGGTATCATTGGAAAAGTCGATTCGGTACTTGTCAAAGCCCGATCGGTTGCCATGGTCGCTGAGACGCTGTTGATCGACGGTAATATCAAACTCGTCGCGGATACGCTTCTTAACGTCCAGCCAGGTGCTCTCGGCGGTGAGGCCCTTTTCGGCAACGTTGAACGTCCGAGTGACAACCTTGTGCTGCTTATTCTCGTAGCGGACGTCAAATTGAGTCGGGAGATTCTTCTTGATGGGAATCACTTCAATCTGGATGCCGCCAATGTTCTCCTCCCCGGTAACCTGGGCCTCGACTGAGAAGCCCGATCCCTTGGGCTGTGCGACGAATTGCCGAATCTTGCCGTCCTCTGAGACGATGCCGTCCAGCCAGTTCTGGTCAGGCACCACCATGTAGTCCTGGATCTGCTTGCCGCTATTGAGCATCCGCACGCGCTTCTCCAGCGTCTTTTCGTTCTCCATCATGGGCAGCCCGGAAACCGCATTGACACCGCCAACGTAGATCTTGATAGCGAACGGGGCTTGGGCCGAGAAGTTGACCCACATGGCCTCGCGCTGGTACATTGGGAAGAAGATGCCGCCCTTCTTGGCCATGTCCGGGGGCATGTTGTGTGCGTAGTCTTGGACCTTGAACAGGGGAAAGGTTCCGAGGCCGGGGGGAAGGCTATTTGTATCTCTGTTATCAGGGACGCGGATCGTGCGGTTGAGCTGGATAGAGAGGGCATCTTTCTTGCTGCCGTGAGAGATGCGGATGTCCGATCGTGTACCATTGGGGCCGTTGTCTCCCAGATGTACTGTCACCTTGCGGCTGCTGGCGATGGGCTGCTCCTGGGCACGGATCTCGGGCATGACCTCGACGATCTCGAGGTCGTTTGTGTTGGTCATCCTGTGTTGTGGTGTTGGGCCGTATGTGTCGGACGGTAGAATTGAGTGTAATGTTATTTTATTGATGGTGTGTAGTATGGTGAGTTGAATGAGTGATGGTCTGGGTGGTGAGTTGGATGAATTAAAAACCTGAGGGCTGCAAGATACTTACTTATAGACAACAATATAGACGGTGTATTCTATCGCTTGAGTCAAGCCATAGGTGTCACGCAGGCAATTGAGACTGTTGTTCTTGGATTCAGCCTCATCGTGACACTAATTTGGAAGGTACAACGTCAGGGCGGAGGGAGCAACGGGAAGCTGCAATTGGTGCTCCTGCCTTGAAGTTGGCTGCCTCCACAAACCGTGGCTGGTGATTGGTCGCGGTTTCCAGATCTGGCTGTTGTGTCCCACTATATGGGGCCGTGCGCCAAGTCAAGGACCGGGGTGCGACGTCACCTCCAGCGTGTTTTACGCAGCGGCGTATTACTGACCTTGCCCGGGGAACACTCAACCACATGCCACGACACGTATTACAGCGTTGTGGTTTTATCTACAACTTTAATCGAACCCCTGGTCGCTTCATTATGGGCGGCGGTCATAAACATGGCAAATTATCTTTCTCATTTGCTAGCCGGCAGGTCACAAACAGCTTCGTCTCGTTGCAGCCAACAACTTGAAGTTTACTGTCCGCCACCTAGATCGTCGTGCGACTATACTAACGTTGCGACGCTACAGATCCATTCACCTTCTCATCAACCCCCGCAGCTACGACCACGCTGGGCTACGACTTTTTCTTCTTCTTTTCGGCGTGCTGCTCAGCGCTCCCTTCGTCGGCACCGCGCTTCGCCGGCGTGATCTCGTCTCCCTTGGGCCGCGCCGTCTTGTGGTCCTCGCCGTGGTCAGCGTGCTCGCCGTCGTCGCTCTCAAACTCGTCCATCATCTCCGTGTCCTGGCCCGCGAAGAGCTCGCGCCAGCTGCCGTCCCGCACCTTGTCGTCGTTCCCGTGGAGGCCGACCCCGTACGCCTGCTTCATCGCCGCTAGACACGCCGTCCTCCTCTCGTTGAAGTCGAACATTGGCTTCGGGTACAAGCCCTTTTCCTGCTTCTCCCCACGACCCGTCACCCGGACCCCGGCCTTTTTCTGGTCCGGCAGCGGTGCTTTCCACGGCTCGTAAATATACTTGGCGTCCAGGTCCTTGAGTTCCGGCACCCATCGCCGCACAAAGGCGCCCTGCTTGTCCCATTTCTGCCCAAACGACACGGGGCTGTAGCACCGAAAGTACTGCGAGAAGAAGGCCGTGCAGCTCAGCCATTGCCAATTGCCGGCGTTGCACGCGGGCTCGTGGTCGAGCAGCCACTCCTCAAACACTTCGCAGCCGCGCTCCCAGTCAATGTAGCAACCGCCCCTTGTCAAGAAGCAGGCGACCGAGTGGCGGCCCAGGTGGTGGATCCATCCTTCCTCTCGAAGCTGCCGCATCAGGGCGTCGATCCATGGGAACCCCGTCACGCCGTACTTCCACCGCCGGAACCACTCGTCCGCCTCCGCTGAGTCGACGTGGTACTCGCCCGTCACGAGGCCCGTCTCGTGGTCGACCTTGGACGGCAAATGCCACGGGATGAAGCGGCAGTAGGGGTTGTTGGCGGTCTGCGTGAACTGGTAGCCCAGTGCCGCGTGCGCCGCAAAGTACATGTCGCGGAAGAGTAATTGCCCCAGCAAGCTCTCAGGCACCTTGGAGGCCCCCTTGCCGTACTTTGTCACGACGTCCTGCACTCTCCAGTAGAACTCGCGCACCGACAGCGCCCCAAAGTGCAGAAACGGCGACAGGAAGGTCGTCGACTGCGGCTCAAACGCCGCAGGGCTCGTCTTTGGCTTCTCAAACGTGGCCGTGTACTTTTTGTCGGCTAGAATCTCCTTGAGCATCGCCAGCGCCCTCGTCTCTCCGCCCTTGTGAGGCGTTGTCGCCGACGGGAACCCGAGCTCCTCCATCGTCTCAATCGCGAAATCCCCCTTGGGCCCCGCTATCTTCTTGTACGCCGCGTCTCCGCCCTCGGTCCGGTTCTCCGCGTTGAAATCGGGCTTCGTCTCGGGCTGCGTCTGCTCAAATTCCACCGGCATCTCACCCGGGTCCGGCAGCGATTTGGGCGCGGCAATGGGCTTCGCTATGGGCCCGACCTTGGCGCCAGCCGCCTGCAGCTGCGACATGGACATGGTCGGCTTGCCGCCGTGCTTCTCGACCACGGCGTCGCTGTCCCACAGCGTCCGCCCGCTCTTGATAATCACCTCCACCCCGGCATCCTGGGCGGCCTTGATGACCACCTCGTCGCGCTCGCGGCCGTACGCGTCCGTGTCCTTTTCAAAGACGAGATGCGTCACCTTCCACGCCTTGAAGAGCTTGGGGAACAACGTCTGCGGGCCCTCGCGTAGCACAAAGAGCTTGGACTTTGGGTTGAGCTTGGTGATGCTCCCTGAGAGGTCATTCTGGCAGTCCAGTCTGGTTTGTGTAAGTCGTTTTTTTTTTGGGCTCGTTACTCCGGGGCGTGGAGGGAAACATACAGAAACTGCCACCGGTTCAGGCCGCCTCGGGCGCGGTACACGTAGTGCGGATCCCAGGTGAAGATGGGCCACAGGGCGGCCGGCTCGAGGGCGAGTGCTGCCGCAAGGGCGGGCGAGTCGTGGAGCCGGAGGTCGGTCCGGAACCAGTATATCACGCGCGGGCCGGGTGCCATTGTGATTGCGAGTGAGTGTGTGTGTGTGGGTGAGTGGGTGAGGGCGAGGTATGTGTCTGAGAGATATTGGGTGAGTGAGATGGTCCGGTCACGAACGCTGTGTAACGCAAAACACGAAATCACGAGATTCTTCCACTTTCAACTCCAAAGACCCGCTGATGGTGCTCCAATTGGCATGTCACTGTTGCAAAGGGAGACTCGGCGCGTGTGGAAACGCGATTGGGAGAATACAATCCGGAGTGAGACATTTGGCTAAGTACAGCATGAAAAAAAATCAATGATGTCAATGACTCTAAGCCACGCGAGTTTTTGGAGCAATCACAGCGCCACCCTTTTTTTTTTTTCTCTCGAACGATCTAAAAGACAATTCTGCGGGTGTCTCAGTCCCCTGAAGTATCCTCATACCTGCACCTACCTGCACCTACCTGTACCTACTTAGTAGGCATCGGATTGGGGGTGCGTCCACGAAAGAGGGAAATTGAAGCCCGGACCAACACCTGCGCACCACTGGAGCCCGCCGAACGGGAAAATCGTTCCCGCCTGGTGTATCCGTACCTAGGCATCCCGCAAATCTCGCAAGAATTTTAGGAGATTGCGCGCGCATACCCGTTCCGTGGACCGTGAACCGTGGACCTTGAAACAGCACGAATGGGTGACCCAGTGACCCCGTCACCCGTCATCCGTCACCCGTTTCGCCCGTCCCCTCCCGAAACTCTATTTTGGATGATGGGCGGCGGCTACCGCGATGCTCGAATCGCTGCACTAGGGAGGCGGCGGGGACAGCCAATTGCGGTGTATCCGTACCTTGCATTGGTGAACGGCCCACGAACTTGGGCAAGAAAAAAAAAAAGGACCCATGAACCCTGACTCGCACAGTTCCGCAGATCGCCAGAGCTTGGCCAGGGAGCATCGTGGACGGTGCGTCGACGGTGCGTCGGTGGGACGGCACGAACGACAACCTCGGGCCCTGGGGATAAGAGGGAAGAAAAAAAATGGGGCGAGGACGGGATACATGCCACACGGTACGGAGTAGAGCGAGGGAAAAGAGAGAGTCCCCTGGAGAGACAACGCATGCCTCGGATTGCCTCACCCTTTTTTTTTTTGCTCCCTAAATGTTCCCCGGCTCGCCTTTCGCCCTGTGTCGGGCCGTGTAACCTCAGACTCTAGTGTCGCCAGCCGAGGAATGCAACGCCTGCGACGATGGCCCGGCTGTCGGATAGGGATCGTCGGCGCCATCGACGCCAAAAGTCGTGGCAATGGGGCCATGGGCCATGCGTTGCGACAAGTTTCCCAAATAGGAGTGTCTGCTCCCTTTCTCGCGGTGTGCAGTCAGATCATGTTGGAATGGAAAACCGCTCCGACATGTGTCGGCTGGGCGCAGCGTCACTGGTGACTGAACAATGTGAAATGAGTCCGACAAGGCAGCGCCCCGACTTCGAATTTTGTATCCATCTGGTACCTAGAGCAAAAAGCCTATACCCGTATTGGAAGAGAGCAAGAGACTGCCTTCCCGCCAACGATGCAACCGGGGCCTCGAGAGTCGAACCCGTGTCAAACTCGCGTCTCTCCATGATCATAACCCATAAAAGTTCCACAAAGGGTATATATAGATACGAAGAAATGATGAGTGAATCGAGAAGAAAATAAAGCAACAAATTGGATAGACACATGAAAATAAAAAAAGACCATCGTAGCGGGTATTTCTCGCTTTGCTAGGCCGTGATGAATTACCGCCTGGTCTCGAAAAAGACGGTTTCGGCGTGTAACAAGTATTGCACACTCGTTCTTGTACGCCTCTATCGCGAAGAACGGCCCCAACCCCGACGAGAACTCCCAATTCAAACACCATCGCCGCCGTCTATTCGCCGATTTCCCAATCTCCAACGAACGCCGTGTTCCATTATGCTGCCGTCCCGTGTCAAGTGGGTGGGGGTTTTCGTTCACCGCTGCTTTCTTGTCTTTTTGCGCCTGGTTGTCGAGGTTCCGCCGCCGCCGCCGCCACCACCACCGTTGTCTTCCTCGTCTTCGTCGTCGTCGCTGTCTACTTGGCGACGAGCGTTCTTCCCACCAGACTTTTCGTTGCCCTTTTTGATGGAAATGAGACAACCCTGCTCCTTGAGACGCTTGGTGAGAGGTGTACTGGCCTGCATGCCCGGGAAATCCTTTGCGCTGTAGACAACAAATATGTCGCTCATGATGGTTGACCTGATGGGAGCTTTCCTTGCCATGTGCGTCGGATCGACGACAACGAGTACAAATTTGAGACGGAAGCTGCCTGGTGTGCGGACCGACATGTCAGGGAAACAGAAGAAGCAGCCTTCGTTGCCGTTTTCATCTTGGCCCACAAATGGCGACGATACCAGCGAGCCCATTATCCGCTTGCCTGGCCGCATGCCGTCGTTGGGCATGTTGGTCTCGTCAGTTTCTCCGTCCACGTTCCAGATACTGCAGTGAACGACGTAGGCGGGATGATGAATCTTGTTGTACAGATCATCGGGCGTGAGGTCGGGGTTGTTAATCCTCAACTGGACAATGGGCGGCGGATCAATAACTCTTCTATCTCTTTCGCCGTAGCCACAGCACCTGGCCGCCATGGGTTGTTGGCGGAAAAAGATTTCGTACTCGTTTCGGACCATCTTGACTTCTGGTTCCGGGACGCGCTGAAGCATCCTTCGGTCCTCGCTGCTGCCGCTCAAAAGATCCTCAATCTTGACCCGTTCATGCTGGCTCGTGGCACTCCACGGTGTTCCGGCCGTCGGGATCGCGGACCCAGATCGCACTGCGGGAATTCTGAGGCTGGGCGGCGTGAACGGAATGGCGACTTTTCCTCCGGCTTGGTAGTTATCGTTCAATACCCGCGGAGCCCCCTGCGACATGTGCGGCATCTGTGGAGGCTGGTTACGCTTGAGATAGTGTGCTTCTCTTGCCGCCTGGTACTCGTCATATGGTTCACCTTTGGTCGCCGACAGTGTCGGTGATTCGCGTGGCGACTCCTGGGGATAGCGAGGCATGGGAGCTGCTCTGTACGGGTCGGTAAGCTGTGTCGGTTGAGGCGGCGGTTGTTGATAGTGTTGGTACTGCGGTGGCTGATGGTAGCTGGGCGAGGGGGTTTGGTGGTACTCGCGCTGATGCTGGTAATCAGTACGGTAATAGGGTGCTTGATGGTAGTCGTTTTGGTGATATTCGGGGTGCTGCTGCTGCTGCGCGACGGGCCTTGGTTGCGAATTTGAGTGCATTGGAGGTGGCAGTCGCATTGGTTCAGGCTCGTAGGCGTAATGTCCGTCCATGGCTGGCCGAGGCAGACCGTACGACGAGGGCGAAGGCGCCCATGAGTTGTGTCTTTGAGCCATACTGTGTGTGAGCTGGATGATGAAGGATGGATTCCGCTGTGTGAAGACGGAGAGTTAGGACGGCTAAAACGATCTATGTGATGCTCCTGCCCTTATTAGCACCAATGCTCGTTCCGGCGCGAGGTCACCCTTCCACGTTCTCGGCTCGGGGGTGTGGCGGCCGGAGCGAACTCACTGTATGTGGAGAGGTCTCAGATCCGTACTCAGCCCTTGGCCAAGTCAAGTGCGGGAGAGGGAGAGACTTTCAGCTCCGGATGCGCTCAGCACGATCGGCGCGTGTCAGCTGGCCTGGTTGTGGTTTGATTGATGATTCCGAGATGGAAAAAAACGGCGTTGGATGATGCAAGTTAGACCACGCCCATTGGGAACTTTCGGGAAGAAACAAAGGTTGAGAGGTGCTGGATGCTGAAGATGAACTGAGAGACGGGCGGTAGCAGAGAGGGGCTCTTTTGTCCGCTGTCTTGCCCAAATGCGCTTCGCTGCTTGGCGGACGAACGTGGGCAAACGTCTCTACACAAGGCTCGTAACAGAACAGAGACACCTCGTTCCCTTTCCTTTTTCGCTGTCCAGACCACTGGTCGAAGGCGCGCGGTTGAGACACGGTCTAATCGTTATCGGCGACAAGCAAAGTGCGGGCTTTTGCTTGATGGATCGGAGTGGCTAGGTGTATCGGCGTGAGTAGAGGTGAGCTGGGAAGATCCTTGTCGAGGTTGGCACCAGCGAATTTAGTCTGATGGGAGCACCCAGAAACCGGGAGGAACGATCAGCGGGACGATTGAGGTTCGAGACAGAATGGCGTCGACTATGTTGTCGTCTGGCATGCGAGACGGATGAAATGGTGAAATCTGTGAGTAAACGTTGGCGATCGGATCAGGCCAGTGTCGGACAGGCGTAGGCGTGGGCGTGGGAGGGTGTGCGGTGTTGGGAGTGCGACCAGAGCGAGGCACAGGTATTGCGGAGGGAAGAAGAGGGCAAGGCGACGGTGGGTGGTGGGGGGGTTGATGGCAGGTATGTATATGAAGCTGCGGACAACTCAACAGGGCCAATCCGCAGTCGCGGGAGTCGATTTGCGGTGCCAGAGAAGGGGTGGATAACGGGGACGAGAGGCTGTACAGTATCTGCACACTGCTGGGATGGGGGTCTAGGTTCCCTGTTCGCTCTACCCGTCTGGCGAAACGCACCGCTGCGAAGGTACGATGGTTTTGGCTCAGGAGGAAAGGCGAAGAAGGAAGAAAGAGAGAGAGGAGGAGAGGAAGAGGAAAAGAGCAAAAGTCGAGCGAGGATCAGGGCCGACAAGCATCAGCACGCGGCATCCGCAAAACTCCAGGTGTAGTGTTGGCTTGTCTTGTCCTGTCGAGGAGAGACCAGGATCAGGCCCCACGTCGGACAATGTGATGGATGGGGGAGAGAAATTGGGGCCTTGCGACTTGTTGGACGCGAAGGGCGAGAGAATGGTAGGCGAACACCAGACTGGATCAGTGGATGATGGCCGAAAAGGATTCGAGAGTTTTTTCTCGGTCACTTTGCAACAGTGGTCAGTACTATCCAGCAGAGTACGGAGTACAAAGTATGGATATCGTACGCAAATTTGGCTGTAAAAGGGACGAGAGACCAACGGATGGGAGAGCATTCGTTTGGAAGATTTGGGCGAGCAGCGCAGAAAGGTATCGATGGGGTGGTCTGGTATCCGTAGGCGGCGCGGAAACGGATGGGCTTAGGGGGGGACCCCAGCTCTGGCGAGCCAGGGCCAAGAGTTGGACGAGGATGCGGTTCCAGTCCGGCGACCAGGACAAGGACCGGGATCATGGGTTCGACCAGGGATAGCCGCAAGACAGGAGGCGACATTGGCGGACGACTGTCGAGACTCTGGCCGGTGAATGGTCGGTCGTGGGGATTTGAGAGGATGCCGCATCGCACTCGGCCTCCGTCCAGTTGGGAAAAAGAGAGACGGGTACATGGGAACGGAGCTTGGAATGCAACTTGGATGAAGTTGGGTTGAGGAGGAGTCGGTACGGAGTACGGAGGACGGAGTTGGCACTAAAGAGACACAGTCGAGGGGAAAGGGTACGTACTCTTTCCTGAAGCATTGGACGGGCAGGTCATTGGACAAGTCATTGGATGAACGGGTCTGATTGGACCAAAGAAGAGGAGAAAGCTGGAGGAACTTGAGGAAGGAACATCCAACTTTGGAATGGGGTGTGTGGGGAAGGCACAGAGTACGTATATGTACGTACCTCGCTGATGACTACTCCGTACTGTACGTAGTATGTACTGATTGGTGCCTGTCTGGCTCGGTCCTCAATGCACTTTTCTCATAACAATGCACTGCAGCCATCGGAGGCATCGCAGCGAGCGTTGTGCAATATACCCGGCTCACGCAGCAGCACTCCGTACGATTAAACGGATACAGTACAGTGCAAAAGCAAGGGCTCCATTGGCGTGCAGAACTGCGCATGCGAGGCTCCTGCGCCCAGTCGAGCAGAGTGGACAGACTCAACGAATCAGACGACGTTGGACGTCTCGTCGGAACTGCAACTTGGGACTTGGGTGTGGGAGCCTTGGACAATGCAACCCGACTATGCACGCCTTAAACCCGCGAGGGACAAGACTCGACGAGTGAGAGAGAAAGGAAAAAAAAAAAAAAAGGGAGCCCTGGTCCCAACCGCCAGTCGTAAACTCGTCGACTTTGAACATTCCCCCGACGCTGCGATATCTTGCCGACAGCCTCTGTATTTGTATCGAGTGTCAGTCCAACGGCCCAGGAAGGGGACCACCTCGCCCTGGAGCCCCTGGAACCTGGACCTGGCCCTGGCCCTGGCCCTGGACCAGGACCGGCAGGAGCGAGTTCCGGAATCGCCACACGTCTATATTTACCTTGCATTCCACTAGCACCAAAGGTTTGAAGGACGGTTTGGCTGCAAGATATCTCGCCGACGGTGCTTGTAAAAGCATGGACAGCGAAATCAACAATATCTTGTCAACCTGGAAGTTTGCGGGGACGTAGGTAATCGCGCCTTGGGGCCCGCTAAACGACGGGTGCATCCATACCTAGCGGCCGACGATTGGCGCCAGGGGCCATGCCTACACTTCCTTTCCGCGCTATCCTAGTGTTGAAGCTACGAGCGCCCGACTGACGCCTCTAGTTGTGAGGTCGTTGATGGAGTGCTGACGTTTAGTCGTTTAGAGGCAGTGGCGGGTACCTTAACCTCTAGTGGCAGCTCTCTCGCTGCACGCACAATGACAGAATCTCTCGAGGCTTCGACGGTGCTGCCAACGGCGGGCACGATGCAGGTCAAGTACCTACCTGGAGGAAAGTGACAGACTCAGCATCTGCAACGGCCGGGGCGGGGGGGGGACCTGCCTCCGTTGGAACTTGGGTCCTTGCTGCTGCAACGAGATTAGAACCGGGGTTTGCGGTTCACCTCACCATCCCAGCCAGCCCACGCAATCTTGCTCCCTCCCTCTTCCCAAGTTCCTGCACCACAACTCCACAGACCACAACTCCATCACCCCGACATACTCGTACGCTTCTGGAATACAATTCGGCCGCCCTCACAGGCACGCTGAGCTTGCGCCCTTCACTGCGCCGCTCGCTGATGCCCCTCAGCTGACTGAGCCTCGGGCGAGACTCTACTCTGTATCCTGTACCCTACGGGCCACTCCATGTTTGCTTGCTGACATTTTGCTTTCAGGTCTCGCACTCGCTCATGTCCCTCGGCCAGACTGTGTGGAGATCGAGATCCTGCCTGCTCAGCTTCTCGTCGCTTTCTCTACATCCGCCGCAGCCCGCTCGCTGCCTCGCTACCTGTGCTGTGCCACGCGAGCGAGTCTCGTCCACGATCGCAAACCACCCCGGCCTGAGACTACCTCCGGCCCATACATACCAAATACTATTCGAGATGCCCACCGAGGCAGTTTGAACCAGACATCTTCTGGGGACCACCTTTGCACCGGAGGACGGGGGCTTTCGTCCCAGCCCGGCCCGCTCCTTCTGCCCTCCTGGTGTGCATCGTCTCGGAGATCCCACTCATCATGCTCGCCCTCCGTCCGTCACTCTGTCGCCCCCAGTTCTCAACGTCCTCCGACCATCCAGCAAACACGCGTCTCAATCGAGGCATTCACCCGCGCCGCTTGCTCACCCGATCGGCGAATAGCCCACATTCCCCTGTATTCCTCAATTCCTTCCGTCGGCATGTTGATGGTGCTCGACCTCGTTCATCATCCACTGGTAATGATCTTCATGCCTTGCCGGCTCTTTGATGGCTCACTCTTGCGTCTTGCCCCGTGCCGACACCAGCGTTCATTACTACCACGAGGCAATCAAGTCGCAATCAACTAGCCATCAGGAACCAGTCCATGGGCTGATGTCAGCGTGCGCCGCCTTTTGTGCATTTCTTTCGAGACTACCGACAGAGGCTCCTTTGGATTGTTCTCGGGTCAATCATTGTCCAGCATGCAGCCGCCGCATGCAACAAAGCATTCCGTCGTCAAACCGACGCGCCGTGGCGGGCACCGGCAGCCACCCGGAACCGACATTGCGGCTGCTGGGAGAATCTCCCTCTCTTGCATTGTGATTGACTTGATTGTGTAGGCCTCTGGGCAACGAGTCTGTCACGTCTCTGTGACTTTGGTGCACCTCCACGTGTGGCTGGGGACACATGATGCTACAGACCAATCAACTGACCCAAAGAACGAACCAATCGACGGGACCGTTATTTGCAGCTCTACAGCTTTGGGCGCCGCCCAGCAGATATGTGACGCTGAATCCGGGTTCGTGTTTGCTTGTCAAGGCAAGGGCCGCACGCCCGGGGTGCGACCGGGGTGGGTAGCAGCAAATCGAGTTGGATAAAGCTCAGCATATCGTGCACATCTCCAGAAGGGTCGAGCCCGGTACGGAGTACCTGGATCTCGGGCCACATGTTCGGATGCATGTCTTTTAGACGGTGGTCTCGGTTGTCAGTGAGTATCGCCAATCGGCGTCGACACGGCCGGCCGGTGAGACAAGACCAGTCCTTTGCAATTCGTTTTCCGTTCTCTGACGTTTCTCTAGTGGCGCTGCTGCATTCCACTACCTGCCGGTCACCTCTCACCCGCGTCCGCCTACCGAGTCGACGGTTCCCATCACCAATGGCGGGCGATTGCACCGAGATGCCTCTGTGCTGGCCGTTCAAGTACAGCTGCCGTCAAATCAACCTCTATCGAATGCAGAGCTGTCCCCCGGGTGTACGATTTGGATGATCTCAGACGGACTCGTGTGGCGGCCAACAATAGGCATGGGACGACCACACTCATCCAAGACAAGCGAGCCGATTTATTCATATTCGTAAAAAAAAGTACCCCGTACGGACACAGCGCGACAGTCTACGCCAGCTGTTGGCTGCTCGCGTATCTTGCCATTCCTCTTGGCAGACGGAGTCGAGAATGATGGAACTCCCGGACTCAGACTCGTTCCATTGTGGGGTCATTTCCCGATATATCCACGCCCCCTGCCGCTGTTCGCACTCGATGTCGTCGTCCCCACACACACACGCTTTCTCACTAACCGTCAAACCCCACTCTTGTTGGTTCTCAGCTGTTGGTGATTGTGTTCAACTTCTCGCAGGGGTACGAAGTAGTGTACGGAGTCCAGCAGCCACGCCACAGGGCTTTCCTCCGCTAAGAACGAGTTAAACGACGGGTCCGTCATCCCGCCAATCTAGCTCTGACAGTGACGCTCGGTCCATACGCTGGTGTGTTTTTCTCACTCGCAAGACACTACAGTGTAAGCCTTGCCGTTTCGGGCCAGTACTTACTTCCAACGACGGCGTCGATTCAGTCAACTATGCCTCGAGGAATCAACACAGTAAAGCTACGGCCGTTGCAATGGAGCAGTGTCTCGAAACCCCTCTTTCCTTTGAAGTCGGCCGTCGTCGTTGACGACGATGAGAAAACACGGCAACGAACGTACCAGCCTGGCGGTACCTTGGGTGCCTGATATGAACCGCCAGTCACATCTGCCTAGGCTGCAGCAAACAATAGCCCGCTCACACCAAGACGAGCGGAAAGGCTCCGACCTCTCGTACCTCGGTCCTGTCGTGGCTCATTTCCGCATCTCATCTTTGCACTGTCTGGTGACAGTCGCTCGGGTCCTGACCAGGGCCCTGCCAACGCACGCATTTCCTTACAACGGCAAAATGCCCTCTTCCAACAACGCAGCCGCCACCAATCACCGACTCTGCATCCTACGCTCCACCGCAAAGAGGACCACAACAGGTCAGCGAGGCGCCGCTGGCTATCTGCGTGCCTTACATCGCCATCTACGCATCATGGAATTCGTCAATGCCGGTGGTGGGTGCCACAGGCGAGGCCGGGATGCTGCACCGCAATCTCCAACTACCGCCATCAGTCGCCGTCGCACGGAACGGCGTGAACCACGAGATCACGGATTCCGGCCGGCGTCCTCGAAAGCAGTGTGTGGCCGCGGAAGCCTCGACCTGCAGCCATTTCTCCTAGCGCCCAAGGTGACGGGCTGTGATGCCGCTTTCTGTCACGGCGGATACCTGAAGAACTAGGTTATCAATGGACCGTCGCCGTCCAATGAGCAGGCTCGACATGACCGAATCCATTGCAGTTTGACGGGCGGTTGTCCCCCGCATTACACCCTTGCGAGCTCCTGATATTTGAGACGAATCATGGTAGGGCACTGTCGCGTGGCAGTCTTTGATTGCGGACACATGCAAGGAGGTGCAGAAATGTTCTGGAACGTTTCCCGAGACATTGCATTCATCTGTGCGGTGTCACGTCAAGCTGGTCGATGGCCTCTGGGTGAGGAAGTCGGGATGATATGGCCGTGTTTTTTGACGAGCGAGTGGTCATCTTTGCTTGGTCTCATACCGTCGTTGCCTGGCAGTGCCTAGGCGCAGACTTGCCATCTCCCGATCGTCCACGATGATGACCGTCGCTTCAGTGAGATGAGGCTTTCAAACTCGGTTCCCCGAGGTCAGTAGATGGCATTGGGATGATTTGTGTTGTCTCCAATGCCCCCAATTGGGTGGCGCAATGATTTGGCGCTCAACACCGACCTTACGGACCTACCTTTATCTCAACTGTTGCTCTTCTTTGCTAACCTTTCTGCTATGTGTGTTTTCTTGAGGAGTATCTTCAAGAAGCGGAAGAGAGAGCTGATAATCATCGTCGTCGTAGGAACAGAATGAAACTTGCTACTTTACCCGTTAAAGTCAGACGAGGTATCCATAGACATGGCTGTTTGGGTCTGACCTAGTTATTTCATACCGTAATCATTGTTTGATCCCCTGCGTCGACAAGGTACCGCATGATCGTCTTTCTTCCTCATGAGACTTATATTACTGAGAGACAGCCAGCACCGCTGTCACATCAACCCACTATTCACTATGAAGGCGCGTGGGAAAGCACGAGTCTTCAAGTAAAGCAATCGATGATGAACGAAACGGGCATCTATGGGTCATATAAAGCGACGACTGGGACCGGCTGTATCCACACCGAGGCCTTCGGTTCTTGCTCAAAGTCGTCATATTCAGATTATACTAGTGATCAAAAAGAATGGAACGAGAAAAACAAACAGAGGAAGCCACCATGAGGGCTCCAACGCAGATAGCCAAATAGCCTATATCTAGACCAGTACGCAGGTGTTTAAGCACTTGGCCGCGCTCGTTGATGGAAACTACAAAGGAAAACGATACCTACATATCCTAGGGAGATGCACGTTGTCTATGGATTGATGCCTTTGGATAACCCAAGACACCACGGCATACGGTTTCGAGGTACATCACCGCAACCGGCAACCCAACAGTCTGGCTGTCTCACAGGTGGAGATGGGCTCTTGGTTTGAGGTCATTATTTTGAGGGGCAGCAACAGTCTAACATCTACGTTAGCATCTACGTACCTATGAAGTGCCGTCGACCGGAAGCCCAATTCGGTGCATGGTCACAATGTAGGCATCGTTCACCCCACTGGAAAAGGAGGGAATATGCCCTGGTATGATAATCGCGAGATCGCCACCCTTCCGTTTGTTGGCCTCGGTTGCATTTGCCGAGGTCGCGTGAAGAGCGGTGAGCCATTGGATGGTTGATGCCATCACAACAACCCTCAAGTAGGCCGCCATGGGGTCATCCCAGAACAGTGACAACACTTGGAAGGGATCCCAACCCCAACGAATACGTGACCAGGGATTCGGCCTTCATACAACTGGTCGTATAAAATATAGGCGTGTTAATATCACGAGAGGAGAGGGGAAAAGAACACGAAGAAAAAGAAAAAGGAAGAAGCCAATATCATGGCTTGGAGGCTTGGAGGCTTAGAGGCTATATACCAGCTGGCTTTCAGTGTTTGACCACTTGAACACGTTGGATGACGGAATTAGAGACAGGACGGTACCAGATACCTATGTGGCCACCTTTAAGCTACAATAACAATACCTATCTGAGTACGACGAGACAGCATCAGGAGCAGGTCACAGCATGAAGTAGACATTCAAATGATAATGGACACAAATTCATTGGTATTATTCCACCGTTCCTATCCTATCGACGTATACCTCAAACCATTCCGTCGAGTGAGGTCGTGTGGATCACTGGGTCCTGGCCTTAAAATTCTGTCTTGGCCGACCTCGACAGGAATTCAACTACTCGCCCATCGGACGATCGCACAGACCACGGGGCCCCGGTCTCAAGACACCGTCCTGATAGACATTGATTGGGGTTGAACCGCTCGTCTACCAGACAATTGTTTGTTAACACGACATGCGCGTCCTTCGTTTCCGGGTCCCGCAACAACCGCTCCTAAGCGGTGGCGTCGTGTCTGTAGTCATAACGAACCCATGGACCGCGCGACAAGTTGCTGGGCTTAACCAAGTCTGGAACGCCCCCATCCAACGTCCACTGAATCACTTCCTCCACTCCCGCATTCTCTCAATGAAGCTACAACGGAATTATAGTCGCGCTTCGTCGATACAAATAAAAAGCGAAACGAGCCCTGAAGTGGATCAACAGACCGTATCTGGTAGGGTCAAAGACAGCGATCGCCAAGTGGTCGACGGCCGTGATCGCCAAGTGGCGCGACAGGCTCGTCGACAGGGCACCGATATGACCGAAGGCATTGGTCGCCAAGTGGTCGGAGGCAGTGATGGCCAAGCGGTGCAAAGTTTTGGAATGAATGATGCCATACAGTCCCGAGGGTCGCCCGGAAACATGCCCATTGTTCCTGCAAAGAAATGCCATCGCCTACGTTTCGACAAGCGAAACAACGACCGATCGCAAAACAACAATCGTGATCACAACACCAATGACACTCGGCAAATCTACAAGCACAGGCCAGAAACCAATACCCACGTCTGGTTTCGCAGGATGGGACCTTCGCCGCCATGAGGTTTCGAAATGAGGGATGGACCATGCCTTGACCTGATCTGTGGCAGTTGCTCGGCCAGGGGGCATCATCTCCTGGATTGTGTTTGGCCCGACGCTCGAGGCGACTTGGTGGGCTGCCCATTCTGCAACACCAGAGAGCACCTCATGGACAACTGTCCACAGCAGCCCGATTTTGGTAACTGTCGTTGAACGTACCTCCTCGTCTTCCGTCGAGTCAACAAGCCGTTGCTTACAACCACGCGCAACTGGCTCCACTATGCCCAGATTGCCGATCGTCAAGCCCGTAATACTACACTTGATGCGAATACCGCAGCGACATTGGGGCAACTGTTTTCTAAGGGATTTCCATGGACCAGGCACTTTGGCCAAGACTTCTTTCATAACATTACTTTGTTTTTCGTCGCCGTGGGAACCATTGGATGTTATTCAGTCAGATATTCAATTTCAGTACCCTAGGTTCACCTGTGAGCTGGATGAACGGCAGGCGACTGAGAGTTCTACTAGTAGCCGGGTCACCTCCTGGGCACGTGATGGAGGTGAGGCAGGAAGAATGCATCACGCACCTTTCACCTTGGTTCCCTGGTTCACGTAGCCTCATCTAATGCCTCAAGGGTCATAGACGCCACAGGTGAGGCCTCTATAGGCTAGGTCAATACCATTGCTGTCACCAGCACAGCAGGCGCCCCCTAGGCTGGGATCAGGTCAAACTGTGGCGTAGTGGTGGAATGGTTAATGGTCAACAATCGATTTACGCCAACCAGCCTAATCGACGACAGGCTAAGCGAGAGTACCCGAGTTCGAGTCCCAGCAAGTGCACCAGAGATGTAGCCCCCAGTTCAGCACCGGCGGGGTAAACTCTTTTGCTGTGCCGTTGTACTGATGAAATTGACTTTTTCTTTGCGTTAAAATGAAGAAGTTGTCTCTTTTTGGTCAGATATCTGTAGAGTAAAGAAATATGAGTACGGTCGGCGAAAATGGGCCACTAAGGATAAAAAGAGTTGGGAAGTGAATAGGCGCTAGTCAAGCGGATGGGAGGGAGGGAGGTGAAGGACAGGAATTTCGAAGGTGGAAGCGAGAATATTGTGATAAACTGAAATCTAATACCTTAGATAATGACGTATAACACACCAGGTTCCAGGTGATAGATTGGCTTATCACAGAGGTAGGTGTAACTGTCTCGCGAAACACCTGAGTGAATTGAAGGCTGGTTCCTGCCGGCGTTAACGGTCATGGCCTGAACTACGAGGAGGGCGTGAGATGGAGGCATGTATTACAGAAACGAGAAAGCCTAGAGAATTCTCATGAGGAACGCTTGACTTGAATTCAATGCCGGATATGATGGCACGATTGACGCAATGTGAACTCCTACACACTGATCATTTAATGCTTGCGTCCAACCTACATATGAGCGAGTTACGAATACATCACTTTCATAAGTAGGCCTTCGCGCCAATGCAAGTTGCCTTATTTGCGCAACTTATTTGTTCGTCACAGCCATCATCCGGGGAAGCATATAGTCAAGAAGGCAGGCTTGGGGCCGGCTTGGCACGGGAAAGTGGGGCCGATAATGGCGGTGGGACTCCAAGTCCACAGCATCGACACGCGGTGGTCTCAGCATTGGGACCTCATTCTCTGGGCGCAACAGTTTTGGGCAGCCTGCAGAGTAAGGTAATGTTGTTGCGTCGGCTGGAACCCAAGAATGGTGCATTGCAAGAGTGATGGCTTGTTTCTGGCTTGAAGTAGTACTTGCTGCTGCCTGCTTTAGCGCATCTTGTTTGAGTAGGTCGGCGGATCGCACATCCGACCTCACCTCTTATTTCCGAGGTATGTCAGCCAGAAACCGAGCAACACTGTCATGTATAAAAGACGGATGAGTTCTTCTGGTTGTTCGCTTCTCCTGCTTCGAATAGCCTCGTTTGCGCATTGCTTGATCGTATCCCCTCAGGCTGCAGAAACAGGCCGTCAGACCACTGTCGCTTGATTTCCAGTGTGTCATTACCATTGAACCAGAACTCACTCAACACTTTCCCAAGCCACACATTACCTACCATGGCGAACCCATCTCAGCACGGCTGTGGTGTAGTCTCGGTAGCACCGACGTCAGCCGACTTGGAGTTGGCTCCCATTCCGGACCCCGCACCGGTCACGACTGCCCCCGCTCCGACCGGCCCCACCCCGTCAAAAGACGCGGACCCTTTCCTGGTTACCTTTGCACAGCCGCATGACGCCGAGAATCCTCTCGACTGGCCCGCGGGTCGAAAGTGGATGGTTACCGACGTGCTATCGGCTACGGGTTTCAATCGCATCATGGTGTCAACAATCATGGCACCCGCCTTGACAAACATTGCGGCGGAGCTCGACATGACCTCCACTGAGTCCGCCATGGCTTTGTCCATCTACCTCCTCGCCACCGCCTTTGGCCCCCTCGTAATGGGACCATTGTCCGAGATCTACGGTCGGCAGATCGTCCTCCATACCTCAAGCGTGTGGTTTCTCATCTGGAACGTGCTCTGTGGGTTCGCAAACACCAAGGGAACGCTCATTGCGGCTCGCTTTCTGGCTGGCTTCGGCGCTAGTTCTATCTATGCCCTCGGAGGAGGAGTTCTCGGCGACATCTGGCGTCCTGAACAGAGAGGCCAGTCTCTTGGGTTCTATCTTCTCATACCTCTCCTGGGCGCAGCCGTTGGTGAGTTGGCCGAGCTTTGCACCAAACCATGCTAACCCCTTCTAGGCCCAATCATCGGCGGCTTCATCGCGGCGCGTACGACATGGCGATGGATGTTCTGGTCTACTTCCATATTCCAAGCCGCCATGATAGTCGTCTCCTTCTTCAGCTTCCCAGAGTGCTACGCTCCGCTCATCCTACGCCGGCGGGCTGCTCGTCTCCGCAAGGAAACCGGCGATACGAGATATTACACGTTCAACGAGAGAATAGACGCTGGCAAGTCCACTTTGGCGGTCATCAGAAACTCCCTCACACGACCCCTTCGACTGCTGCTCTTCCATCCAATCATTCAGGTGTCGGCCGTCCTGTCAGGATTCAACTATGGTATCTTGTATGTCACGCTGTCGACCTTTGCGGACATCTGGAAACAGCAGTACGGCCAGTCTGTGGAGATTAGCGGACTGCATTACATCGCCTGCTCTTTCGGCGAGCTCGTTGGGTCCCAATTGGGTGGACTGATGATGGACCGCTTGTACAAGCGTCGAGACCAACCTACACCAGAGTCTCGAGTCATGCTCGCATTCTTTGGTATTGTTCCGGCCTGGCTGGGTACTCTGTTTTACGGTTGGACAGCACAGTATCGCCTCTACTGGCTAATCGTCGATGTCGGAGTTGTTGTCATGATGTTTGGCATGCAGCTAAGTGGAATGCCTAGTGAGTTTGGTTTGACCGATTGGTGACATGGCTGACAAGTTGCTAGTGACGGCTTACGTGATCGACGCATACGCAGAGCATACTAGCAGTGCTATGGCAGCGATTCAGTTTGTCAAGAGCTTGACTGCTTTCTTGTTCCCGCTGTTCGCCCCGAGCATGTATCACGCACTCGGATATGGCTGGGCCAATACTTTGATGGCCCTGGTGGGCGCAATGCTTGCTGTCCCCCATCCCATTCTTATCTGGAAGAAGGGAGCCCGGCTGAGAGCTAGGGCGATTTCGACGTACTGAGCAGTATCCTTATACCGTAGACTTCGAGCCACCTGTGTGGGCAATTAGTAATAGGAGCTGTCATTGTAGGAGTAATAGCAGTAATAGGAACAAGAGAAAGAAAGCCCAGGTTGATATTGAGCGGTCAATTGTTGCGCTATCTAAGGTACTTGGTAAAAAGAAATGGCTCAAGAAGCACAACATTACCTGCCTCGCGTACCTGCCTCACCTAACCATGCCTTTCTTTTTCTATCCACCTACCTACCTTACACAAACGCATCTGACTTCGTCCTCTTCAACCTCTATGAGAATATTCCAACAAAATCAATGAACGGGGAGAAAGCACATCCAGCTAAACTACCCAAGTAAGTGCGACGAATGGCAAACTCCTTCGATGATTAACTCGCGTCACAGCGTGGCATCCAACAGTCGCAGCAGCATCGAAGCCAACACCAAGAACGACCAGGAGAGATTCGATGGCACTCTACCTCCCCACCGCAAGAACAGAAAGCTTCTCATGGTCAAGGGCTTCCCTTTTACAGAGACCAGGAACCAAGTCGAAGCTCAACAAGCCTGACTCTGCCAACTTCCACTGGCCGCCCCCGAAGGATCCCCGACGGAGTCTCCCGTCGAGTCATCATGGAGAAGTGTTCCTTTCGTTCGCGGGGCGGATCGACTGCCGCGGAGCTGTGAAAGACCTCGAAGGATCCATCTACCCAGCACGAGGAGGCCCACGCGAGCTGAGTGTCAAGCCAGAAAGAGGCAGGTACCTGGTAGGTTGTATTTCCCTCGATATGAAATGCTTTCCTAATAGTATTCCAGGCTTTCCAGGCTGCTGTCGGACACAGCACTGCCAATATACATGCGTTCGCCGGCGCCTTGGCAACACCCCGACCACAACTCAAGCTTCCTGTTCCATCACCATCCACCACAACCGTTGCTACAGTAGCACCAGTGCCTCCCGTCCTGCCCGCGTCGGCCACAGCCTCTGCTGACCAATTCCGCCTCGGCATGATGGAAAGACTCTTGGCTTTTCTCCAGAACGAGATGAAGGCTATAACTGATGGCGATCGCATGCGCATGTCGGAAGATTTCTTCCTCAATGAGATCCACATCAGATGGGAGAGATAGGGAAACGCCGTTGCTATCGCTCCTGATGCTGCTGCTAGACAACGTTGGTGAGGAAACTCTCGCCGCTCCTTCACAACCTCGACGCCAGTCCGGAGGCGCCGATTTTGCTGCCAACCAGTCGAGTACTCGACCGAAGCCTATTCTCTCCAGCATGATTCATACCCAGGCGAAAGCCTCTTTTTCTCTGTTCTACTAGGCGGAAGCCTAAGGGTTGAAAATCCTTGGACCGCAGTCCTAAAGTCATCCTGGCGGCCCGAGAGCAATCTGCGGGTAGGGTTCGATTCCCTAGCGATTCATTCCTGTACCCTCGTGGACGGAAACTGCACATGGTTCTCTGATTTAAGCAATGAGGGGCATCTAATTAACCCCGAGCTTCTCCTAGGATAGAAACACCGCCATCTTCCGCTTATATCTGATAGCTCCAGAAGAGCATTAGCTCGGGTGGCTCCATCTCTTCCATTGCATTTGCGAACCCCAGTCCTCATGGTAAGCCGTGTCTTGGTACTCTGACGGGTTCGTCGAATTTCTCCTCTTTTCTAAGCAGTCTCGTCTCATCCAGCATTCTCTTCGTCATTCCGCCACTGGCCTCCTTGTCCCATCTGGCATGGGTCTGTTCCACGATTGCACTGGAACTCACAGGGCCGTCAGGATTGTTCTGACCATCTTCCTTGGCCAATGGAGAGCCGTTTTGGTCATTCTTCAGATGCGTTCTAGGTCGCTCAGGCCCTCGTTTTTTTGCACTCTGGGATCCGGCTTCGGGGTTTTTCCGGGGTCGCCTAGGCCTCCGTCTGGCGGGGACATTCTCTTCTACGCCAGTGACACCGTCAGCGGATTCATCATCCGAAGTAACAAACTCATCACCCGTGCCTTGACTTGAAAACGCAGACGCACTCGCCGACTCGGTATTTTTTTGAAGGTGCGCGGCATTGCTTGTTGTGTTGTTGTTGTTTCGTTGAAGTGGTGGATGGAAAGGAACGTGGCCTGGGGGCGATCTAAGTGCTACGACTACAACACGCAAGAGCCACGCCCCCCTTGAGGGGTTGGAAATAGAGCATCATCATTCTCAGTACCCATCATTTTCAACACACATCACTTTAATGGATACCACAAATGTGAGAAGAAAACAGTATCCATTCTTCTATGTACTCATGACACTTAAACAAGACAGAGCTTGTCAGGCCACCGGAGGCCCAGCGAGATTAACATGGAAACAAGCGGCGGCGACGACTATCAGGTCCACCAGCTAATATTCCCCGCATCGTTTTCCTTGTAAGTATTCATGGCGGCATTGTCTATAGCTTGAAGCTTTCGCTCCTTGAGAACATTCTACTTTTTCCGCATTGAATGTCGTCATTCTACTTTACTGTCAACGTTTGTACATCTATGCCGTCTTCCGTTACCTCCCTTCCGCTGAGGTCTCGTCTATTTCATGGAGCTAGTCTGCCAGAGATTAGCCGGCCCAATCTTGTTGCCCCTTCTCTCTGCCTGCCATCTCGTCTGTTGTTCATCCTTTCGTATCTTCGGTTATCTTTCTTCTGACTAATGCTGATGGAAGGACAGAGGAGACAGTCTGAACGGCGCAAGAATACGACATGTAGGTCCCTCACAGTCGTGATTCAAGATTTGATGCTTCTTCAGATCCAAGACTTTGTTGCGGCATGTTCCGGTGTCGTCCCCCAAACAGGCCATGACCACCAATGGCAGCCATCCGACCACCTAGAGATGGGACGATGTCCGCCGCCACGGCCAACACGTGCTCCCACAACAGCACTGCCGTCCGCCGACGCATGATCAGCCGCAGTTGAATTGACTTTGATCAGGATCACAGTTGCTCTTCTCAGCCACACCCAACAGATCCGACTGGGTATGACCACTTACTCACCGTAGCAGCTCAGCTGAGCCACTCGAATCAGTCCTTTGTGTTGATCTTGTTTGCTGACCAAGGCCGACATCATTGCCCCTTCCCATGAGCTCGAGCCACCACCTCCTCGCTCTCGCCGAAGACGTTCCTATCAAACGACTCTCACGAGGCTCGACAGCCAGATAACCCCCGAAACAGAAGATTGGGCCCACGAGCTGAATGCACATTCAAAGTTTCAACAAGCCCAATAAGGCTCGCGTCGGCAGTCAGGACTCCTAGGCCCCATGGAAAGGCGCAGACGTGAGGGGGCAGCCTCATCCCGCATAGGCCACGCGCCGTCCCGCTGGGGAAACCCGGCCAAGCTCGAGACTCAATCGCCCAAAAGCAGCCTCGGCTCTGACGCCATTCACCTCACTGTCCGCGAGCTGAGTCGGGGGAAACACCACCAAGGGCATCTCGTTTGCGCCGGGCGTCTCATCCGAGCCTGAGGGGCCTGGATGTTCCCGGCACGACACCACCAAACTGACTCTCCACAAGGAGCTACGTTTGAGGGGAAAGGCTAAACGGTGGCGATGGGGGAAAATATCTATCAAAGTCGGGGACGAAAAAAAAATGATTCTCTTCACACTTGACCACCGACAATGGACCAACCACTCAGCAAGCACATGGCGATCGACAAGCCGACACAGGAAAAGTTCTTCGAGGTGCGCTCGCCCGCGAGCTTCGCGGCGCGGATGTGGTCGCGCAACTACAGCGGCGTGCCCGTCGTGCCGGATGGCGATGTGATCCTTGTCGTGGGGCTCGGCGAGGAGACGACAGAGCTGCGCGTAGACTCACTGATACTGAAGCGGGCGTCGAGGGTGTTTGGCGCGATGCTGGGGCCGCGCTTCTCCGAAGGACAGAAGCTGCTGGACCGGGGATCGGAGCCCGTCAAGATCAGCCTCCCGGACGAGGACCCGGAGATCATGGAGCTGATCCTCAACATTCTGCACCACCAGAACTCGCGCGTGTGCCAGATCGCGGCAGCGGACTCGATCCTCGAGGTGGCGGTCGTCGCCGACAAGTACGACCTGATTGACGCGCTTAAGTATGCGTCGCAGACTATGCTGCACTACCACGAGCCGTCGATTGACCACTTGACCGTCGGCGACTTGTGGAGGCTAGGTCTGGCGGCGGGTCTGCTCAACGAGGCCAAATCGTTTGAGAAGATTACCCGCATGCTGGTCTGGAACCACACGGTGCCGTACATACAACTGGTGGACGCGGAGGACGTGGTCGATATCGAGTTTGCGCTGCGGATGTGCTGTAAGTCGAGTGCTTCACTGGGGGTGTTCTGACTGACGAATGACAGATCTCCTCGAAAAGGAGAGACAGGATTTGAAGACTTCGTTGCTGATGCACCTCTTGCCCATCATTTCGACGGGTAACCAACTCCGGCTCGTCGAGATCAAGGTCGATTCGGTTGAGCACTTTGATGCGTGGCCGGAGCTGATGAAGTTGTTCGGGGCCAGTCTCAAGGAGACGACAAAATTCGCCGAAGGGTTGGTCTTGGCGGACCGGAGCCGTCGCGCTGCCGGGCCCAGTTCTGACTTTATGAGGCACTTCAAGGCGCGCGGGGGCATACGGCTTGCGGATGCACGGCGAGGACGAGACTGAGGTGGACGTTAGCAGCACGGACGCCGTTCTAGATTCTTTTCATTGTTCCTTTCATCGATCGTCGTTTAGCCTCAGCGGGACCAATTGCATGGGTTATGCAGGGTGGCATTCAAATTCGAGTTTATTTTTCGACACCGCGGGCCATAGTGTCTTTGCACGACTGACAGCCGAGGTTCGCCTTCGGTGATTTGCCAGCCGCTCGGTCAAAGGCCGTGGCTGCATCCGCCGTAAAAACAAAGACTGAAAAAGTGCACCTCTGCCAAGTCTCGAGTTCCGAGGTTGTGTTGATAAGCAAAGGTGGATCTGTGACGGCACGATCGAATGGGACTCTCGCATGGCCTTTCGAGACCCAGATTTGATGGGCTGACCAGTCCGGAAGAGGGATGCGGCGGTCCAGGCAATCAAGCAATTTTACAGATTTTCGCAAGAGCCGACGGCTCGGGAGCCAAGCAGGCCAGACATGCAGGGGCCCTCCCGGACGCCACAACTGCGTGTAGATTCGGTCCCGATGGGTAGTGGGCCGGCTCCGAATAATATGAAGAAGGTAGACTCGAGGCCTCGAACAGCCCTACTCAGCAAGTCAGAGACGTTGATATTGTCGATCGTTGCTCGGCCGATACACCGAGTCTGACACTGCCCGAATCGACTCGCACTCTTATCACCGGATGTCCAGATCTGGGAGGTCCGTAAAGAGTAGCGCCAACAGACGATAAGCCCCTGGTTACTAGTTCATCCGTCATGTAGTTTGCTTGCATAGCTGCACCTGCATCGTATGTTGGTGGGATGCCGTTCGGACGGTGTTGGTAGCCAACGATGGTGAACCCCTTGCCATGATTCAGTCAAACAGGTTAAAAAGAGTCGGCATCCTCGCAGTAATCCGACTGCGAGTGCGTGCGCGTTCGTTCAAGGGGGGTGAGACGAAGTTGAGCAAAGTCCGAAAGGTCCTGTCTCACGGCTTTGTAATGAGAAAATAGGGGGGGAATAGTCAAGGACTCAAGCCAGTGGTGTCGAAATCCGTTGGAGTTGGAAGGGGTTGCACCTCGGCACGGTGGCCAGGTCCGCCGACATCCCGGCCGGTGGGTCCCCGTTAGCGAGCCGCCAGCCCATGAAATATCGTCTCTGGCACGTTGCCTCGGCGAACTAGGCCCGGTGTGGCCGTCCCTTGGTTTCGCTAAACCACGTCATTCCGCCGTGCATGCGGCGCAAGCGGGTACGTACCTGGGAAAAAAACGGACGGAGGAAAGAAGAAAACCTCTGCTCCGTCGAGAGATCCACCTCAGCTTGCGTTCGTCCTGCGTTCGTCCTGCGTTCGTTCGTCCATTCCCTGCGTGCCATCGCATATCTGACAAAGCCAAAACCGTGCAGTTCCTGGCCCAATCCCGTCTTGTGACTCCTGTCAGATCCCGCTAGGTATCATACCTACTGACTGCAACGCAGCATCGGGCGCTAAACCGAGCCGGAGATAAGTGACCCCCCGCTGGTTTGTCCCCGTCCAACGACCGATAATGTGCGTGCGGAAGACAAACCGCCCGGGTGGGCTTACACCGGTGGATCATCACCACCCCCCTGGTCGATGGAGATGGGTGTGTGTTGAGACGGGCACCGACGAAGGGGATGGAAATCACATTAGAAATCCCCACCCAAGGCCACGCCCGGCCTACGCAGTATATAGACGATGGGCCGTCCCAAGTCTCCGGGTCCCAGATCAGATCTCTCGCTCATCCGACCTAGACTTCAACGCCGACGATCGTCATCCAAGCACAGTCCAGCACTAATAAGCGTATTACCCACGAGGACAACATGGCGTCAGCGCCGCACTCATCATCATCGTCCATCACGGCGACCGAGGCCGATGTTGAGGCCCAGAAGCCTGTCAACAAGGCCAACTACTTCCACCTCCTCTTCGACCAGGCTGGCGTGACAGAGGCCGTTCTCGAACGCAAATACCCCGGACAGGGCACCGACGAGGCCCCCTACGTCGTCGACTTCCTCCCCGAGGATGCCCACAATCCCCAGACCTTCCCCAAGTGGAAGAAGTGGACGTACACCATCGAGCAGGCCCTCGCTACCCTGGCCGTCGCCTTTGTGAGCACGGCCTACTCTGGTGGTATCGCCGAGGTCATTCGCGACTTCAAGGTGTCGACCGAGATTGGTATCCTGGGTGTTTCTCTCTTTGTCGTTGGCTTCGCCGTCGGTCCCCTCATGTGGGCGCCCCTGTCTGAGCTGTACGGACGTCAGTACCTCTTCATCGCCACCTACATCGCCCTCACTGCCTTCAACGCCGGTGCCGCCGGTGCCCAAAACATTGAGACGCTCATCATTCTACGCTTCTTCGCCGGCACGTTTGGTGCCTCGCCCATGACCAACGCCGGCGGTGTCATTGCCGACATGTTCAACGCCAACGAGCGCGGCCTGGCCACGGCCATCTTTGCTGCCGCCCCCTTCCTTGGGCCGTCTATCGGTAGGTCCCTTTATCCCAGTACATACGTTCCCAGCTAACAAAGTAGGCCCCATTGTTGGTGGTTTCCTCGGCGTCGCTGAAGGCTGGCGCTGGATCGAGGGTCTCATGGCCATCTTCACCGGCATCCTCCTCATCGTCGTCGGCCTGACCGTCCCCGAGACGTACGCGCCCGTCCTCCTCCGCCGCCGCGCCGAGAAGCTCGCCAAGATCACGGGCAAGAACTACATTTCAAAGTACGAGGCCCACGCGCCCCGCAAGACCGTCGCCCAACAGTTCAAGGTCGCCCTCTCCCGCCCCTGGATCCTCCTCTTCAAGGAGCCCATCGTCCTCCTGACCTCCATCTACATGGCCATCGTCTACGGCACCCTCTACATGCTCTTCGCCGCCTTCCCCATCGTTTTCCAGCGCGGTCGTGGCTGGTCCCCCGGCGTCGGCGGTCTGGCCTTCCTCGGTGTCGCCGTCGGCATGATCTTCGCCGTCATCTACACCGGCTTCGACAGCCGCCGCTACCTCAAGGTCTCGGCCGCCCACGGCGGCTTCGCTCCGCCCGAGGCCCGTCTCCCGCCCTCCATGGTCGGCGCCTGCCTGCTCCCCATCGGCCTCTTCTGGTTCGCCTGGACAAACGGCCCCGAGATCCACTGGGTCGTCTCCATCATCGCCTCAGGCTTCTTCGCCGCGGGTCTCGTCCTCGTCTTTCTGAGTCTGCTCAACTACCTCATCGACTCGTACGTCATCTTCGCCGCCTCCGTCCTGGCCGCCAACTCGGTCATGCGGTCCCTCTTTGGCGCCGCCTTCCCCCTCTTCACTACACAAATGTACGAGAATCTCGGCATCCACTGGGCTTCGTCCATCCCGGCCTTCCTCGCCCTCGCCTGCCTGCCCTTCCCCTTCCTCTTTTACAAGTACGGCCCCGTTATCCGCGCAAAGTGCGCCTTCGCCGCCGAGGCCGCCGCCGTGCTGGAGCGCATGCGCAAGACGCACGAGGAGGTTAACGAGGACGAGGCCATGGCGGAGGAGCAAGAGCACGAGAAGGAGCACAAGCGCAACAAGTCCGTCGATGGCGGCGTCTTGTCCGATGACGAGCAGACCGTCCAGGGCGAGCCCGAGACTCCCAAAGCCTAAAATCTATGCGACGTATCTGCACGACGCACTAGACGACATTTCTTCACTACGTATTAGAATAGATGGAAGCATGGATAGACGATGATACCCGGAGCGGCACGTGTCACGGCATGATGTTAGCATTTACAAGGAGTTTTTTTTTTGGCATTTTAGAGCATACTAGACAGGCCACAGAAGCCTACATTAGATACCAGATAGACCCCCCTCATCTGTATAATCATAGAGTAATAGATCGAGACACTCGGAACCAACCTTGCTACAGTTCCTCCCGCTCCCGCCCGCCAATCTTGATCTTCAGCCCCGGAATGTTCCTCACCTTGAGATTATGCGAGCCCACAACCCTCACGTTACTCTTCACCGACCCAGCCTCGTTCTCGACGACCTCCTTCTGCCCGGGCGGCGTCCACGGCTTGACCCGGCCCTGCCACACATCCAAACCCCATCCCTGCAGCTCGCGCGGCGTAAAAGCCTTGCCCTTGGGGTACGGATAGATCCTCCCGTTAGAGACCTGGTGGACTGCGCCGACGGGGAACGCGTCTTCCGCGGGGACGTCGAGGCCCAGTTTGGCGAGGAGGTCGGGGAAGCGGTTCGGGTCGACGGTGACGGGCGTCAGGGAGGCGTACTGCTTTTTTGCAAAGTCGTGGAGGTCTGCGCGGATGGAGGCGCGGGTTTGCGGGGAGGGGGAGAATATGTAGACGATTGGCCAGGCGCGCTGTGCTCTGTTAGTATCTCCTAGGTGAGTGTTTTTTGCTGTAGCGAGACCTACGTCGATGAATCGCTGGTGGTTCAAGGGCGTCAGCTCCGCGATGACGGGCCTCGAAACGTCCAGGACCCAGCCCTCGAGCCCATCTGCCGCGGTGCGCGTGTACGTGCTCTCGTCGTCGCGTTTGCGGCACACAACCCTAGCGGCGTCGGTGGTTCTCGGTGCATCGACGACGCCAAAGGTGAACTCGGTCCAGTGCTTCCGCGCCACGGCTTCAAAGGCCTGTCGGAGCGCCGTCTCGCCTGGGCCCAGGCGGGCTACGCAGACAAAGGTGTCGTCGTTGCCAAAGGACTCGGCTTCCTCGGGTGAGGGGCGAGAGACGTGAGGCCGCCGGACGCGGTTGGTAAAGCGTAGGATTCTGGTGGTAGACGTGTTAACTCTGCTGCGAGGAGGGAGGCAGACGTACTCGTCGCTTGTAATAGGACCCAGGTAGTCTACCGGCTCACCGTCGCGGAGGAGCTTGACGGAGGGGTAGGCGGTTGCTGGCGCGTCTGCGCAGTGGGCGTCGGCGGCGTCTTTGATCCAGGCCATGGGGAAATCAGTTGAGGATTGCGCTGCTTCCCATTCCGCCGCTAGGTGCTTGGAGATATCTTCAGACTACCATTGAGCTTTCCGTCAGCAACATGACTACGCCCTCTCAATCCCATCCTACCTTGGCACCTAGGACTGTTAGCACACGTCTACTTCAATTGTCGGATTACTCACAGGCAATCAGCCTCATCTCTGTGCTGAGCGGGACCTGGGCTTGCTCCGCCGCACCAGACACCAGTGGCACCAAGAGCGTCCATAAAAACCAACGGAAAACCATTTTGTCTTTTCGTTGTGGTTTTGGGAGAATGAGAAGATGAGATTGAAGAAATGAAATGGTGGGATGTCGTCAGTTACCCCTGTCTGATGGGCAACAGGGATTGACTCCTGGACAAGGGCCAGGCTTGTTCAAGGTCACATTGCAGGGAACGACGACTTTACAGTACTTATTTCCATGATTACAAGCAAGCCTAGCCTCAGCTATGAAGAAAACCCAATCCAAACGCCATTCTCAATAACCGTACAATAATCAACAGTGATCCAGAATTCATGCCCTTATTCTCTTTGTTCTTCATGCAGGGGGGGATTGGAGACAAGGTCTGCAAGAATAGCGTCCTAACAATGTGTCCTTGTCAAGGACAGTAGTGATCAAGATAAAGCTCTCGGGGCAAGGAAAACTTGACGCCGCTCGTTGCACTGAGGACGTATTCGTTCGAAATCTTGGCAATGTGAGGCCAAATATCCCGTAGCAAGGCCCAGAGATCCTTTGAACACAGAGTAAGGAGTCTTAGACCATCATCATCATCCCTGACGACAGCCATCTCGAGGGACTCTTGGGTGAGGACAGCCTCATAGGACCACTCTTCGCTTCCAAGTAGGGGTTTAGGGAACTTCAGATACAAAAAGTGCTGCAGATATGTGAGTTTGTCCCACAGAGACCGATTTTTGTTTGAGCCTAGGAACATGTTCCGCAAAAGCTTCTTGTCGACAACAACGGCCGCCTCACATAGCTGAAGGGTGAGTGAATGTCGAAGTTCGTCCATGTTCGCTGGTGGCATTAGCAAAACATACTGTATGAATGTCGTAATAGTCTCACCTATGATTTCGCTCTCTTCATAGTGGAACATGTGACCACCGTCCAAGAATTGAATATTGCGGAGAGGGTAGAATGAACCCTCTTGCCGCCAGACCAAGATGTTGTATGCAAGCTCACCAATTATTTGGTTGTCACAGCACAGCGATTGCGCTGCGAGCACCATGTACCATAACTCTTGATTGGTCATACAAGTACTGGCGTGCAGTAAAGCGTTCAGTACTCTTCTCACACTGCCCATGATCAAGTACACCCGGGCAGGGTAGCATAGGGCGAGAATGTCCTGGCAACTTCGGCGTGAACCCTGCGGCAAGAATCCAGCGTGGAGAATCAACATGAGATCGCGTATGAGTGTAGGTCTTTCGTTGATGGGCCAGATTCGCTTGTTGGGGAACGCATCAAAGTTCCATGCCCAATGAGCTGAAGCATTATAGACTGTCTGCTTGTGAACCTGGAATATCTGCTTCTTCTTTGGATAACCCCCAATGACCTCGAAGACGGCATAGCCATCGGGTACCGTACTCGCATCCAAAGTTCCATCGGGAGATAGCTCAAAGTCCACAACGCACGAACGTGTGCTGACGCCACTGAAGGTCGCGAACACAACCGACTGGCGCTTAGAAGACTCGGACGGCGCGGGAAGGGGTATGGATGGCAGCGGGAAGGGCCTCCAATCCTTGAATGGTTTTGTAAAGGGAAGAACGTGCTTCTCGATGGAAAGGACCTGTGGCTGTGAGGCCACGGCGAGTTTTCTAAAGACGTTAGCTCATTGCCTCCATCCTCTGCCGAGTCGTACCTACTTGACATTCTTCGTTTGATAAGCCATGATGGAGCGAGATGCTCGGGTTGTGGGAAAGATGCAAGCTGAGAAGGCGGGATTGCTGAACAAAATATCGAGGTCGCCGGCGTGAAATGGATCATGGGAAGGTGGGATAGTCGAGCGAGGGACCCAGGTCGCCGCGGTAGAGGGATTGGAGAACCTGGGAAGGCAGAACGGGCGAGATACATAAGTCGAGCGAGGTGAAGGGAAGAAGTTGGAAAGGGCTGAACGAGGCAACGGACAAAAATGGAAGAAGAGGGCAGACTCCTCGAGACTGGGAGATGCACCCAAGTTGGAAAGATCGAAGGAAGGGCCGAGGACCCGCTTTCCTGGCGATAGGTCGTCCCCCGGGAAGGAAGCAGCACGTCAAAGTAAACACGGCGTGGCAGGTACGAAGGCCCACAGTGAACTGGCGATTTCTTCCATTACAAGCTTCTATAGAGCTAACCTAGTCGAATCCATTCCACTCATCCTCGTCGCCGCCCTCGTCACTTTCGTCCTCGCTCTCTTCAGATGAATCCTCGCTTGAAGCCTCCTCCTCCGGCACGCTCACAGTCGCCGCCTCCAATACCACAGGCTTCCCCGTACTCTTAAGCACCGGCATCCCAGCCATATCCCTCATGATCCGTCCGTCGTCGTCTCTCAAGTACGGGCCATCCTCGTCAATCGCCTCCTCTCTCGCAAACGCGGCAACGAAGAATCCCATCACGCCGTGGCCGTCGCCCTTGTATGTCCGGATACACGCTTCCGCCACGGTCTCATCACCTCCGGTCGCCTCGGGGAGTCCACGGACGGGCCACTCCCGCATACCGCGGACCTGCTTCTGCCTCGGTAGAATCTTCCATCCGCGCTCATTCGCAACGCGTGACGCGAGGGCCTTGATCACGACGCCCTCGTTCTCCTCTGCGTGTATCGAGCAGGTGGAATAGGTAATCTTCTTGGCTGCGGGAAACTTCATGGCGTGAAGCAGAAGCGTCAACTGAAAGCCGGCTAACGCATCTAGGCGCTTTTGCAGCTCCTGCTCCGACTGTACCTCGACCGTGTTGCCGTCGTCATCGACCATCACCGCACCGGGCTCTTCCGTTTCGTCCCGCTTGCGCTTGCGGTCGTCCTGTTTTGACGGCTTTCCCTTTGCGCTCTTGGATCCAGGCGGGCCAGGAACTTCTGGGAGATGCAGCTCCGGCATCGAATCACGCCCTACGATACCGCTGCCAGAGCAGCTGGGGTCCAGCAGCAGGGCCCCGACGTCCTTGTACGTGTCGGACTTGGGATCAACATCTAAAAAGTCTTGGCCAGGACCGATCTTGGTCATGCCCCGACTGCCAGCAATCCTGACCATCTTTTCTAGTGTATGAGCTCTCTTGGAGTCCCTCTCGAACGCAAAGATGGTCTGCTTTTGGGCTCCCTGCTCGGGTTCGTGCGACTTGACAATCGCTGCGAGGTGCGTTGTCTTGTTCCCTGGCGCCGCACACGAATCGATAACGTCCCCGTCCTCTGAGTGCGGGTCCAGGAGGTACGCTGGAAAGCAGGATGCCTTGTCTTGCAGAATGATCTCGCCCTTAAGGTAGGCCTGCGTCTTGGTCACATCCGTGCCGGGTGATGCTGCGAGAAGGAAGGGGATATGAGTGTCGATAAAGATGGCCTTGCCCGTTGCCTGCGTCACGGCCTCGATGGAGAGTGCCCTCTCGTACCCCTTGAAGGTGGTCTCAAGCTGGTCCTCGACATTACTCTTGAGCACGTTGACCCTGATCCATCGAGGGTGTCTTCCTTCGGGATCCGTGTTGGCGTTGACACCAGCCCGCAGCAATTCCAACGACGACATCTTCCTCCTCAAACGGGCGCGTGTGAGTTCAGAGGTCAGTCTCGCCTTGTGCCGCTCAATGGTTGTCCTGAGACCGTGAGACTGGGGCAGCGCGATACCCTTCTTGGCCAGGAGGAAGTCGTGCACCAGCAGTAGCGCCAGTATAGGTGTGAGCTGCACAGTCAGCGGCATTCAATAACTGCACAATGCAGTAGACTCACCTTGCGCTCATGGCGCAGAATGTCCGCCGCCTCGATGACCTCCTTCAAGATTGCACTCCACTTGCACGTCTCCAGTGCGAGGGCGTAGACCTGCGCCGGCGGCGACTTGAGACCCTTTTTACCAAACACGCGGCTCCTCAAGCTGCCGCCGTGGTCGGAGCTCGCCGTGAGAATGTCGGCAGCCTCGTGATACAGCGACATAGTGCCGGCTATCTATGTGTGTTGACGTTGGTCACCGCAACCGTCTCGGTGTGCGGCTGTGGGGATACCGGCGGGTGAGGTGAAGAGAAATTTCTACAGTGGGCACCGCTGGTTCGGAGAATTTGTGGGGACCGGCGGCAGTGGACGGACGGGTTGATTGCTTGGCCAATTGAGACTGCCAGACACGCACTTGTCTCGATGTGTCCCTTGCTTCACCCAGAAATGGTCACTGCGACTTGGATAAATTAATTTCTTGAGTCGGCTTCTGGATCATAGATTTGGCAATGCAGTTATGTGGTGGATTTGTTTCGCGTGGACATAATAACCTTATTTCGACGTCCAGACACCAATTTGGTGGACCCAACGTCCACCTGAACAATCGACGGGCTCCAACCTTTTCACACAATTTCATCCTCTTTGGTGGCAACCTTGTTGGCTCAATTGTCTAACTGACTACCAAACAACCACTTCTCAAAACCACTTCCCAAATGCGGTGCCTCTTCTGTAGAGACCCGTGTAAGAATCGAAATGTATGTATTCCAAGGTACAAACAAGAAGCGAATCCAGTTGCCCTTGAGCTTGCTCGTGTTCCCCAAGCTTTGCTTCTCCTAGTTCAAAGGTGTGTATGTCACTGATCGTCATCATCGTTAAAAAAGAATTTCGCGCGATCATTCTCGCACACAAAAAAAGGGGATGCTTTTCCAAACAACCCCGCCGAGTCCCATTGTCCAAAAAACGTCTCAGACTCCCATCCCAGCCACGGCCCTAGAATGTCTAACGAAGAAAAGTTTGATACAGGCGCAACCCAAAGGCTGGTGGCGCGCATAGGCTCGATGGACAAGCCGCTTAGTTGCGGTTGCTGCGGTGGCGGTGGAGGTGCTCGTGCTCGTGGACGTGGCGGCGAGCCTTGTAGTTGTCGGTCGAGCCGGCGGGGGTCGCGGCGGCCTTGGACTCCTCCGCGGGAGAAGTGACAGTGACGGTCTTGTAGACAGTCCTGGTCTTGCGGGAGCATGAAGATGCCGAGGGCTTGGGTACGACGGCGTTGGTGGTAGGGACGGCGGCGGCGGCAGACGTCTCAGCAGCCTTGGACGGCTCGGCGGCCTTGGTGCTGCTGGCCTTCTCAGGGGCGACCTGGATGGGGAGCTCAGAAGAAACGACGGCGGATGTCTTGGGGGCTTCCTCCTGGCTGACGTAGCCAGAAGTGGCGGCCTTGCTGGCAGAAGGCTGGACGGCAGAGGGCTTGGCAGAAGCAGCCGTCGCAGCAGACGAGGCAGACGAACCAGAAGGCTTGACGACAGAACCACTGCCGCTGCCGCTGCCGCTGCCTACGATAGAGCCGTAGGAGAAGCCGCTGAGAAGGTTGTCACCGGGAAGCTTACTCATGAGACCATCGACAACTTCGTCAACGGGCGAGGAAATCGTGCAGTCCTTGTCGGTGTTGAGGCCCTTGAGAAGACCGGGGCACTTGTCCATACCGGAGGAGCCGGCGTTGCAGTTGTCAATGATTTGCTGGAGAACGGTCTCATCCCAAGCAGCGATAAAGTCGGCATGGAGACTGTAGCCAGAGGCATCGCCGTTGGAAAGGACAAACGGCTGCGAGCCCTGGCCGGGAGTCCAGCGGCTGGCAAACTTGGGAGTGTCCCAGTAGACCTCGAAGAACATGTGAGGAACGTGGATCCATCCGGCAGGGCAGTTCTTACGGCGGCTGTTAGAGGCGCCCTTGTTGGAGGGCCAAGCCATACTCTCGTAGTCGGTCAGGGCGGCATTAGGGTTGTAGCAGGAAGGCATGTGGACATCGGCGCGAAGAGGGGAAGCGTAGCCATCGCAGTTCTGGTCGGGGAAACCGACTCCGGAGCCGTCGTTGTTGGGGTCGACGATACCGGCGGTGGTGCCGTCAGAGTTGGCGGGGTACGACGGCGGGTTGTAGTTGGATCTGGGGCAAGTCCACTGAACAGGCTGGATCGGGCCGTCCGCGGGCTCGAGGTTCTGCTTGCCTCCGGAGGAGGGGGCAACACGAGTGGAGGCGTTACCGCTGAAGATCTGCAGGCCCTTGGGGAAGGCTTTGATCTCATCGTCGGTGCCATCGAAGCTGGGCAGTGTTAGTAAGAACCCGATCCAGGGGCCGATCACACTCACAAGTAGTAGACGTTGACGTAGAAAACATCGACCGCCTCAAACCCCTTGGTCTTGGGGTCCTGGAAGTACAGAGACGGGAACCAGTAGGCGCTGTTGTCGCCGTTGATCATGGCGTTGGTGCACTTGGATTGTGAGAGAGTCTCGCCGGTGGCCGACATGCCAAAGTTGCTTCCTCCCATGACGCCGTGGACGTGGGTCGCGGGCTTTCCGGGGTTGATGATGGGATCAACACGGGTCTTGACAAGCTGCTTGTTGTTGAAGCGGAGGACGGCAAAGGTTCTGTCATCGGACTTGGAGCCGGCCGAGACGGCGCCCAGAAGGGCAGCCAGAGTAGTGACAGCGGAGAACTTCATGGTGGTTGATTGTACGGTTGGTGATTGTGTGATCTGAGACGGGTATCAATGTGGTCGCTGGGACTCTTGCTGGCTGAGTAGGGACTGTATGGGTGCTGATACCGGAGCACCTGTTGAAATGAACGGTGTATATCGCGACTCGGTGAGTGACGGAAGTGGTGAGTGAGTGAATGAGACAGATCAAAGAGGGCTGTCTGGAAGTTGTAATGAGAGGACGTGCTCAGCAAGCTGCAGCGTTTTGTGGGTTGAAAAGGAATGATGAAAGGAGAGAATAAAATGCCCAGCAAGTGTCGACAGGGAAAGGTGGTGGAATGGAGAAGGTGAGGTCGGGGTGTATATCCACGGTGGAGGATGGAAGAAGTGGGAAGTAATATATTCATCGGACGGCAGCTGGGACCCAGACCCGGGCGGGACGGGGGGCCACACGGTGAGTGGCAGTTGGTAGGCTACGGCCAGGTACCTTGGATCTGGGAAGGGGGCCCGGGTGGTAGGAAGGCGCTAGCAGGGTGGCCAGGGACGCTCAGCCGTGACGCCATGGAGCATTCGTGGTACTAGGAAGTGGTAGTGCGGCTTTGCCAATCTGGCGATGGATGTCGATGGAGTACGGAGTACTCGAGCACAGGGCGGGACGGGTACATACTCGGGCAGGTAAAGCCTATAAGTCAGCGAGGAGGGTTGCATCGCGACAACGTGGTGGACAGAATTATGATGGAAGTACCTTGCGATAGGATGTATGCTCAAGCCACTTGTGAAATGGGATGAACAGGGACATCCTTGAGCTCTGGTTTCGTTCTTGCTACTATTTTCGAGTACATGTTCGACACAACCAAGACACTGTCCGTATGACTCTGGAGAGAAAAAGAACGGGGGAACAAGAGCCTAGACGAATCGTCCAGAGTACACCATAGAAGGTCGAGAAGAAACGAAACGGCGGCAAGCTGACTACCCCCCCTTGGACCCCCCGCTCATCTGATGTCTGCACTCACGCACTGGATAGGAGACGGGAGTGCACAAAAGTTGAGATGGTGTGCTGCAAGACTGGTTCCTGCATGGTGCATAATCATTTCTGGGTTCCCATTGGCTGAAATCGTTGCTCAACTGCCAAAATTGTGCAGGCCCGAGGTCAATTGTCGCTCAGTGTGACGCCGGAGCTGTTCTTAGGCTCTTAGCACGAAAAAAAGGCACGCTGACTCGCCCCTGGTTTCTGGGCTTCTTCTCTCGCTAGCGTTTGTGCCGCGCGACGTGGCGTCCAGTCAGCTTTCACCCAGACCACACCATACGGAAGAGAATACCTACCTACCCAACTGCCAGCCGACCTCCTGGGTAAAGGGCACATGGGCGAGGGCTTCAAGACTCAAGTGCCCGTTTGTGGCGCTGGAAAAGTTTGATTTGGCGGATCAGAGGCGTCCGTCCGTTTGGAAACACATCGCTGCCAGCACCACCAGGCTCCAGCGACTATCGACGCTCAGGGCTTGGTGGCGGTTGGGGACACGGGTCGTTGCTATATTTCAGGGGCAAAGGGCATCCACGATCCGGCCGATGACGTCCTGGCAGCCTGTCAAGTGCCTGCCTCTCTCTGGTTCTCATCTGCCATGTCTTGGTCCGTCCCGGTTGTCGTGAAGTGTTGATGACGGTGGATATTACCCTTCAAATAAGCACTGTGGGCTGCCGATGAGCTGGATAACTATATTCGTGCTGCATGCTGCGAAGGGTAGCAGGTGCAGATAACCATCTAGACACCTGCGCGGCAGCGCCTTCCACAAAATATCGCAACGTCTGTCGTTGCTGCCTCGATGTCTGCCGGAAGGGACAACAGGAGTTGCGGTTTAAGTTCTTTCCCGCTAACCTTATCCGGGCAAGCGGTGCCTGGGATGTTTATCCCACTTGCGCAGGGGCTCGCCCTTCCCAAATTGCAGGGTTTGAGACTTTTCCTAAGAAGCAACGGGCAGGAACCTCGAGACGGACGAGATAGGAAACCACATCTGAGTCGGCACTTGAGACTTTTCGAAAGGCTGGAAAGAGCGAGCACAGCTCCGACCGCATCGAGCTTCAGCAGCATCACCTGCGAGACACCAAACCCGTCATTCGGGAATCTCGGAGTCATTCCTCCAACTGAATCACCCTCTGAACAATCCCTTTATTGCCTCCCGACGGAATGGCCATGTCTCTTGATTGTCTTGACTCTTGACTCTTGGGTCCTTGGTCCTTGGTCCTTGGCTCCTTGGCCGGGCAAAAGAGTTTTCTAGCTGCATAACTTATGCATCCAACTTGTCGCTCTCCACCTCCATCCCTCGCAAAGCGTCTGTTCTGGTCGCGCGACGCTCGATCGGGGCACAATTCCCAGACTCAAACCACGGAACAATGCCATTCATTCTCGCTGGAGGACGATGGCGATCAAATAGTCGCTCTCCATTCCAATCCCTCGGTTCTATCCGGTCCAGGAAAGATGCCATACACTCGGCCCTCGCAGAGTCCAGACCTCTGTCTCCAAGGGCTGGGGATCAGCCATGACAGATCACAGGCCTGCCCGCAAGCTCTGGATTCTGGCCTCTGGAGTCCAGAAGTCGACTGGGTCGGCGGCTGGTGGAGTTTCGAAACGCCTGATCCTGGCGCCCATCCCATGTTCACCCCGTGTGTTCGAGAAAACAACCACGGACTGCCCGGCGAATCATGTCCTCCCGAGTCGACGGCGCTGCTGCGGGGAGATTGACTGCTTCCCCGGCTGCGACCTGGCATCAGCCCCCGGCCACTGCACCGGCACTCAGCTGCGACGAATTTTTCACAATGTCGGCGAGTCGACAAGCGCTAGAAGAAAGCCACAGTTCTTGTCTCTGGCAACCTGCTTGAAGGCGTTCCGATATAAAGCATACCACTTTGCGAGTTGTGTCTACAGCCCCGCGAGAACACATATGACACCTCGCTGGTGGTCGTCAGAGTGGCTGGGGACAGCGTGATGCATCTCCGACCGGGCGAGAATCCTGTCTGACATCAAGAGACTTTACCCAGAATGACGACGCATTGCCGTTCTGAGGGCTTTTTTGTGCACTCGTAGGACAATTTCACACAAAGATTCCTCTTTTGGTCTTCTGTCTCGAATCGCAACGGTCTCACTTCGACACGCGCCAGGTTGTCTTCAGCCAGCCCCGGAAACAGTTGCCCAGACTTGGGTCAGAGACAGACTCAGTATTCTTCGAGCAGTATCGCCGATGACAAGACAGCGTCTTGGAAAGACAACGGACTTATCCGGGCAAGGGCTCACCGACAAGTCCACCATTGTCAATACCACAGATTGAACGATGCCCGTCTACTACCCAGGTTCACAGCGTTTACATGGGATGGTGCAGCGCCACAGTGGCTCTCGTCGGGGTCTCAAAGTGCCAAGAGGTGGAAAACCAGGTTGCGAGTAAGTCCCAAGGAAACAGGCGAGATGACTGAACGGTCGCGCCAGGCGATACGAATTCTTTTGACATAATACCCCATATAGCAACAAGCTCTTTTGGTTGGGCAGAGGGGCTCTCCCTTTGCGCCCTGGGAGTCCCCCTGAGCCGCCGTTTGGCGGGAAATCGGCTGGCGCGCGCTTCCAAAACGCCCGGTCCCCAATGGCGGTCCGCTCAATTAGACAATCGGCAAACGTGAGCCAGAACTCGCTACTGGGCAAATTGATGATGAAACAGATTGTCTCGCGCCGTGGCTAGAAATATTGCAAGGCAGCGTGGTCATCGCATCTCTGCGCTTTCAACGCGGGATGTTTAGCGAGCCTGCCTACTGTCGTTTTAGTTGTAACGCACCTCTCGGCGACCGGCAGTTTGTCATGCACTCTAGGCTTTCTTCTTCCTATTAAAAGTTGCAATGGTCCTTGCTAGCCAAAGTGTCAGTCTGCCCAGTCTGCACCGCAGGGACGGATCGACGGCGCCGCACCATCCCGAGCCGGACCATAACCAGATGGTGTCATCTCATCTCTGGCAATGTGTCGCCTCTCAATCACTGACCCAAGCTCTCAGGCAAGCACAGCCGAGAAGATCAACGTGGCTTGCTGCTACGGAGCGTGGGCCATCACATCCCGTGTCCAGCTCTCTCGTGAGGGATTTCTATCAAATCGCCCTCCAAGGCCGAGGCCCTTTCGTGAAATCGGCTATCGCATCTGCTCCCGTCCCTGCGTGAGCGGCCTCGCTAGCACTTCACCATCGATCGCCTAGCTCCATTGTTTGCCTCCCTTGGCAACCCCCTCCCCGGGCGCATCTTGCGAGTGAGCTTGTACGTGCGCGCCTGTTTGGCCATGTGCCGCGCTCCCGGCCCCGATGATAAGGGTTTGCCTCGGGGCTAGGGCTGACAGTCACGGTCCCGCGCGGATAGGATCGACGGGTAGCTGCGTAGAGCCTTGGAGGGGTCGCGCAAGTGTCAGTGATGCCCAGTTTCGGGAGAAGCTGTTCCGACGAAAGACTTTATCCATCTGGTGGTTGCGCGTTGTGTTCTTGTGTGTCTTGATCACGGAACGAATCGCTTTGCAGAGATGACAATGTCTTATCCCGGTCCGTGACACTGCGGCTTTGGTCTCCGGATTGGCGTCGTGATTTCGTTGTGGTAACAGACTCTAGATATGCCGCGTAGTTTATGTCTGACAACTTCACACGTCGCACGCCGACCCTATGTGGCATGGCTCTTTGCATGATCTGTATATGCGTGACGCTGCCCCTCACTTGACGACCACTCAGCAAGCTGTCAATGTACTCTTGTATCAACATCTAGATATACATTTTGTCCTGAAGCTTATCATACGGAAAGAGACATCCGCCACTTTAGCTGCATATTTTGCGCAGTCGTATAACATCCAATACTCTTTTCCCTCACCCGACACAGATTCAGCGAACAATCCAACCCGACCCTCCACCGGGACGGCATCGTCATACCCCTCTCTACCTATCGTCCTCCTGCGGCCAGCAAGCGGCAACCTCGAGGTCACCATTCTGATCCACCTCAAAGCTGAGGGCGACGGTGCCGCCAAACTCGAGCGGACTGCCCTCCCACACCACAATGTCGTTGCTCTTGGGCAGACCGAGGATGTCCTCGACGTTGCCGGACACGAGGCGGATGGCTTCCTTGTCGCCGAGGTTGGCGTACTTGGCGGCCCACGCGGCTTCAAGGGCGAGGTCGTGGATGCGGTAGTCTGCGGGCATGACTGGTAGATGTTAGCTCTTCTGTAAACCGTGCTGCAACATGATGCGACTTACTGTCCGTGACAATGGCGACTGCAAAGTAGACGCCCGCCTCGCTGAGGATGCGGGCGACGCTCGGGGTCAGGGGCGGGCCGACGACGGCATCGCGGTGACGATAAGAGGAGGGCGCCGGGCGAGTCTCGGTGAGGATGAGGGGGATCTGGGACTTTGCGAGCTCCAAGGCAACCTATTCTGCGTTAGGCCTGTTGTGCTGTAGCATATGTGTATACTCACCAAGGGCGCCTCGGCACCGCCTTGAATGACGAGATTCACGTCTGGAAAGTCCTTCTTGATGTTGATGATTTGCTGAATGTCCCACTTCTCCTGTTAGCTTCGTCTTTGATACGTTCAATGGTAGACCTACGTGGTTATTGGCATTGATCACGAGCGGCAGCTTGCCCGACGCAACCTCACCAAAGGTCGTCTCATTGTGCTTCCCCTGGCCGTCGGCGAGAATCTTGCGGAGCTTCTTCACAGCGGTGCTAATGGTCCCCACGCTCTCCTTTGCCTTGTCGTCAATGGTAACGTGAAGCGCAACCTCGGGGCGGAAGACGCCGCCATCGAGGAGCGTTCGATCGGTGCGCGTGAGAATGCCGACGCTGACGCCGTTGACAAAGGCGCCGCCCTCGGAGCTGAGGGGCGGGGTGATGGCACGGGTGATGCCGCCGAGGCGCGCGCGGGCAAAGGCCTTGCCCTCCAGCTGGACGCCGTACTTTGCGTAGTCGAGGTTCTCTGGGTCGTTTCCGTCCTTCTTCGGGTCGGCATAGCCGTCTCCGGTGGAGTCCTCCGTCGCAATCTCAACCATGCCGAGGGAGGCTGTGAGGGCCGTCAAGCCGGGCAGGACGTGACCGTTGGAGAGGTCGAGGGTCGTGACGTCGGACTTGGATGCCACCTTGGCGACGGCCGCCGAGCAGTTCTCGGGCGTGCTAAGACAGGCGACGCTCCCGCTGTTGATCACAAGAGTAAAGTTCTCGCCGCTGACATCGCGGAAGACGGTGGGCACCTGAGGGTGGTTTTCCAGGAATGTGCTCGTGATACCGTTGATAACGAAGCTGGACTTTGCCTTTGAAGTCTTGCTGCAGAACGCTTCCCTCTCTTCTGGCTCGAGCTCCGTTCGCATATTGGGCTTCACGGGGAGGGACTCTTTAGCTGATGCTTCGTTAAAGGTCTTGCCCATGCTCTCCTGAACAATGTGATGCTTCAGCTGGGGGCTGCCATCAATGTACACCTGCAGGGGAGTCGCTCCAATAGACAGCGGGTGGGCATCCCAGACAACCAGATCCGCATCGTAACCAGGACGAGCGTAGCCAACGCGGTAGCCCAGGTCGATGGCCTTGGCGGGGATAGATGTGACAGACTGCAGAGCCTTCTCTTCCGGTAGGTGGAACGCGTGGCCGACACCCGCTTGGAACATGATGTACTTTGCATTCGTCTCGGGTGCGGTGTGGTCTGACTTGTAGGCCACGGGGATGCCATGCTCATTGAGGATCTTGCCAGCGGAGAGGCTCGGTGCGTAGGCCTCGAACTTGTACAGACTAAACTCGGCAAAGGTGGCGACGGTGACGTTTCTGCACTGGTCAGTATAGTCCACAGGTGGAAGTTGGTCACTTACTCGCCGTACGCTTTGAGCATCTCGGGAACCTGCCAGGCCTCGAGGGCGTGATGGAAGGCCCGGACACGAACGCCGTACTCGCCAGTGACCCGGAGCATGGTTTCAAAGTCCTCGGGGAGGTAGCAGTGGTTCTGCATGGAGACTCGGCCGCGGAGCATGCCGACGGTGGACTCGAGCTTGAGGTCGGCAGGAAAGCTGCCAGACTCTCGGACGAAGCGGACCTTGACCCCATCAGACAAGGTCGACACGGTGGCGACGCTCTCGCAGTACTCGTCCTGTTTCTGCATGTGCTCCTTGGCCTTGGCAAACTGCTCGCGGAGGATGAAAGCGTTGGCCATGCGGGTGTGGCCGTAGATGCGCTTGGGATTCTCGCCGCAGGCCAGCTTCATGTACCGATGGCGCTCCTCGATGGGGATATCACGTTCAAGCAGCAGCTCCTCGACGACGTACTCGCCCAGCTCTCCCGACTTGAGGACGTTCTTGATCACGGTGCCCTCTCCACCCATGATATTGGCAGAACCCGGCAGGATGAGCGACGTGGTGATGCCGCCAGACATGATGATGCGCGTGGCGTCATCGTAGGCCTTCATCGAGTCGAGGATACGCAGCATCGGGGTGAGCGGGCCATAGGTCTTGGTCATTTCGTTCTCGTCCTCGGTGACGGACAGAGCCGGCCACAAGCTGGCGGAGTGATGCGAGTGCATGTCGACCAGACCGGGAGTCACGAAGCGACCGTGCAAATCGTGTTCGGTGGCGCCATCAGAGCTGATGGACTTGGATGCCGTTGTTGCCAGCTCGGTGAACAAGCCCTTTTCAAACTTGATGTCCATTGGCTCGGAAGCAATATGCTCGCCGTCAAAGAAGGTCATATTGCGCAGCACCACCGGCTTATCTTGGCCGCGGACAGCGTTCCATCTCGAGTTGGACTTGCGGGACTCTGGCTGGGGACTCTCGGGGAACGTCTTGAGAGCCGCGCAGTGCTTCAAGGACTCATCGAAGCGGGCCAAATGGGCCGACGGAGACGCATGTCTCGTAGCATCGCGGATTCCAGTCTCTCGTTCAATGAGAAGCGTGTGCCAGGCGAGCAAGCCTCCGATGAATACGCAGACGAGCACGCGGGGTGAGATGAGGCTTCGGAGGAGAGTGCGGCGGGGCCGGATGCAGGGGTACGCGGCGGCTTCATACGGGGGCGGGACCGGAAAAGAGTCCCGGAAGAGGTCCGCCTCCTTGGAAGGGATGTGTGGTTGTGCCATTGTAACACGGTGCAATGTCGCGAGCAATGGTGACTGACGATTGGGGGCAGAGGTCAAGTTATGCAAACGAGAAACATCACATTATCGGTCTGCAAGGAGCTCAAATGTCAGATCGGAAGAACTTTCGATTGCGACACGCAGTCCGAGGTAGGAGCAACGAAGGCCCCCAGCAGCTTGGACGAGTTGGGAAGGTGCAATTGAGTTGCTGCTGGAGCTGTGGAAAGCTTGGGCACGGGGTATGTACTCAATCCGATAAGAGACGATATCTGTTAGTGATGTCTGTGCAGTCGAAGACATCTGACTACCATGGAGCGAGGAGGATACTTTGACCCACTGAAGCTTTATCGTCGACCAGGAGCTTCGTTGCAGGGACAGTGCTAGGGGTGACGCAACTCATGGTATCGTGAAAAGACGCGTCCAAATGCCCCGGAGTACGGAGTAAAGGCACGTACGATCATTCTAAGGTTCATATGAACACTGGTTGTGCCAACCAACAGAATATACTTTTCTAAAGTCACCACAGAGGCACAGACACACCCGGGTCATTCGCGAGTCGGGTCGTTGAGCAAAGTTTGCCATCATGGGAGGAAACTCGCCGGACCGGCCTCTCAACTTCCATCGACGTCGCTCCAGTCTCATTTTCGACACGTCGGCGGGTTGTGAGCTGGAGTCTCGAGCTGTCGTGATGTCGTACCTCCCTACGGAGTAGCGCCAATTGTCCATGGCAGATCATTTATTTAGATGAGGCGACGCGAAGAACAGACGAGCATCCTGGCATTGTCACTTTCCATAGCTAATTATCTACTTCGAGTACTCCGTACAGGTAGTAACTTGGTTGGTGACCCCCAGTTGCCCAGATGTTTCTGCACCATCTGCACGTCCTTCCCGCCCGTCTTCGTCTCGTCTTTCCCGGTTGGCTTGGGCCCCTCGGTTTTGGTGGGACTATGCCCCCCAAAAACGGCATCTGCCACAGTGGGCCCGTTTTGGCTCTGTTTGGGATTGTTTGGCCCTTGGAACCCCAGCTGCATCCAGCACCGCTTGAAGCTCCCCGGGCGAAAAGTCACCTTTAGCAATCTGCAGGGCATCATCTTTTGTCAGAATCCCATCAATTTTTTTTTTCTTTCCCTTCCACCTTATACTCGACCGAATTGTTTTTGTTGTCTCTTTGGCTGGACCCCAAGTATCGCGCCGGATCTGTCTTTCATCGAACTCCCATCTCTTTGATTGCCCTTACCTCATACACCGACTGTACAACACTCCATCATGCCGGAACCCAAGCTGGAGCAGGCGGTGCAGCCGCGCCCGCCGCAGTCATCCTTTCGACTGGCCGAGAGGGTGTGTCAGCTCGTCCTGGTCTTCTCCATCAGCTTCGCCGCCATGTTCATGATGATGACCAAGATTTCCCCCGGCAAGTGGCCGTTGACGGAGCCGTCAATAAGCAAGCCCAGGCTCAAGGTGTCGGGCCAGCGCGACTACCTCATTGCCATCTTCTCCGATCTGCACTACGGAGAGCAGGAATTTGGCTGGGGCATTGACCAGGACAAGAATTCCACCAGAGTCATGCAATCTGTCATGAAGAGCGAACAGCCCGACCTCATCGTGTTCAACGGCGATCTCATTACTGGCGAGGATACCCACAAGGAGAACTCGACGCTCTACATTGACCAGATTGTCGAGCCCCTCGTCAGGACGAACCAGCGGTGGGCATCCGTCTACGGGAACCACGACTCCAAGCACACCCTGGACCGCGAGCAGCTGTTCCGTGCCGAAAAAGGCTACGACCTCTGTTACACCACGTCCATGGGCGACAATCTCCCGGGCATCACAAACTACTACGTCCCTGTCTACGAGGGAGACTCCAAGGACCCCATCCTGCTATTGTGGTTCTTTGACAGTCGGGGCGGCACTAGCTACCAGACGGATTCCGATAACATGGACGACATTCCAAACTGGGTTGCCCCCGAGACGGCCGAATGGTTTACCAAAACCTACGACGACCTCAAGGACAAGCACGGCCGTGTCATTCCCAGCGTCGCCTTTGTCCACATCCCCCCTCACGTCTTTTTAGCTGCCCAGCAGACCAACCTCGACCCCGCCAAGTTTCCTGGGTTGAATGCCGACAGCCCGCTAGCCATCCAGGGCGAGGGCGGCGAGGACGCCCCCTTCGTCGAGGCGCTGCTCGAGGCCGAGGGTCTCCACAGCATCTATGTTGGGCACGACCACGGCGATTCGTGGTGCTCGACCTGGCCCGGCCACGAGGCCGGACTCGGCGCCGAGGCCCCATTCCTCTGTTTTGCAAAGCACACGGGCTACGGCGGCTATGGCACCTGGGAACGCGGCGCTCGGATGGTTAAGCTCTCCTTCACGCAGGGCGACGACCCAGACATGTCGGTGGAGAGCTGGGTCCGCATGGAAAACGAAGAAATTATAACGCGCGTAACTCTGAACGAGACCTACGGCCAGGACACTTACAATGGGGAATGAACACATGCGGGATGCACGCAGCACAACCACCAGAATGACGGCCTCCATCCTGCACACTCTTTATTTGGCACCGGCAGAGCTATGCCATGTCCCGCTCCCGTCGCACTGACTGGTCTCAAAAGCAAAACATGCGTGGGCAAGCAGTCGTCCCGAAGGATGCTGTGCACGCTGTGCCCCATCACTTCATTCCTGCACACATTCCTCTAGGCTCGCAGGGAAATTGCAGCATTCGCCCTGCGGTCAGCTGCCGTCAGCCAGCCCTTGGCGACCGTGCAAACGCCTCGCGGCAAACTAAAAAGGCGCCAAACAGCCAATTAAGCAATTATGGCAATGCCATAATACTATTGTGTCTTCCTTCGTCTGGTGTTCCTCGTCCTTTGCATTTTCCAACAGGACAGTCACGATGGACAGGATTCAGACTCGGACAGAAGGACCGCCGCCGAGATACACGGCTTCGAAGCCGGTCGACATGTCTCGGCAGCCGCTGCGATACGCTCGCCGCCCGATTTACATACTCGTCACCTACCTGGTGCTGCTCATCGTGCCATGGCTCTGCGTTTGCGTCATTAACCGAAAAACAACGTCCGACCCGTGGGGGATCATTATGCGGCAAGACCTCGACTCATATCACCGTTGGATCGCTGCGGCCTCGTTTTTCAGCACTGTGGCGGCTGTCATTGCTCTGCCATGCGTTGCCGCGCTGTTAGCCTACGGCGCAGTCGTCTTCTCCCAGCGCCGAGCCAAGCAGCAGACCCTCACCGTGAGGCAGCTGCTTGCCATTTCCGACTTGAAATGGACAGCGTTTGTCTCCAGCGGACAATCGTCTTCCTACCTCCTGCTAGCCACCGGACTACTTCTTCTCAGTAAGTGGACAAGTCTTTTGGGGCCTGCTCATTCTAACATGCAACAGCTGCCGTACAGCCGCCACTGCAGTCACTGCTGATGCCGCCGTCGAGCCGCCCGGTATACTCATGCGACAGCCTCCGATCGTTGAGTAAATGGGACCGGACATGCGACGGCAAGGGACAGCCGGCCCAGACAATTGGCAAGGATGCCGAGCCCGTCTTGCTCCGAGAGGCCAACGCCTCCCAGTTCGTCAGCACTGTGAGAACAAAGTTGGTCAACATCACTTCGGCCGACATCCAAGAAAACTTGTGGCGAGCCGACGACAACCATCGGAGCTTCGTTACAGGAGAGGACCAGACGTACAACGACTCTTTCTGGGTATCAGCAATTCCCGCCGGCGTTACGACGGGACCTCTCCGACAGCACTCTATCCGGCTCAGCTCAACCGCAGCCTGCGAGGTTGCAGACGAGTACCCCGCCAACTGCGAAGGGTACGCAACGTCCCTCCAAGGCTTCGGCATCAGCGTGAGAACGTGCATGCCTCGCAACAACACCGGCCCTGCAGCCCGTGGGGTGCCCCCGAGGCGACGACAAGAAGTCGATGAAGTGCTCTACATTGACGCGCAGATTAGCCCCGAAGCAGCAAAAACTCAAGACTTCTTATCGGAACCGGCTCAAAACGTCACCATCAAGTGTGTCGCCAAAACCACCCGCGCCTTTTTCGAGATTGGCAACCTTCAGACAGGATTACGTCCGTCCGACATCATCAGCGAGTGGCCCTCGGACGAAGACATGGCAGCGCATTTCCACGACTACGATTGGCAGGGTAACCTCATCACCAACGAGTCTGAAGACGACTGGATCCGCGACCGATTCCCCGGCTGGACCTCTACACAAGGCCCGCTGCGGTCTACCGCCGAGGCGCTCTTTGGCAACGGCTCCTACCCACAGGCCGTGCTTGACCTCTTGAGCCAGACCTTCCCGGACGGCCAGGTGCCTGACAACACCACGTCCGACAGCGATGCGAAACGCAAGGCGTGCTCTTTGCCGACGCCTCTCGGTGCATGGCAGCTGCCGTACAACTCTCACAACGACGACTACGACTCGTGGTACTCGTCCATTTACCAGGGGTGCTCGCTTGCAGAGCTTCCCAAGACACTGTTCCGGATCGCACAAGGCCTTCAATACGTCAAGGTGGCGCAGAGCACTCTCGGCGTCGGCATGTACTTGTCCAACGTGGCCGTCCTACAAGACGCGGCATCCAACGACGCCGCGAGGACCATTTACAACCTGGCCGGCACCGAGTTTGTCGCACCGCGGTACACGGTGGGCGCCACCGTTGCCATTAGCCTGCTCATCAGCATGCAGGCAATTGCACTTATTCTCCTCGTCTGCTACATTTACAGCCTGCCGACCTGGACCGACACCTTGGACGCCTTTGCCATGATGAGGCTGGGAGCACACTTGAGAGACTCGGTGGACTTTCCGCTGTTGGGCCGGGTCAGCCGGGAGGAGATGGGGACGCTGGATGAGACGGACGGACTGCTCGGTGTCGTCGTACGGGGCGCCGCGGGCAGGTCAGAGGAGGATCTCGAGCTCGCCGCTCTAGCTTCGTCCAGCACCGCACAGAGGAACGAGACATCCGCGCATCAGTATGCGAGCGTGAGCCCGCTATCACCAACAAGCACGGTCGAACAAGACCCTGCGGCACCGGCCACCCAAACGAGCCATATGGCGGACGCCACTAGGCCTGGGATGGATACTAGCGAGCTGAGCGAATACCTCCAAGGGGCCCCGCCGGCGTCCCCCACGACAACAACCACCACCACCACCACCACCACCACGACGGTGTCTTCCCCCCGGAGCCCGTCGCCGCCCCCGCCATACCTGCCGGCGAGATCGTCCAACAGAGACCAGCCGGTGAGGGGGCCGTTTGAGCTGGGGCTGGGAGCCCCTGGGCTCATTACAAGAGCGTTATGGGAACGGTACAGGCCGAGGTAGAATTGCATAGGGAGCACACGAAAAAAGTGTGTAAAAGGAGTTTTATTTTGTCACATCTATTTTGATACCCACAGAGAAGAAACATTTTCATCAATACTATATCAGCAAGTCTCCGGAATGGAGCAACACTCTACATTACTCGTCCCAAGACCGCAAAATCGCGTGAACGAGAAGGAAACAACGCCAGCGCCACCACGGACGCCGGGCTAAGAAAAGAAGTCTAACTTGCAAGTCGAGAGATCGCCGGCGCGGTTCTGGACCCCGCGAATGTGGATACCGCCGTTCTAGCTCCGTCTAGTCCGCCCTGCCACCGCCGATACAGAAAATGCTAAGAGTTTCAGGCGGGAGGATTTTTAGCAACCTCCAGAGGTCGTGCGTTTTGTCGTGGAGGTGGTGGTGGTGGTGGTTGGAGGACGTACCGCTAGCCTGGGAGCTATCCTGCGCGTTAACCGCATCGGGAGAGCTCCCTGCATCTCAGCTGGCCCGTTTTGGCAATTTTTGGGTTGGGTTGCTCCGGTACGCCGCGGTGGACTGGCAACACTTTAGACGCGGCGGCGCGTTTAGAGGGAGGGAAGGGAGGATGGGAGTTTTGCGACGGACTCGTTTGTTAGTCGGAGAGTTGCGTTCTTGGGTGATGGGAATGATTTGATGGACTATTTACGGGCTTCTTTGCTAGTAGAGAAGGGGGGAATTTTAGAGGGTAATTCTTGTTCACGTCCCCTTGCTGTGGTGGTTGGTATGCGGTTTTCGATAGATGGTTGGGTCCGCATTCCGCGATACATTGTTTTGCCTTCTTGCCACCTTGGGAAGAAAAAAAAAACCGCCTTGTTCTTTCTTGCTTATCTTGTTTCTGATGGCGCCTTTTCTTGATCAGCTCTGGTGATACCACGCGAGGAATGTACTATGACGAAAGTCTGTCCCTGACTCAGTTGCCACAATCAAACAAACGGGTTTGTCGGGGCCCAGATCACATCACCAAGGGCTGTATACCCCGCCTACGTATCTCCCGCTCAATCCTCTTCGGCATAGCATTGAGTCTGTCACATGCCCACCACGTGGCTTTCCCCTCCTCCTCCCCCCCGAGAAGCAACCGCGAGGTCTCATAAAAGTGATACAGCACAAGTAGCGCCCTCGGGTCGTTTGCGACAATCATGTCGAGCAACGGACCGAAGCAGAAGAGCGGGAAGGCGAGGATGTATCGCTCGAGGTCGGGCCTCGCGGGGGGTTGGGGATTCGTGGCGCGATGTTGCCAGAGGGCTAGGATGACTGACAGTCGCTCTACGATGCCGGCGAAGGCGGCTCGGTCTGCGTTGGTGCTATGATGCTCCGGGGCGACGGTGCCTTGGCTACCCGACGAGGGGGTTGGTGTCCGGCTTTCGGCCGTCATGTTGTCATATCGATCCATCAAGGCGCTCTGAATCCGGCCACGGCCCATACCCTGTTCCGCTACGATCTTGTCGAGCGCGTCGCATGGGGCGTCTTGCCATGCTTTGGCAAAGACGCTGTCTTTTCCCTGCGCCCGGGTCCCAGAGAGAAAGACGCGCACGCCGGAGCTGAGGAGGAAGAGTTGGTCCCGGGAGAGATCTAGGGTGGCGCCGGTGTCGTCAGAGCCGTCGATGAATTCGAGATTACACCATGTAAGGTAGTGTATAAGCTGAGCCGTGAAGAAGAGCGGGTCGTACCCGTCTCCCCCAGCCCCGTCGTCCCGGCCGAGTTCGGCGCCGAAAAGCGCGCAACTGCGGGAGAGCAGAGCCAGGCTCGCTTCACCGTAGACGGCGTCCTCGGGTCTGAGAGTACCAAGGTGCCGCGCCGAGACAGCGAGGATGGCCGTCATGAGGTACTCTGCCCGGAAGGCGAGCGGGAGGACGGACGCCCAGACGTCGGCGAAGCAGAGAGTGGGGATCGTCGCGTGCTGGAAGTGGTGAAGGAGTTGCATGTGAAGCAGGTTCACGGGTCCCGAGGGGTCTAAGGGGCGTGCCGGTCCTGTGCTGGCGGCGGCGGGCGACGTTCTCTCCGGGGTGGAGGACTGTTGCAGACGTGTGCATGGTTCGTTGCGGCGGATGCAGTTTGCGCAGGGGGTTGCTTCGTCGCACTGAATCCCGTGTAAGTCTTTTGTGTCTGGGGACCTTGGACTGTGAGGCATTGGGACTTACCTTTACCTTCCTTCTTTTGCATGGCGTGCAGCCGCCTCTGCTCTTCTTGTGAGCCTTCTTCTTCTTCTTTGGCTCTGTGTGGGTGGAGTCGATGAAGCGGAGGGATAGAGGCGTGGCGTCTGGGGAGGTGGAGGGGTTTGATGCTGGCATTGTCGAGGTCGTCTCGTGAAGTGGTTTTGGGGGTGGTTGCTGGGGTGAGATGAAGTGAGAGTTTCTAGCACCGAGAAGCCAGAAAAGTCATCCGGAATGAGAACAGTTGTCAATTCAGCCAGTGAAGCTGTCGACAGAATGAGATTGAGTGAGTCTGCTCCACGGCGGACAGTAGACGGCTGAGATGAAATCAGACAATAAGCTGAACTCTCGCATTCCGAAAAGGGAATGCGATGGAAGCGGGTCTGAAAGCGAGAATGGTTTAGCTTGCTGCAGTAAAGTAGGGGTCCACGACCGATGACGTCACTATGAGACGTCATGGATGATGGGACCTCTTTAATGAAATGAAGCTATCGTGAGGTTTTAACACCAGCAGAACACGACATGGATGTCTTTTATACATCTGTATGATGGGCTTGATTATTCACAAAGTGACTTCCCCCTTTCGAACAGCGTCAAACTCAAAACCAGGTGCCCCTCAGAATACGCCGAGACACAATGGTCCTCAATGAGAATGTGATGAGTCTGTGCCTGGGCTAAGATTTGCAGTCATCTTGGGTCACAATGGGTCAATGGGCTGCAATCCATTAGAGATACATGAGATAGTTTTCATGACTTTGGGCATCTCGCCAGTCTCCAGAGCGCTCACTCTAATGTCTTTCAACTCGCAATTATTCCCACCTGAAATCATTGAGTACGACCCTGAGAATCAACGAATACTGCTCGTGATTGAATCCATCTTCGCAAGACGTGTTAACATAGAGGGCCACCAAGATATAGTTCAGTCATCGTCATCAACCGAAATGGACTCATCTACATCTACACTGAGTCCTCCGGAGCAGAGCCAAATCACCATACCATCAGGCGATCCCGACGCCACTAACTCCCCATCTCCAGATATAAACGCCACCACCTCTCCCAGTCTCACAATCAAAAGCGACCTCATCATTCTACCCAACCCAGAAGCCCGCGTCGGCCCTATCCGCGCATTAACCGAGGACCCAACCCAGCACACACTACACCTCTTCGCCGACGCCTCTTTCCGTAGGCACAGAAGCCACAAGGGCCCCTCGACGCCGTCTTCTGGAAACCGTGGCCTTGTACAGATCCCATCGATCCGTGGCACTCGCGCGCCTTCCAGATCCTCGCGTGTCGCAACTCCGCACAAGCAGAACTCTACGCCGTCGTCGCATCCCTCAAGACGGCAGCGCTCCTGGCCCGTTTGATGCCGGACCTGAGACGGGTGACTGTCTTTTCCGACTGCCAGGCCGTCATGAACGCACTCGCCGCAGGGGAAGGCGACCACTTCACCACCTTGGACCCCCTCGTCAAACGCGCCTTTGAAGCGTGCGACTCTCTGTGGGACGATAGGAACGCCAGAGTCGCTGTGTGCTGGTGTCCCGGCCATATCGGCTTCGGTGGCAACGAAAAGGCCGACGCGCTGTCAAGAGAGATCCGACGGTATAACTTGAGGCACTTGGTCCCTGAAGAGCAGCCGGCGTGCGTGAGCGGGTATGAGATTCCGTTCAAGTATCTTGAGAGGGCGCGCCGCAGGCACTGGTGGAGGGATGGGGCTGATTTCGAGTGGACGGCGAATATGCCTCGCAAACACTTGTATCCGGTGGCTGTCGGTGTGGTCTGCGATGAGGAGGCCTGCGATGAGGCATATGAGGACGGAGCATACGATGAAGCTTACGACGATGAAGAGTACGGGTATGAGGCCGACGATGAGGCATCCGCAGACGAGCTCTCATCACACTGCTCCTCCGCAACCGTGCAAATCGAAACAAGAAAGCGCAAGCGTTCGGCGTCTGACCTACCAGACTATCCCTCCAAGAGACAAAGGACAGGCCGACCCGAGCACGGCATCAAGCCATGATAAAGCATTGGATTAGATTCCAACTCTAGTCCAAGGTCCATTGTACTCTCAGAAGCTGGCGCAAGTACAAGCACAAACTTTCATTCGTCTCCGGAATTCTTGTGGTTGCTGAACATAAAGATAGCTGCTGCGTCGTCGTCTCCATCTTGTGAAAATTGTCCATGGCTTTGCTACCTCGTTCAAGTAGCTCGTCGAAACTCGGCAACGTTATTACCCCAGCCAGTCGCTCCGCTAGCAGACGCACCTATGTGTGTCAAAATGTAAGCCTCGAGGCCATGGGCCCACGTCAGACAGACTCACTCTGTAGGCAGGTCAAGAAAAGAAGCAGGACGAACTTTGCGTCCCTTGCCGGCAAAGATCTTTGGCAAGGGGCTCCACAAGGAGCTGGATGGTGGGCAGGTTTGGGCAAGGCCGAGGATCGCAGCACTGGATGCGTAGACAAAAAGGGACACAGCAAATTCACTCGGTAGAAAACAACAACACCACCAAAAACATACGTCGTCATCAAGTGATTCTTTTGGAGAGTCTATAAATCCTGGCCCCCATGTAGTAAATATGCAGAGACCACGCACGCCGCCCGCCCAGATGACAGCACCGCCCAATGCTAAATGGAAATCCTTCACCAACGTCGGGTCATGCTGTGTGACATGACGTCCTTGTCAATTGCTTCAAAAACAACCGCTTTTTTCTTGTTTCAGCCAGGCCCGTTTTTCGGCTCATCAAACTCCTACCATGTCTAGCTGAGGGGGAAAACGGCTCACACAACCCGCGCGCCAGCAGTGTTCCTTGTATCGTCGTGAGCCAAAAAAGATGTGTCTATAATTACAGTTAAGAAAGACTGCTACAGCGACAGTCCGCAGCCGACATGTACTTTTTTTTTTTCTTCTTCCTCATTTCCGCCGCCTCGTCTTGGGCGCGGGCGCGGGTTCGGGCGACGGCTCCACGGCCTGTCGCTTCTTGGCCGTCTGCTTCTTTGGTCTCGGAGGCGGCGGCGGCTCCGAGTGGAGATGGCCGAGCTCCTCCATCGCGGTGGAATTCTCCCACGCCAGGCAGCGGTAGTTTGTGGGTTCGGGCGTCGGCTCGTGCTGGCGGCCTCGCGTGCTCATGCGCTTCGAGTCGCGCCTTTTACCCTTCTTTTCTTTCTCTTCCTTTTCCTTTTCCTCCTCCTGTTGCTGCTGCTCCTCGGGCTCCGCGGCGGTGAGGTACGTCTTGCGGTTCTCCATGTGCTGAACAATCTTGTCGCGGAACGCCACGATCTCTTTCCTCAGCCGCAACTCGTTGAAGCCCCGGGGATCCAGCCACTTGAGGAGCTCGTCGACCTGCTCCGGTTCGCTGTAGTAGCCCCATTGGTGGGCGTTGAAGACGCTGGTGGGGCCCTCTTCTAACTTCTTCCGCTCCGGCACCGTCATGGCAAACTTGGTCTGGTACTCGGCTTGGTACTCGGGGTCGGTGTCAATGTAGCCTTGGCGCTCCAGCTCGTCGGGGCCTTGCACCCATATGCAGCCATTGGCGTACTCGGCGGCAGCAGTTGAGCTGTCCGGGAGCCCTCCGTACGGCATGCCGTTGCGTTCGAACCAGTAGTACCGGTTCCAGAATCGGTCCTTACCCAAGACACGGGTCCGGCCACAGTCGGCTTCGCGAAGGTCGTTGTCGATGACGGCAATCTCGTCTTCGCACTTTTTGATAAAGTCCTCCTTCTTCTGTATATCCTTGAGGACCTTGAGAAACTGTTTCGACTGCTTGGGTGCCTTTGCGGCTTCGGCGGCCTTTTCTTTCCGCTCTAGCTCTTCCTTGCGCTTGCGTTGCCTCTCTGCGGCGCGGTCGTTGGCGCGGCGGAAGTTCCGGCGGGGTGCTCCCTCCTCGTCAGAGTCGGCCACTTCGTCCTCGACGTCGGCGGCGTCGGCTGCCGACTCGTCCGCGTCCGTCATCTTGACGTCCTCGTCTGCCTTTGGCTCGGGAGGCGGCGACGGCGGCATGTTGTCGGGCAGCATAATCTTGCGCTGGTCGTTGAGAGCACGCAGTTCCTCGATGCTGTCGGGGGTCAGTAACGTATTCGTCAGATAGTCCAATGCAACTTACGCTTGCTTCCTCTGCCGCTGCCAGTCAATCTTTTCCTTGCGGAACGCCGTCATTTGCTCGCTGCATTCCTCCATGTACGTACGCATTGCCTTGGTCTGCGTTGTGAGCATGCAGATAATCTGTAGCGCCTGCACACGGTAGTTGACGTCGAGTCTGGCATAGTGCTCCTGCACCGTCTCCTGGGTGGGGTCCTCGTCGGGGGGACACAGCTGGGCGAGTAAATCTTCGCACGCCTCCTCCATCCTCTCGTTCTTGGAGAGCTGGTGCAGCAGACCGACAACGATTCTCTCCCAGCCGCCGTTTTGGAAATTGCGTTTTCTGAGCTCCTCGATCCAGTCGTACTCTTCAAGCAGGTCCTCGGCGCGGTGCTTGATCTCGGGCTCCACGTTCTGGCTTTCCTTTTCCGCAGCCCTCGCCTCGGCCAGCAGCCTCTCGGCCTCGGCTTTAGCGAGACTGCTTCGTGTGGCTCTTGCAGGCGGCCGATCGGTTTCCGGAGTCGGCTCCTTGGTCTCCTCCTCATCATCTTCTTCCTCAGAGTCCTCCTCTTCGTCTTCCAGCTCGGGCAGCTGGACGTTCACCTTGCCGCCGTCTGCCTCGGCGCCCACAACCTGCTTCAGCACAGCACAGTGGATTTCCTCAAATAGCTGGACCTTGGTCTCCTCTGATGCAACAGACATGGCTTCCACAAAGTCGTCAAACGTAAAGGAGTCGAGCTTGTAAATCTCGCAGTACACATTTAGGGTGTCCCACGTCTCCAAAAACGAACCAATCGACTTCATCGACAGCTTATCGCGTATGCTGGCGCTGCCGTTCACGGCTACGTCGGAGGCGGTCGGGGGGTCGTTGCAGAGGAACGCCAGGGCGGGCCTGACGACGCCCTCCCTCAGAGGCACCTGGAGATCCTCAATGGGGTACTTTGGTGGTGGCGGCGGCGGCGGCGGTGGCTCGGGCGCAGTCATGGAGTGCGGCAGCGGTTGATTCCGGAAGTTGAGCGGCAGCTGGAAGGGGTTCTTGTGCGGCGGTGCGTGGAAGATGCCAGCCTCTGACGGCATGTTTGGCGAGCCATTCTGGCCTTGGGGGAACTCTGGCGACTGATGCTTGCCCTTTTGGCTCTTGAATGCGGGCTTCAGCTCGGGCAGCCGCGCCGGGCCGTTCTGCATGGCGCCGTTGACGCCGTTGACGTCCTGCGTCGGAGTCTGGCTGGCGCGCTTCTGGGCCTGCAGCTGCTTCCTCTCCATCAACTTGGTATCGTAGCGTAGGTGAGGCGGGACCCGGGAGTCGATGTGGTACTGTGCCGCTACATCGTGCTTCACGAGCCACGGCGCTCCGTTCCATGCCTCACGCGTCACCGTCTTCTTGATGAAGGAGCGTAGAACCGACTTTGTGAATATTTTGCGATCGCGGAAGATGTGGTCATCGTCGACCACGGCCTCGACACCTGGGCGATCCTCCAAGCTGACCGTATAGCGTGTGTAAGGGGCGGTCTGGGTGCCGTCGGGCAGAATCTTGCCGCCGAATCGGGTCTTTTCTCGCACGACGCCCTGCAATCGCTCGCTTTCGGCCGTGCTGACGGTCACGGCTTCGCCGGGGTAGTAGTCGGCTCTGAACTCGTCAAACACCAAGTCGACAAGCGCATCGATTCGGGACACCGTTTGGAACTGGACGCGACGCAGGACAGGGCCCTTGAGGGCTTCAGGGAAGGCTTGCTCAACCTCCTCGGCACCGGCGAGCTATAGTCATGTCAGCAGGTTTTTGCGCGGCGATGGGGATGGCCGGGACGGACTTCGCTCTTGAGTGCTTCGAAAAACGTTAGGCCGGAGTGCCCTGTGATCTGGCAGATGAAGCGCCGCTACGCGCTGGGGTTAGTCTTGGCCCGTAGCCCCACCTGGCCTGGGACGTACCTGTTTGTAGAAATCCATTCTTCACCGCATTAGCTGGGGGCACGAACGAAACGAACATAAATGACAACAACGCACCTAGTAAGATAATCTTCATATTGGGCAAAGACCTCGCCGGTCTGTGGGATATGCCAGACCTGGGGGCCTGCATCAGTACTCGTCACATCGCTTATGAATGTCACTCTGCGAACCTCTGCATTGTCATCCTTGACGTCCTTGGGAGCCAGAAATTGCACCGGTTTACGCTTGAAAAGGACCTGGTACCTCAAGTCAGCGATCTGCGACCCCAGAGAGCGCGTCGGGAGGCCGTACCATGTTGGCGGTAGGCTACAATGGCATGGTCCAAGATTCGAGGTTCCGATTGCGCGGTGGGGCTGAAATCCAGCCAACCTTGTCTTCAACCGTACAAGTGGTCCTGTAGAACCTCGAGGACCATTTGCTGGGCGAGAGGAACGCGTTGTGGCGGTCTGGCGGGTGTGTTGTGGTCGCGGCCGGAGCGAGCGGAGGCGCGGTCGTGGGTGTCGAGCAGGGGGAAGACGGGTCGGCGAGTGCACTTACACGCGAGACTCGCGGGGGGACGCGGTGCGGCTCGCAGATGACGTGCCGGAGATGGCTGTATAAATGACGGTATCGATGGTTCGTGGTTGTGGTCGCGGGTTGGTGGACGAGAGGAAAACGCGCAGCCTGCGAGTCGTGGGTGAAACGACGGAAAAAAAACAAAAGGTGGGAAGGAAGTGGTGAGCCTTGGGGGGGAGGAAAGGAAAGGGAAAAAGAGAAGAAGGGCGCCAGTGAAAAGCGGTCCTGGCCCGCTTGGCCCGTTCGGCCCACGGTGCCTCCGCATCCCACCTCCCAGGCGCCTGCGCACCAGGCCTCCTTACCCTCCTCCACCCGCCACGACTCCGTCCACCTCGGGAATCCCACAACCGCGTCGGCCACCCGCGAATTTGTACTCGTTGGGCTCGCCCTGGCCGGAGCTTTCGATTGAGCACTCAACTAGCTACAAACACCGCGATTTGGTCGATTAATGCCGCGATATGTCTTGCACGACTTCCGGTCCTGGCGGGTAGCCTAATTTTCGTCAATTGCCTCCTCGGGGCCAGCTCCGGATGAGCACCGTTCCGCCACCACATTACATATAAAAGTGATTCAACGTGCTCATACGAACGGGTACACTGTTATCAACTCATCCCTACAATTACAGGTGTTACCGACACTCGGTGCGGCCTCTCGGTCATGATATCAACTCCGGGACGGTCCGCCGCGGCCGCTCCGGGCCTCCGGGCTCCGTGTAAGTGATTTCGACGCAATTGCATATTACCGCAGTCAATCACTTGAATTCCGATAGTGCATCGCCCACACTGTGCACGGCAAGTGTCTGTTTTGTTCTTTGGCTTCTCCGTGGCATATAATGGGTTGTGTCCAAATGGCCCACGACCCCCGGTCCCCCTGCTCAGCCGTTAGCTCCAAAAGGATGTTTCCCTCCTGGTACTTGTGGTGGAGCCGGTGCTGCTGTCAGCCTCCAGGCACGTGAGTCACGAGTTTTAATTGGCTCCCGCCAGCTGGGCCCCCACGGGACCAAGCGTCTTCTTTTAGACTTCCGGCAACTCAGTGGCACTGGCACGCAAAAGTTTCACCGTCTTTGACTGTATTTCTATATTTTCCATACGAGCAATACACTTCCTATGACGTGAAATAGACCACCATGAATCCGATCCAGCTGCCGACAACGCCCACAGCGCAGTATGAGCTGGTGAACATGAGTGGCAGGAACTCGTACCGCTTCCCAAACACAATCCGGTGGAGCAGCGAGCAGTAGAAAATCAGCGGGATGCTGATGGCAATGTACAACGTGCTGAACCGGTCCAGCAAGAAGAACCTCGCCTTGCGCGAAGCCGGAGCCAAGCGGTCAAACACCATGAGGAACAGAACCAACCAGAAGATGGTGTACACCGTCTTGATTGGGAACTCGGCCGAGGTGAAGAGCAGAGGGAAGAGAGATACGTGTCCGGCAACAGCGAGTGGCCGGAACGCGCCAAGGTAACGACGATCCTTGAGCGCGATTAGGCTGAAGGGGATGATGACCAGGAGAATGGCCTTTTCATGCACATGCCATCCGAAAAGGAACGAGGCATAGCCGCAGAGCGTCACCGCCCCGATGAAGGCATCCCACGCGGGGGGTGCTTGGAAGAAGAGCTTGATCAACGGCAGCACCTGGAAGAAGAGCGTCAGAGCAAAGCAGGTCCGCGGGGTAATCTCTGGCAGGACGGCAAAGGCCGTGTCTCCGACGAGCCCTCTGGTGACGCTGTTGATTGCTTCGGCCTTGACTGGCAGGTTGAAGCGGGGTGCGGCTGCAATGTGTTAGTCTTATGCGTTGGTATTCTTCTGGTGGTCAAACATACCGTAGATCAGAACGCGGTCGGCAAACGAGTAGAGCGCCCAGATGTTCGGAGCCCAGTAGGCGTGGCAGAGGCCGCGGGAGAAGGGAAACAGTCGACTCATCATTTGGGGTATCTGTTCGAGAGCGACAAACGGGCCAAAAGCAGCACCAAAGATGGCCGCAATACCGCCACCCAGCTTGACGCAGTTGAAGAATTGGATCCTAAAGATAGACTTGGGCGACAGGCAGTACGCGCGCAGCAAGAAAACAAAGTAGGCCGGCGCCAGGTACAGGTAGATGTGCTTCATACACAGCAACGCAGCAAAGACCAATCCGCTGCCCAGCAAGCCCGACTTGGATCTGGCCAGAACGAGGGATAGAATGAGCACGCCGTACATGGCACCATTGTACTGGAAGTGGATGTGATCAATGATGAGCAGGCCGGGCGACAGCAGGATGGAGATGGCGGCAGCTTGGGCAGCGCGTCTCGTGGGACCGGTGGCAGAGTCGATGAACCTGGACCTTAGCTTATATTTGATGCAGCGGGTGCGCCTGCAGACTCACCGTTGTAACGCGTAGACGAGCACCAGCTCGGAAATGATGACGGTCCATCGCTGAAAGTAGACCGTCTGCCAGCTATCGTATTCCAGATTGTAGAGCTTGAGCATGGCCGGGTCGACGAGCTTGGCGACCTGGGACATGGCCCACTCAAAGTAGGCGAAGAAAGGAGGGTAGTCGAGGGTCCATTCCGAAGTCTTCTCGTAGTACCATTCTGATATAGGTAGGCTGTTGGTGATGGCGAGCCAGTTGCGGTGGACTTCGAAATCGGTGGATTTGCTGCGCGACGTGTCAATTGGGATGGTCAAGCTAGAGGGGGAACAGCCACATACTAGGCCGGGAAGAGGAGGACTTTGAGTGCGCCGGTGACGAGAGCACACTGCGTGAGGGTCGGATACGATTCGGCCATTGTGGCGCGTTCGAGAGCCGGTCAGTAAGTAATCCGCATTGATCTGGGCGGTGCCGTGAGAGCTTCACTGGAGTGGTCGGAGGTGGGAGGAATTTCACAGGCCACCTTGGTGCTTGGGTCGGTGTCGTCAGGGGTCCTGCTCAATGGCAGGAGCTGCAGCTTGGGATTTTTTTTTTTGGAGAAGGGGGCCAAGGGCAGGGGTTTGACGTTGGGCCCGTGCGACATCGCGGTGAAACCAGTCGCCGTCTCTAGAGACGCGATGGTCTTTAACGATACATATTACGTACTACTTACCCCGTACAAGCCACAGTCTGAAAGCCAGCCACAATACTCCGTCGCCATGGAATAGAAGCTCCCCGCCACGTCTGCAAGGAACCGAGCAGAAAGGGTGAAGAGTGTCTTTCTTTCCAGAATCCCCTTTGCATTCCAGCCCGGGCCATGCAACTCCAGGCTGGTGGACCAGGGTCCCTTTATTTCGTCAATGTCTCCAGCAAAAAGCTCTTGGGCACTTTCCGAGACAGCGAAACAGAAACCAAGCTTGTGGTTTGGAGTACATCATCACGAGACTCCACGACCAGAGAGATATTGTGAAATTTTGAATGATGCATTCGACCTGCAGCTAGGTAGAGCATCTGATTGCCGGGCAATTGACTTTCCTCAAGAGTAATCAACGTCTACAACGCTTCAACGCCCCGTCCCAAAAGGGCAGTCCAGGAGCTTATCCGCATAGCTTGCTGCTGGCCGCCGCCGCCGCTGCTGCTGCTGCTGCTGCTGCTGCTGTCTTTGACACTTTTTAGTGCCAACCTGTCCTCAACCCACAGACACGCACCATCAACCCCTGCTTGGGAGTTTCTCGACTTGGCGGGTTTCCAACCACATCGTTCCCACGCTTTTCTGGATCCCAACGTAGTCTGCACTTTTTTATTTTTCTTCCATTCTGCCCGCATTGCAGGACCTTTGCATTCCTGTATTTTAATACACAATTGATCGTCCTCGTGGGCATACGGCCGGCTTCGTTGTTGCACTTGATACCCCCATCTCCCCACACACACCCAAGGTAGCTCCCGCGCTGCCTCAAACCACCCACGATGCGTGTGTCGCAAGCTCCTCTGAGCTCGACGCTCGCCCTCTTGCTCGGTGCGAGCTTCACACAAGCTCAATACCTCATCAATGAGCTCAGCTTCGGGTACTCTGGCAGGTAAGGCTGTTGACAATCCCCTCCTGGCGCCATCGAGGCCTCCTCGGCTAACCTCAACAGCATATCACCAAACAATGACGGCCACGTACCCAACTTTGTCCTCCAGGGACAGCCGAACCAGCCCGAGATCCTCTCCAACAAGGTCATCCTGACACCCGTGGCGCCCGGCAACGAGCGCGGCTCCATTTGGAGCACCCAGAAGGTGATGCACCAGAACTTCATTGCCGACATTGACTTCCGAGCCAACGGCCCCGAACGCGCAGGCGGCAACCTCAACATCTGGCTCACCAATGGCGGCTCTGCCGACGTCGGCATGAGCTCCGCATACACGGCCGGCCGCTTCGACGGTCTCGTCCTCGTCGTCGACGGCTACGGCGGCACCGGCGGTATGGTGCGCGGCTTCCTCAACGACCGTTCCACCGACTACAAGGCCCAGAGCGACATTAGCCCCCTTGCCTTTGGCCACTGCCAGTATCACTACCGCAACCTTGGCCGTCCCAGCCAGATCAAGCTGCGCCAGACCGACCGTGCCTTCAAGGTCGAGATTGACGGCCGCCTGTGCTTTGAGAGCGACAAGGTCAAGATCCCCACGGGCTACACCTTTGGTCTGACGGCCGCGAGCGCCGACAACCCAGACTCGTTTGAGATTTTCAAAATGGTTGTAATGTCCGATAGCCTCCACGCCGGGGAGCATCAGCAGCAGAACCACCAGCAGCAGCAACAACAACAACAACAACAACAGCAGCAGCAGCAGCAGCAGCAGCAGCAGGCACACGAGCAAAAGGCCAACCAAGGCCAGCCCAGCAACCCGCGCAGCGGTAACGACGAGCCCATTGACCTCAACGCCATCCCCGACTCCAACGCCGACGCAATCACCTCGTCCAAGGCGCAGTTCGCCGACCTGCACAACCGCCTGCAGTCCGTCAACCACGTCCTCGGCACAATCTTCAGCTCCGTCAACAAGTTTGGGCAGCAGGCCGAGAACCGCCACGCCGAGACGTCGCAGCTGCTCGACTCGCTCCGCACCGAGCTGCGCAAGCTCGAAAAGATCAACGACCTCGAGGGCCGCATCAACGGCCTCGAGCGGGAGATCCGCGCCATGCGCACCGACCTGAACCTCCAGATGAAGAACACGGAGCACTCCCTCAAGGGCTACATGGAGGGCCACCACGCCACCCTCTCGTCCAACATTGTCAAGGCCGCCCCCGGCCACGGCAAGCTGATTGCCGTCATTGTCGGATCCCAGGTCGTCCTCGCCGTCGGGTACCTGCTGTACAAGAGGAGAAAGAACTCGATGCCCAAGAAGTACCTGTAAACGGGTGAGAAGGGTGATGGAAGATTGGAGACGGCGCGGGGATGTCATCTGTTATGTGTCGTGCGCTTTCTACGGCTGGTGTTTGTCTTGCAGCGTTGAGACGATAGTCAGTGGCAGTCAGAGGGGTCACTTTCCCCCACCATTGTAGGAATTGAACATTGTGAGGTAATGACATGAAACGATGGAATATACGCAGAGGCCGTCGCCAGCGGCACTAGAAGAGGTGGGGGCGGGTTGTTGAAGTAAAGATAAAAATGCCGAAGCGAAAATGTTTAAAGTTCAACTCATAGTCTCTCATTGCAGTGGGTTCGTGTTGCTGATCATCGGGATGAGGTTGTTACACGGTATTTCTGGACTAGGCGTTGGATACTAAGCTCAGGTCCGTCACCTGCTTCTCCTCCAAGGTAAGCGGGCCTCGCATCTCTCTCTCTCTCTCCCTCCCGACAGCAACGAACGAGCTCTGGCTCCCGAGGAGGAATATAAGAAGTCCTTCTTACGACAACCAGTTACACTTCGTGAGACCTTTATTAAGCCGCGAACCCACGAACTCATGCTCATCACACCATCATTGCCAGTAGCCACAAACAACACCGCACCAAGTACACGGACAAACCCCACGTATATACAGTACCAATCTACAAGAATAAACTATCCACGCTCCCAGCAAATCAATTAATCCCAAACTGATCTTCATCGGCATCGTCATCATCCCCGGCCAAGACATGTACTACGCCTTGCCATTAATCACCCGCAACAGCTCCTCCCCCTTGGGCGCCCCCGTAGACAAATTCTCGTACCCGTCATCCGTGACCAGAATGTCGTCCTCGATGCGCACGCCGCCGACGCGGTAGTACCGCTCCAACACCGTCTTGTTGATGAAGCGCGCGTGACGGGGGTTGCTGAGGAAGTAGCCCTCGATATACTCTCTGCAAAAGTAGCTATTTTTCGTTTACTTTCGTCAGCAAAGGTCCCTAATGTCAAGTCACTTCTGTCGATGCAAGGGCAAAAAAAAATAAAAAAATAACTCACATGCCGGGCTCCACCGTCACAATCATGTTCTTGCGCAGGTACTGCCGGCCCCGGTACGGCGGCGGCACCGAAGCAGCAGCAGCACCACCACCACCCACCCCGCCAACACCGGCACCGGCACCGACGCCCGCCTGCGCCATGGCACTCATCATCTCGGGCGTGATGACCTCCCTCTTCCCGACGCGCCCGCCCGTCCCCTTATTCAGCAGCAGCAGCAGCCTCTCCCGCCCAGAGACGTCGTGCACCTCCAGCCCGACGTGGTGTCCCAGCCCGTGCGGGAAAAACGCCGCGACGGTGCCCGCGTCCCACACCTCGGCCGGATCCCCCCTGAGCACGCCCAGCTTCAGCAACCCTTCCTGCGCGACCCGGCTCGCGTGGACGTGCAAGTCGAAAAACAGCGTCCCCGGCCGGATCCGCGCAATGCACTCGTCCTGCATCCTTGCCACGACGTCGTACACGGCCCGGCTCTCGTCCGAGAAGCGTCCCGAAATGGGCAGCGTGCGGGTGATGTCGCTCGCGTAGCAGTGCCACTCGCACCCGGCGTCGAAGACGACGACCTCACGGCCCTCGAGCGGCTCGTCGTTGGCGTCGTAGTGCAGCGTGCTCGCGTTCTTGCCGCTGCCGGCGATGATGGCGTACGACTGCTCCCGCGCGCCCTCGGTGGTGCACCACGCCTGGAAGATGGCCTCGATTTCGCTCTCGTTGCCCAGCTTCAGCAGCCTCTCGGCGACTTTGCGGTGCGCCGCCGCCGACACTGCCGCGGCTTTGCGGATCATGGCGACCTCGTACTCCGTCTTGACGACGCGGGCCTGGTCGGCGGCCGGCTGGAGCGAGGTCGTGTCGACGCGCACCTCGGCGGCCGTCTGCAGCAGGTCGCCGTGCAACAGCGGCGGCACCTGGTCGGCGTGGAGGACGTAGAGCGTCGAGCCGGGGGTGAGGTGCCGGTACAGGAACTTGCTCAGCTGCGTCGTGTAGCGCACGTCGTCGACGTCGAGCTGCTTGAGGCACTCGGCGATACCCGGCATGGAGCCGAACCAGAGAACCTGGCGCGGCTCGACGTAGGGGATCCAGAGGATCAGGCGGTCCGACGCGAGCTCGTAGGTCACGGCGCAGTCGGCAAAGTTGGCGCCGCTCAGGTAGTAGAAGCTATTCGCGTGTCAGTACCAGTCGTTCAGGGGATAGACCTTCAAGGGGAAGGGACGTACTATCGCCGCTGTCGGAAGGCAGGACCCATGTCCGAGTCCTCGTAGCTGCGGCTCGGCTCACCGGGCAGGAAAACGAGGCCATCGCTGGCGTTGAGCTCCGCGGCGACCTTGCGGGCGTGGAGTTTGGCTTTTCACAAGGTCAGCATCCCCCATCGACAACACGGACAGCACGCCCATGACAGTGACAAACAGATGGATGACTAGACTCCATACGAGAGGCGACACTATCCAGGTCTGTCAAGGTCCCAGCGACGCTTGTCACCGTGACCTGGCAGAACAGTGCGTGAAAGGGGGATACAGCGCAGAGGCGTACCGGGAAACTTGGTCGGGATAGGCGCAACCGACACAACCGACTCAACCGGCTCAGCCGACGTCTTAACTTCAATGGACCTTTAGTTGCGGCGAAACACCGGTCAGCCAGAAGTGAACAATGGGAGACCAAGATAGAATACGGGGGCACGCCCGTCCGGAATAGAGCCCCAAGGAAGAGAGCGCTGACGCGCAATGCGACTCCACTTACAGAGCATCAAACTCGTCCACCACAACTACATCGTGATCAATGGCGCTCTCCATGGTTCGGTCACGTTGAGAGGGGGTGGTGGTTCCCGGGGATGTGTGGGCGGTGTTATTGTCCAGTGCTGTCAATACTCGAAAGGGGGGAGGGGCGGCGAGGGGAAGCGGTCTGACGTTGCCTCGCAGTATGGTCTTGTGTCTTCTGTCGTCGATTTGGGATCTTGAACAAACAAACCGGGTACCTTTTTGGCAACGCAAGTGTGTAAGGTAAGGTCAGTTCCGATGGTATGTCGTTCTGCGGCTAAGAAACGCACGGATTACGGGAACACGCCAATTGGAGAAAACTGTGGCTCGAAATGGGGGTGGCGCTTGCGTGGCGTGGCGGGTTCTTGGTGACAGGGGCACCGTAGGCCAAGGTTTTTTTGTTTTCCCCGATCCAGAACCCAGAGAAATGGGCCAGTACGGAGTAGTTCGCAGGTACCTTTGGGTTCCGAATGCGCGAAATGCCAATGATTGTGTGGTTGGACCTTTGGAGAAACGGGGGTAGACTTCTGCAAAGGCGGGACAAGAGGTGGGTGGTGAGTGTGAGTATGAGGAGGAGGAGAGAGGTTCCAACGTCCGGTGGCCGGGCTTCGTCCTGTCTAGCGCAAAGAGGCTCCGCTTGCTTCGGTGGCTCCGAAGGTAAAGGCTTATGACAACTCTCGGGTCACCGCAGGGCGGAAGGACTGGATCTGTCGGGTAAAGAGGGGGGAAGCGGACCTGACAAACGGTTATCTCATGATAGGGCGGGCGAAGCTAGTTAGCTAACTAGTCCCGCGTTTCCCCTTCGCTGCGCGAGCGATGAAATGCTGCCTTTGTTTGGGCGCACTGTCTTGGGGAATGGAGCCAGGAGAGCCTACGCCCGACTACCTATTGTCGTACCGTGTACGGATACAGACCCCATTCGGTGCCGATTCGGCAAAGGTGTGGAAGCCTGTGAGGTACCTAGGCGAGATGCAAGACCAGCGGTTCCTCATGCCCCCAGCGGTAAGGAAAAAGGCGCCCCGCAGTGAGACTCTTGATAAGGATTTAGCGGAGATATCCCAGACATGGACCACGATCCTAAGCCCTGTTCGCTTCTAGCGTCTCCGTCGCCTACAATGTGGAGAGAGCACTGGACACTACGGAGTACCTAGGCATTATTATGTTCCTCTTGAATGCCTCCCGTCGAGATTCTACTGTGTAGAGGCTGTGGAAGAACAAGAGAAAAAGCCCGCTATCCAATCACCTCGCAGAAAAGACCTCATTCGGCTAGGTTTCTGCTGACAGCCCCCAAGGCCCCTGGGTCATCATCCCCCAAAGTTCGAACCCCCTGCTTCCATTTCCTTACACAGTTCATCCGTATGTCTCCACCACCAGAACATCGACCCCAACGGCGAAATGTACTCCGTATGGATACCACCGAACGGCTCCCCTTCATGATCCCCAGTCCAGCCAGTCTACCGTGCCAGTCGGGATTATACTGTATGTGCCCACCTCACCGTCGTCATTCTCACAACCACGCAAACATATCTCACCTCATACGGATTAGATAGCATACCATCTCGTCAATCAATTCCAGTTCTTTCGTTTACCAATCCAACCTATTGGATATCGAATTCGTTCCAAAGCAAAACGGGAAAGGAAAAAAAAAAAAAAAGACTGTCTCTCGCATCAGCCCCGTCATTCACATCACACCCCCCCTTGGATCCTCCAACCGGATCAAGGTGGAGGGGGGTACCTACTTTGCGCGGAATACCTAACAGCCTCACCTTTGCCGTCCTGGAATAGGTAGCTCGGCTTGGGGGAGCTTACGCCGCAACGCCGCCGGCGCCCCGCACCGCCGTCCATCGCGCCATGCCTTACGGATACGGCCACACAAACCTCCATACCCTCCTCGGCCTGCAATGCAGATGTAGCTGCAATGCCCTGCACTCCATTCAATGACGGCTTCGCGGCTGCACCCTCGGGGGCCGTTTGTGTCGCAAGTGGGTGTACTTATTTGCCGTACTCACATTCTCGGGCAGGTCCCTGGTCTTCAGGGTGTGAGTCGCACTTTTGTTCATTCGTTTATCCCGTACCCCACACATTGTCACCACATCTGCAACCCCGTCTTGGTAATTCCATGTCCCATTGTAACGTATGCTAGCTGTAATGACAACTACATATAACTGCTGTGTGTGTGTGTCTATGCCTACACGCTCTCTCCTGCGTGTATGCCTCGCGGGGGCTGTCTCTTTGGCCACCCTGAATCCCAAAACCCCAAGGCTCGTGTGAGCCTCTTGACCAATCCAGACATCCCTTGATGATGATGCCATGCAAACTTGATCAAATCCATATCAAGTATGACCGGAACGCCTAGATCGATACGGTCGTGTGTCTCCTTTTCCTCTTGTGAAAGAAAAAAAACGTCTTTCTTTAAAATATCCCCGCCCAAAATAAATCGCACCCTGAACTAGCAGGGCTCCAAATAAATGCTGGGTATCACTTGAAGCGAAATGGTTGCCTATAGGCCCTGAAATCCGTTCCTGCCGAGCATGCCTGCCCAGTTGCCTTGGTAGCCAGTCTCTGCGAGCATCCTCTCGAGCTCCGCAGGCCGCTGCTGCATGTGCGCTCGTCGTGCCTGTTCGATCCGAGCCGCGTCCGGTATCCCAGAGTAGCCCGAGTGCTGTTGGTACATGCTCGATAGGTCGTAGCTAGACTGGTGGTGTGAATGCTGCTGCTGCTGCTGCTGCTGGCTCTGTCCTTGAAGATAGTACGCGGGAGACTGGCCGAGGAGCTGAGTGTCAATGTCGTCGAATGCGCCGGGCATCATAAACGTCTCCTGCGGGCCGCTGACGTTGTTTGTCCCGGGCTTTTGGTATCCCAGTTCCATCATCGGTTGATTGGGGTAGGCGAAGGGATCCTCCGACGGGAACATAAGCGAGTCGAGTTTGCTGATATGGTTCATGTTGTGCGGTGGAGGGAACCCTTGTGGCGGACGCTGTGTTGAGCTGGCCGACGTGCTCACCGAGTCTGGCGTCGCCCGTGATGACATGTCCATGCCGAGGAGGTCCTGGATGTTGCTCGCGAGGGACGGGTCCTGGTATCCTGCCTCGGAGATGGGCACGCCGTCAAAAGACGCACGAAGCGGTACCTGCGCCATCCTTCCGTGGGCCATAACCACGCTCGACGGTCGACTTAGTTCCTCGGATCGGCGCTGGCCCATGCCCGGTTGCAGGGCCGGATGCCCGTGAATCGGCATCGAGCTGGCCTTTTGCCCAGGTGCCGATCGCTTCTTGGTAGGGATTGGCCTGGACTTGGCCTCCTGGAGTCTCTCCGGTAGTTGTTCAAATAGAACCTACTCTGGTTAGTACGCGCTGACTTTGTACTTCGAAAAAAAAACTTACATTGAGGGCCTCTGTGACCCTGTCGGCGGCCTGGCTCTTGGACTGCAGCTTCGAGACCATGTCTCTTCCTGCAATGGCATCTTCCAGTACCTCTGCCGATCCAATCTTTTCCGGATTCTCAATCGAGTAAAAGACTAGGGAAAGGATGGCAAAGAATTCGGTAAACAGCATAAACCAGTACGGACCGGCCAACACGTTTTGCTTGCGGATCTCAATGCCAATGTGCACAATGTTGCGCGACACGCTGATGCAGGCTGCGGCGCAAGCGTACGAGAGCTCGTCAATGTTCTTGCCCATGCTGAGGCGAGGAGAAACGTAGTGCAGGAATGGGCGGTAGAGAACCAGTTGGACGTGTGCGTAGGCGAATCGCAGCAAATGGCGCACCCTAGACATGTTAGCTTTGATGGACACGAGTCTGGTGTCAGGCAACCCACCGAATAACCTCCACGGGGCCGTCTGGCCTCGGCCTCCACTGCGCAGGCAGGACCTCGTACCACTCTTGCAACTCGGCCTCGATCCTTTTAATGTTGGCGTAGCTGATGAGGTACGTCGCTCCCGGCTTGTCGCCCTTCATTACGCTTTGGCCAAGTCCTTTCAAGGGATAGACGAACTTGAGGATCTTGGCCAAGATCTCCATCAGACGGGTGTGGGCGTTGAACGCCTCAAAGAAGGAAAACGTGCCCGGCGGTGGCGTCAGGATGCCGTCGTTTGTAATGTACTCGTCGTCAATCTCGCTGGGGTACGGCTGGTCAATATCGTCCGCGTTGAGCATCAGCGGGAACCCGAGCATAGCCGAGACGTAGATATCCATCTGCCGAATGACCCAGAATACACGCTTCCGCACCTCCTGCTCAATGATGGAAATCTTCTCATGCTTCAAATATCTGTGCAGACCTATGCGCAGGGCCGACCGCAGAGCGATTCCAACAAACGCGTAGCACCCGCTCAGGTTCGAGGTGGCTTGCAGGAAAAGAATCATAAAGAGAAGGGCTTGCAGCGAGGTCAGGTCTCGGCACTCTGTAATGTCTTGCAAGATGCGCCTCGCGGTATCGTAGTACTTCATTCTGCGGGGGTGTTAGTTCTGTCCATGACAAGCTTTTCCGAGGTTCATACCCTTCTTCGACGGATTCCTTGTAGGCCACGGGGGGCGCATTCTCGTCCAGATTTCTGTACATGCACCCCAGGGCCATGACGGCGTAGAGGAGGCCCAGGAACTTGTGTTCCTCCTTGGTGTAGTTATCATATGGCTTCTCGTAGATTCGTTCAAACATTTTGTTAAAGGTCGGTACGTGGACGATGCGGATCAGGCACGTCGCGCAGTTGAGCGAAAGGTAGCAGAGGCTCTTGGCCACGTCCTTCGGAGGAAGCTCCGGGGCGGTGGACATTGTCGAGTCGAACGGGGAGCTGGCTGCAGAGGCTGGCGAGTCCAGGTTGATGAGGCCCGCAGGTCTGTCTGGCCGTGGGAGGAAAGGCACCTTTGTGACGGGGCCCATCATGCCTCGAAAGTTCTCCTTCATGCGCCGCAAGAAGACGGCACCGGACGATACGCCGTGAAAGTCCCAGCCGCCCTTGTCGTCGAGGTCCAGCTGGCCAATGGACTCGATCATGGACAGAAGCTGGGGGTCCTCCTTCTCTGGGGCTACAAAAGGGTCGTGCCTGAGCTTGGCACTCTGGATTCTGCTGTGCTCTCTGTTGCGGAATTCTTGCTGGACGGCCGGATCCAGTGTTGGGTCAGCCAAGTCGACGTCTGGAATAAATTTGCGCAGGAGAGTCTCCGCGCGCTGCAAGCGGCTCTCTAATGCCTCGATGTACTGGGGCGCAGGGTTTCTCCGCCGATTGGAGGGCTTGTCATATGTGCATTCTGCGAAAATCAGTCTTTTGCACCAAGGCAATGGAATCAGGGGGGGGGGAGGGCTCACCATAGCTATAAACTGAGCAATGGGTGCAAGGCTGCTTGCCATCGCACTTGATTTTCTTGCGCCTACACTCGTCGCACGCTCTGGTAACACGGCGACGCTTCTGCACGGGGGCGTTGGATCCAGCTTCGCCGGGCTTTTCGTCCATGTCTGAGCCAGAATGGGCACTTCCACTCGGAGAAGGCGGCTCCTTGACTGGCCAGCCATTGGCAGAAGGAGCTGCGGATTCGTCGTCCGACATGTTGCCAGAAGCGTGGGAGTCTGGAGGTGAGTTGTTGCTGTTGTTGTTGGTGGTGGCCTTGGCAGGCTGAGACGGAGGGCTCATTTTGGGAGTCGACTCGCCCGTTGGAGCTGTCCTGGGGTAAGCTTCAGGAAGCTGACAATTTGTTTAATATAGGTGGTGGTGGTGACGGTTGTGGTGGTGGTGAGCACCCGGTTCTCGGTGTAAGTGCAGGTATGGAGGACGAGCTCTTTGCATGTTTGATAGTACAAGGGTCGTGGTCCGATAAGCCAACCCAATCGCTAGGAACGGCTTTCGGACTGATCAAGTCTTGAACATGAGAAGAACGAAACGTGCGCCAAGACTTCGCGGGGGACAGAAGGAAGATAAGTTTAAACAAAAACGGGAAGACCAGAGAGGAGCCGGGGGATCTTTTGCCTCTTTGCTGGGCTCGTCTGGGCAGGCCGCAGCTGGGGGGGTGGAAGGGCCCTTGTTTAAGGCCGAGCAGGGTGCGGTACGAAGCAGCGGTGCAGCGAAGAGTGAGGCCAGGGCAGGTGTGTGTAAGTCGCGCGGAAAGCTGAGCGCGAGGAAGAGGATGGATTACGTAGCGGGTAGGTAGCGTCTCGGCCGGGGTTGGTTGAGACAGCAGAGTACACGACTCGAGGGTATGGGGAATATGGTCCCGCACGGTGCAGTCCCGCAGTCCCAGTAGCGCGGTCGAATGCCTTACCATGGTACAAAGATACGTATTCGACACACGGGGCAGGACGCAGGACGTGGACACGATCTGGCGGGCAGCGGGTAGGCCCCTGGTTGTGATGGTGCTGGATGGATGGTGGATGGATGGTGGTGGTGCTTCTTCTTCGTAGAGGAGGGGGTGTCTCTAGGTCACCAAGTAAAGGTCGCGGATAGGGTCGACAAGAGAGGGAACGGAGACAATACGAAACCGTCGCAAAGGGGGATGGGGAAGCTAGGACGAAAAGGCGATAGGGATCGGTACGAGGGTGAGGTGTTGGTGGTGGAGGCCGAGGGGAGAGGGGAAAGACTCAAGAAAGAGAGGCATGTACATGGACTTGGACCATGAACAGGGGCAGCCATAAGGCAGACCAAGTAGACCAATAAGTCAAGATGATAACAGGTAAGGCGAGCAGAAGAACAAGGAGAGCAGCACAACTGCCAGAAGCAGCAGCAGCAGCAACAGCAACAACAGTAAGTTCGCAACAGTATGGCTTGGGACGGCTTGGGGCCTTACTAGGGGTGGGCGGAAGCATCAGAGGGACAAGACTTGGAGAGACTGGGAACTGGACCAAGAGAGGGCCCGCCGACGGGGGACCGGGAGGGGGGGGCGTATTTGCAGGGAAGATGGATCATGGGAGGTACAAAGTACAGTATGATGGTGGAAGCTCGGTCGACACGGTGAGCGAGAGAGAGATGGATGGACGGCAGTCATTTTGGGTCTACCGTCTGGTGACAAGCAGTGAGAGTTGTAGATGGGCAGAGCAACTCCGCGGGAGGTTCCTTGTGCTGAATGGAATCCATTGCCTCCCACAGAGTACCTACACAATGAGTATGTGAGTGAACAGACGACAGAGCGTGTAAGAGATGCTGTGGTTGCTCTTTGTCCACATGTACCTTTCCGCTGGGAGGAGTGGGAGGAACGAGTATGCTGCAGCAAATGTGCGGAAAGCCAAGACGAAACAAAACGGACGAAGAAGGAGCTCAGGGTTGTGAGGTTGGCGGCTGCCTTGCCTGCATGCCGCAGCTGCGACTGCGACTGCGACTGCGACTTTTGACTTTTGACATTTGACTTTGACCTCTGCTGATAGCCCTTGCTCACTCAGTGGGCAGTCGAGGCAGTGACAATGATCTGAACAACTGGGCAGTAAATTCCGCAGTAAACTGTCAGTCTCGACTCTCGCTTCTTGTCGGGATCGGTGGTGACTTGAGCTCCGCGTTCCAAGGGCCACGCTTGTTCCCGTGTTAAAAGCGCCCGTTCTAGTGGACAGCACAATGACGAGATCGGAGTTAGCTGGGGGCTTCTATCTTAAGCAACTCGAGCTAGGCAATCTTGAGTTAAAAGAGGCCAGGTCACTAGTGAGTGGTATCCGGTGCGCACCATCTTGTAATCAGAAGGGAAAGGGTTCTTTCGCAAGAGACTTCGAACGGGACTAGGTGCTGGGCTTCTGGTTGTGTTGTGAATAGAGGGTTGCGGCGACAAAGTACGCGTGAGAATTGCCTCTGAGAATGCTCTACCGTCTGTACTTCGTCCCGCGCGGGAAGACCACTCTGCGAGCAGCGAGTATGCGCAAGTGTCTCCAGTCGGCGAGTAATCAGAAATATGTGCAATGGTCGATGGATAGTATACGGGACGGGCGAGCGAGTCGAGTCCCTACCCGGCCCCGGTTGATTTGCTCAAAAGAGGAATTGAAAAGAAAAAGGGCGGAGTTCCTTCGGGAATGGAATGTAGCCCAGTTTTTTCATGCTCAGATGGAGATGCATCTGGAACCGATGAGAGGGACGTGAAAACGGGCCAGTTTCCACTTGGTCGAGCCGATGGTACTACTGCATAGAATCTATATGTCAGTCAAGTTGCAACTCGCAAGGCCATGCATGCTTTGCGTAGTGTACCGGAATAGTTGGTGTTGGAGTCTTGGTATGCGCAATACTTGAAGAGGGGATGGAATACTGTGTCTCCGTTCATAGGGGAAGATGGGGGAAAAAAAAATGCGGCGCCAGCGGCGTTCGTGCATGCGTTTGGATGCAGGGTGGAACCGGGGGTACGTATGCCTTTTTACCCTTTGTGTATCTTTGTTGTCTTCAAATCTTGCTCAAGGCCAACCGTTGGCTTGGAATTCCGTGCCATTCGGTCCCGTACCGCAATTGCAGACCGCCACGGAATGAATCATCCCGCCCGGCCTCGTCCGGTAGATCCATCGCTTCCAGCCTCCAAATCTGATGGTCCACCACCTGCCGCCGTTACGTGCCCGTCGTGCCCGTCGTGACCCGACAGCGTAGACCAAGGACTCTTCGTAGCTGCTTGGGACTTGGGACAAGGGCGCTTTGTCTTGCCATAGGTACCAGTCGATACTCGGTAGACCACTTTCAATTGCCTCTTTTTTTTTGTTCCTTTTCCTAAGGGTCAGTGGCTGGAACGGGGGTGAAATGAAAAGTCAGGCTCTCATCTCAGTCAACGCTGACTTATTGAACTCACACGCCAGGCCCGGGTTCTTAGTTGACGGAACACGCGGGATACTATTGGTTCGGAGGCGCTTCCCAGGAGACCCCCGTTTGAGCTTCGACTGGGAGGACCCCCCTTATGCACTGCGGGCATAACTGCATCTAGGTAGTTCAGTCCAATGATCGTAAAGGGGAAGAAAAAAAAAGAAGCACGAGAAAAAAAGCCAGAGGTGGTTTGAGAGCAGCCCGAGTTGTCACCAACCGCCAACCCCTACACCTGGGAGTTTGTTAGTGCTAAGGCTCATCGAAACAGTCGGTCCCGCGAGTTGGCGGAGGACGCTTCCAAGCAGGCACTGGCACGCAGGTTCGGTTTCCAACATGTAAGGGCAGAGCCTGCTGGCTCAAACCGTCCGTGGATCTGCTAGCGAGCCCGCCGCCCCGTCACCCGTGAGCTTCGAGCCTTTTGTCCATCCCATGCATCGCATGAGAATGGCGGCGGTATGGCCAACGGAGTACTGTCACTTTGGGCGAGTGGCCCAGTCATGTCCTCCATAGTTCGACGACAGCATCAATCTGCGATTGCCTTTTCATCTGCGACTAGTGCCCCTCCTTCGGTCTCCACTCGTAACCCGAACAGCACGCCGCAATCTTCCCGAGGTCGGGATCGAGGGTCCAATGCCTCGTTTGTGTTTGCATCGCGATGGTGGAGAGAGAGAGGGGGGGGGGGGACAGAGCAGGGCGATGCCGCGATATGTGTTGTGTACGACACAACGTAGGCCACCGCTGTCGAGGCGTGTAATGTAGAAGCGAAGCAGGGGGGCGGCGGAAAGAAAAACGAGCACGTTGCTGGGAGTCTTGGAGGGGCTTGCCAAGGGCCAAGAAAAGAAGACGACGACGACCACAACGGCGGCGAAGGCGAGTAGACGGTCTTGACCGACGGCTCTTTGGACGAGTGTCATGAAGCAACTGGTCTGGCTTGTGTTTGTGTGGGCACATGGCTCACGCCCCTCTTGGAACACCGAGGGTTTATCGCCAGCAATTTTTTGGGGGTTGATTCCCCTCCCCCCCTCCCCTTGCTGTCCATGGTGCCCTCGGCGACTCTTGGCTTTCTTGCGGTTGCTCCGTACGTCTTGTTAGTTGCGAGCATATGGCGCGGTATCGCAAGATTTGATCCAACTTGAGGCCCCCCCCCTTAAGGCCGAAGCGAATGCAGACCGGTGGGATGGAATACGCATGGAATATTCGAAAAGGGCTTCGTTTGTGGATTGCCGTCGCATGGCGGACGGGACGTCGTCAAAATGGACCGCCCTACAGAGGAACAGGGCCCAGGGCTGAGGGAACGATGAGGTTCTGAAGTCTTGGCATCCGTCATTGGGGACGTGTCTGTGGTGTATTTTGACGACGAATTTTCTCTTTTCGCGGGTGAGCTGCTCTCAGATTGGCGTGGTTTTTGGTGGGAGACCAGCAGAGTCCCTGGGGGGGCGCTTGGGGGAGGGGGGGAGTGGAGGAGGGGGAGGGGGATGAACGAGGAACCACGGTGCCACACCTCGACACCGCATCTCACCTGGGCTGCGGGCACACAACTCGCTGGGCTGACGGGGCTGGAAGGAGGTGGTCCGCGGGTGCGGGCATGTGGAAGCTGCCCAGCCAAAAGAGAGAGAAAAAAAGAAGTGACGGACCACTCGTCCACTCCCACTCCCACCAAAACGCGTCAGCCCAAGAGCGGGGGGGGGAGGAGGATGGTACTACGTACAGACGGTAAAGACGGTGCAAGGGCGGCACATCAGGGAATCGGGAGAGGAGGCAAGAGCTTCCTGGGTCTCAAAAGTCTTGGCACGCTCGATTTCCTTCGTTTGCCAAGACTTCCACCCCGCCCCTTCGCGCTTGCGCTTGTCTTGACAACATGCATCGAATATCAGAGAGCCTCTTATGGATATTAAACAGATCTAGATACTGCCAATTGCCAGCGTTTTTCTCGCGGTTTTTTTGCTTGCAAAACTGGCCCAAGACGCCCTCGGTTGGTCGCCGACTCACCACACACGCAGATACAGCAGGCACTTGGCTGACCCCCCTTTTTTTTTCTTTCTCTCTCTGGCAATGGAACTTACATTACACGCCCCCAGGGAGTGAACGGATTGGCATTGGCCTGACAAAAATCAAGGAAACGGCCACGTTACCTTTCTTCCCCTCGCGCGCGCGCCCTCTGCGGTTCGCCCGCCCTCGTTATTTCCGCAAAATTTCGTGCAAGAAAGAGAGAGAGAGGAAAGACCATTCAATGCATGTGCTGGCCACTAGGAGACGAGAAGTCGGGCTTATTATGGGGCGCACTGTATGGACAAGTCACAGTGCGAGCGAGCACCACAGAGGGAAGGCACACACACACACACACACACACACACACACACACACACACACACACAACACCCATCTCAGGACGAGACTGGGGGGAAGGTGGCAGCGCCGGTGTATGTAGACCAGACTTTCCCAGTCTGGTGTCGCTACAATTCGCCAAGGTACGTATCTTTCACCTGCACCTCACCTCACCTCAACCCACATGGTAAGCCGCAATGGCAAGCAACCTAACATCAGGTCCATCAACAGACACAGACCATGGGCAGTCACCCCGTCCTCGTCCCAAGGTCTGGCTAGCACCATCGTATCAGAGAGAGAGCCACTCATCTTTTGGATCCGACTCGTCTGCTTCACTGCCGCCAGCTCATATCCTTAACCTGTCTCGTGTCTGATGTATCGGAATCGTCATCTCAGTCAGTCCAGGCTACCTTAAGCCAAGGTATCAAGACTGGTACGGATAGGCGGGCACACACATCAGAGTACCTGCGCAGGGGCCACCCGACCCGACCGCAACGCTACGGATACCTTTGCTCAGTGCTCAGTGCTCACAAGTTACAACTCGGCCCACCGGCGAGTGACGCGACAATAGCAAGAGCGCCCACTTCTTGGGATAATCATGGAATCTCCCGAGCAGGCGTTCCTGACACAGACGCGGGCAATCCAACATCCACCAAAACGTCCAATGTCGCTGGGCCTCGTTATGGATCCCCTCATGACTCTCGACTCACATGGCACTTTTGCTCTTACACTTTCAACCCAACTTTTTTTTCTTTCTTTTTTTCGTACCTCTGCTTGCTTCTCTTCGCAACCGTCCCGGCCCTTGATCCGCCATGATAGAGCCCATTATCCATAACATGACAGGCCCAAGGCCGAGCACCCAAGGACGCACTCCCACACTTAATCCTATTCCTCCAGGACCCTGACCTTGCTCCGGCCCTACTAATCCCAGCTTGAACCTTGGGCCCGAACCTGGCCATTACACTCTATCTTTTTTCCCCCTCTCAATTATAGAGACACAGAGAGTCCAGAATTGCCCCGATGGCACAACCTTTAGACGCCAGACACTCTCGTCAAACCAGGGCTGTCGTCTATACAATCATACACTGGAAACTCGAGCTGAATCTGAGACTGCCATGCAGCTGCCATGCAGGGATCGTTTGCAATTTGAGGCCCATCAGCGCAGGCTAGTCAAGATGAAGCCCATCTCTTCACCGGAAACCGAGCGTGGATGACTCGAGATCAACGGCATCCATCTCAAGCAACGGAACCTGTCCACGTACGGCATCTTCTACAAGAGCAGCCTGCAGCGCATCGCCTACAGCAAGCAGCCAGCCGCAAGCCGCAGAAGCACAACACAGCTCGACGTCCCAAGTGTCCCCCCGTCCTCTTGGAACAGACCCTCGGCCAACTACCGACCCCTGTATCTGTCACTATGGGTACGTACTGGTGTTGACCTTACCGAGCACACCTCCTAGCTCGTGGCTCAGGTGTGGTGCGGCACACTGGCATGCCTTGCCTGCAGCCCGTCTGCAGGTTGCTGAGGCGCTTTCGATTTGGATTCTGCTCCGAGTCCCGGCCACGATGCTGGTGGCCTGCCCTGGCCCTTGTTGAGGTAGGAATCTCGAACGAGCTGGTCCAATCCCAATGCTGCGTTGCTGGCGCATCAGCATCTGCTCCCCATCAATCAACCCTTTTCAAGCTCGGTCATCAAACGAATCAGTGCACCAGCGGGCCCAGGGGGCGAACGGAGCGCAGGGTGCGGGTGCCGCTTCCTTGAGCGAACAGGTACGGATACGGCATGCAGTTGAAGTGAGAGACCAACTACATTTCCCCATGTGGACTGTCTAGATAGCGAGATGCTTCGGGTGAGAGGCTAAAGGTTTCTACTCTGTCGTCTCGGTGGACTCGAGCAAATCTTACAACTGTTCCCCGGCCCCATCACAATCACTCTCATTATTCTCACAGGGATATCAAACGCCAGGTAAGGTATTCACGCAAGTCACGGAATCAGTCCCCGGCCAGTTCGATAGACCAACCGTACTTTGTACAGATACTTCTGTACTCCGTACGAAGCAAAAGGTAGAGCTCCATTTACGGACAGTTTATCGCCAAGACTTTGTCCCTTAATCCCAGTGATCGACCGACTGCCGTATCTGGCTGGCATCTACCAATCATCTGGGCATCAGTTCGGCACGATCGCCATTGTCATTTTTGGGCATGTTCTAATTTTGATCCCTCTTTCGCTGCTGCCTGCTCCTTCACATTGCAGTTGCACAATATTTTGAACGGGGTACCTCGACACGAACTGTTTGATCAAATTGCACCTGCCCTGGCATCTGGGTGAGTACATACTGAGCTGAACAGACCCGCCAAGGTACCTCCAACTCTTTATTCAGTTACCCCGCAAAAAGCGACCAGGTCATCACCACTAACGTACCTCAACATCTCTGCCGCTCATTTGCTACAGACCGTTGACGTCCTACTGTTTGTCAGAGAGCTCTCATCGTTCCTCTCCCTCCTCCATACACCACTCAACCCGGCATCAACCATCTC